ATATTTTGAAGTCCTATATCTACAGAACTGTAAGTCTGATTGGGTTGAAACTTGGTATGTGGGTAGACTGGGATGTGGTATAGACACGATGACGTCATGATGACGTCATCGTGCGATTTTATATGAATATTTGAATTTTTTGACCTTGAAGCCATATCTCACGAACGCAAGATGCAAAATTCAAAATTCTTTTTGTATTTGGTTTGTTAGGTGATAGGTATATGCATAATTTTTTTTAAATGTGTGACGTCATCATGACGTCATCAAAAAAGCGATTTACGAAAACATATAAGAGAAATTCTGATCGTCATGAACCTTTAACTGCATGAATCACTCTAAAAAGTGACTGCAACAGGACCAACAAAACATAAACATTTGTTAAATGCGAAAAAGCCCTGCGTTCTGTTTTCAAACACACAAACAGCTCTAGTTATACATGGCCTTATGGGATACTTACCCAAGTAACCGGCTAGGCGAGTCGGTTACTTGGGCCAGGCTCGACTCAAGCGCGATGAGTCACGTGAGAGGTAAATCGAACGCTGTCGCGCTTGCACGAGTAAGCGCGGGGAACGCATAGACTTGACTCAGGTCGGAATTGCCTTAAGTCGGAATCTAAAAAAAGTAGCGAAAATCACTTTATAGTTTACGCCTTTTCAGATGCCCGACAAGGTACTCTTCAGCGCGCGTTCCACTTCAGTTCACACACTGTATGTACATTGTACAACACGCGTATTACACTTACATGTGTGTGCATGTATTGCAGAGCATGTGCATACATGTTGTGCAAAAGTTAGCAATTCCGACTTGATCAATCTGCCATCAGCACCCCCCCCCCTCGCGTGCACGCGCCTGTATTCATCGTGCAACACAATCTCTATGCATATGCAGCAACATCGCTTGACCAATCAAAGTAACCGTTTTTCGAAGACTCGTTTATTATTTTCAGTAGGTATGGAAGGCTGGATAACAATCTGCAAAAGTTTAAAAACGTAATCTTAACACATTATATTGGGATGATAAGGCCAAAACAAAAAAATACTCGGTCTCTGGTCAGCGCGCGCGTCGATTTTAATCATGCGCGTCAACCTTTTTTTTCCTTCAAATTAACACGGAAGCTACAACAGCGCCCTCTTTGCCGCGCCTCCTCAATTTTTTTGTACCAATGAGCACCAAGGAATGGGGAAATTGCACCAAGGCAAATGATAAAGGGCACCAAGGCAAATGATGGAGGACACCAATGTATAATGAGGACACAATAAAGCAAAATAGTACCCACCTTGTCTGTACAAAACAAGCTTGAAAAAAAAAAGGCACCAAAAAAACCCCCAAAAACCGCGTCGTCGCATCAATTCCGGAACTTCGGTCTGACCAGAGACCGATTTTTTTTTTTTTTTTTGGCCTAATGCTAAGATCAGCTGCTCTTGGATTGAATTAATAAAGAATACGACATTCAAATGTTATTCAAAACAAAAGGGAATTTGTATTGGGGTTAACCTGTAAAAGATGTTGAGAACCATTGATAGCGCTTCGTGTTGTGCGTACCAAGAGCCGTTTCAAAGCATTCATTCTGTTTCTACTCCTCACCATGGGATGCGTGTGCGTTCTCCGCGAAACTTTGGATGCGCGAATACGCAGACAACGCTGATTGCGTGTTAGGAATAATTATATAACAAAATCTGGACTTTTCCAGTTCACTCGGCTTCGCCTCGGGAAATGGAAAAGTTCAGATTTTACCTTGCGATAATATTCCTCCCATTCCACGCTGAGCCACTCAATATTTGTATACTAGTGCAGTGCCCGTCTAAAATGTGCATGTTCGGGAAGCGCAAATTGCTTTGCCGCTGGTATTGGTTGCATACTTGCAGAGTTTTTTGAGAACTGCTCGTGCAAACAACGCACGCGATTCAATGGTGTTGTTTCCACAGGTTGAACCCACACTCCGTCAAAGTTTGTGCCAAATTTGAAGTTGTTTGGGCGAATGGTTCTCGAAAAAGCTGCAAAATAGCGCAGATCTTCGTGTTTGCTTCATGCCATAAATTACAACATGGCAACAGAATTTGTTATTGTCACAATCAATTAAAAAAATTGGAAACAACCTAATTTAAAGAAGGGGAAAACCTTATTTGATGAACTCCATATATTTTTGCAACTTTTTAAAACATATTTTTTTTAATATTGTTTAACTACTAAAAAAGTGTAAATCTGATGAAGAAACTCTAACTTAGGAGTACGACAATTTGTACTAGTTTTTGCAAAACTTGAACATGTTGAAACTTGACAAAAGTAAAAAGTTAAAGGTGGATGTTTCATCTGTTATACGAACTCTGACCCCCTAAACTCCACAGCCACCCCTTGGTTTCAGCAATGACCACTAACGGATATTTAAATGCAACTTTAATTTTACATATGACCTCCTTGTAAACCTGATTCGAAAAAAATTTGGAGCAAGAAAATATTGATTTATTTTTTAAAATTTCAGTCATTGAATATAGATCTGTACATGTAGACCAAAAAATTGAGAGATGGTAGCAAGATATGGATTGGTCTGCCCCCCCCCCCCATCCCTCTTTGTGATTCTCCTTCCAACCCTGCATGTTTGTGTGTCCCCTACATGTTTGTTTCTTGTTCCTCCGTCATTTACCTCTGAAGAAGGCCTGGCTAAGGCTGAAATGTAATGCCACTATATTTTTGTTTAATGTCAATAACGTTACATATACTATAGAAGATTGATGAACCATATTTGCCTGATCTATCTTCTGTTAATCTGCCCACCGTCATCATTGTCATTAGCCTATTTGAGAATATGACCAACACAATAGAAGGGCGCTGTCACAAACTGAATGTGGTGGGCGAGATGCACGTTTTAGGATTCATGGCTCAGTGCGCACGCCTCTCTGTGTTTTGTACCGTGCCATCGCCCGCATCGCCCGCATCAGCTACTTTGCTGGGCGATTTACTTGAATATTTTAGTGATTAACAAGTACGACATATCGCCAATATATTAATCGTTTCTTGTGATGGCCGTAAACAGCATATAGCGATTAATGGAACACAATTCTTCTCGACTCATGCAAATGCAATTGACATTTAGGAAGGAGACGAGGCAGGCATTAGACTCTATTTTTGTGTGACTATGGCAGTAGCTCAATTTGTATTTATCACAGATGAAAAGATGAATACATGGCGAGTCAAAAAGAAAGTGACCGTATGATGAAAAAAAAAGGCACGCTCCATTTTGTAAAAAATATAATTGGGATAAAGAACATGTTATATTGGGAAGCACCAAAAGGTCTTATTTTTTTTATTAGCTGTAATTAAATAATTAAGTTACAAAAAATGGCAGTTAATACTTAACTGTTGAGTTAAAGAACCCCCTTTAACAATATGCACAATTTAAACTATTTAAATAACATTTTGCAATTTTCAAAGCAGTGTGAATCTTCAAACTCGATTATCTTGAAATACTGGAAAATGCTGAATAGGGCTTACAAGTCTTTTCTGCTTTGACCCGACGGTATCACAACGACTTTAGCACATACTTGGATCATTATTGGGGAATATAACATGTTCTTTATTCCAATTATATTTTTTACAAAATGGAGCGTGCCTTTTTGTTTTCATCATACGGTCACTTTCTGTTTGACTCGCCATGTATTCATCTTTTCATCTGTGATAAACACAAATTGAGCTACTGCCATAGTCACACAAAAATAGAGTCTAATTGCCTGCCTCGTCTCCTTCCTAAATGTCAATTGCATTTGCATGAGTCGAGAAGAATTGTGTTCCATTTTGTAAAAAATATAATTGGGATAAAGAACATAATATTGAGTAGTAACTGTGAACATTTCACGTAATTTGCATACTCTATTCTCAAGTCGTGTCTATTTTAATAAAGAGATCACAAAATTCAGCTGTCCACCACTAATACCAATTTAACGGTCTACGAATTGATGAATAGCCATTAATAAATATAATGGGAAAAGAAAGGTTTTCCCGCCTCCACGAATAAAGGAAAAATTGAAAAGGAAAATAGAAAAACAATTACCAATGTTTCTAGGGAAAAAGAGTTGAATTGTTCCCCATATTCAAAACACAAAATCTGACGGTAAAAATAATGTTTCAGTCTTGATTCATAAGATTCAAATCTCAGTTGTATTTGGAATCAATGAGGATGGCTATAAAGTGCTTGTTTCAACAGATCATCCCACAATAAAAACGAGAAATAAGAAGAGGAGCAATGGTTATTGGACTATGCCTCACTCACTAGAAAGTGAAGAGAGACATGTCCATTAGCATCACACTGCAGTCACATTTGCCTAAAACTGATTCTTTACTTAACCCTAAAAAGGCCGGGGGCGGAATCCGCCCCCCCCCCCTCACTTTTTGGCTGGTCTCGACTCGAGACCAGCCAAAATATCAAGACCAAAGGGGACCGAGACCGAGACCGAGACCACAGCTCCCGAGACCGAGACCGAGACCTGCAAAAAGTGGTCTCGAGACCGAGACCGGTCTCGAGACCTACAACACTGTTTGTGATCAAACCGTTAACGGTTGTGTGTCGTTTTTCACTGATTTTTCGAAAAAGGTAAAACGCAGCGAGCTAAACTTTCAACATATTAGGTTTTTAACATTCTTCGTTTTCGTGGTGTTGTAGTACAAGTATCACCTGTTCTCTACGCAGTGGTGTTGTGGTAACAACAAAATGTATGCAAAGCGAGTGCTCCTATATATGACAATAATCACTTTTTGGGAGCACCTATATAATTGACCTTTTGAAAATTCAGAGATTGGGGATCAAGGGCCCTACAACTATCACAATATTTTTGCTTAGTTACTTTTTTTTTTTAATGAATTACACATTTGAAATATTTGCATTTTTCCAGTTTGGGCTACAGCGTTCTTAAAAAAAATCTTGTGTTTAATATAAAAAGCCCCCATCAAATTGATACTGTGCCGCGCCCAAATACTAACCTAATCCAAAACATCATGTTTTGTTTCAGCGTGCACATATTCGAGTAGAAGTACACCCTGACAGAGACCGCTAACATTGATCCACGATGGCTGAGGACAGAAGATGCAGAGAAGACGACGAAAGATGATCACTAATAAATAGCGCAAACAAAGGTCTGCACTACAAAAACTGTTGTGTACTGTGTAGAGCTAAATTACAATTACTTCAAGCATCAATCTTATGGAAGTCACCTACATGTTCCATTTACTTTTAAAATAATCAACCGGATTGTACAATGCTTGCATCGGATCATAGTGTCTAGCTACTTTTAATGAATTTTGGTAGTTTACTTTTATGCAGATATTGAAATTAAAAAGGCACGTCAAGACATTTATCCACCATTTGTCATGTCTGTCATAACAAGTGCACTGCAGGAGCATGTCACACCTCAACATTTTATACGAGCGCATTTCGTGTGTAATTTCACACTCTAGTATATGCTGAATGGTGATACTTTTAAAGTTTTGGGAATAAATAAGTACTTGTAAAAGCGCTGATTATATGCCAAATTCTTTTGCAATCAACTTTTATCATAATGAATGCTGGATTTGTGATGCATCCCAACTGCTTTTCCGTCCAGTGAAGTGGACACTTGATTAATCCACCAGGCTTTCACAAATAGAAATTTCGTCCTCAACTTCAGTTCTTGTATCGTTAAGCTATGTGTACCCTTTATCCAGTTGGTCTGTGGCCATTTTGGTCTGTAATTTGAAGCCTCACAGGATCATGGACAGGCTGAATTGTCTGCACGATACAGAACTATAGATCAGGATTTATACTGCATCCATTTTTGAAGTGTGTGTTTTTGTTCAACAGAGATACGCATGAGCAAACCTCTTATGCATTCATTGTGAATGAATTAACAAAATCCACACCTCCAAGATGGCTGATGAATGCAATCCATCTATTTCAAACGCAGCTGCTGAACAACCAGCCAACTTGATCATTCCACAACCAAGGCCATAATTAGAGGCCAACCCCTTCACATGTGGCCCTCAAGTCTTCTGCTATATATGCTCAGCTTCCCGGCTCCTATTTTCACAAGTTCTCATAGGTCAGACCAAGATAAGAACTCTTTTGAATTATAGAATTGTGTCTGGCAAACAAGTCCAGAATTGGACCATCATGGTGGGGCCTCCCTTGTCGGAAGTAATTAGACCAATTGAAATAGGTTTACAACTTCTGTATCTCTAACTGTTCACTGATGTATTAATTTGCAATTTGCTATGTATTCAAAACAAATTACCCTCATTAACACTACATTAATTTCTCATAAGTTGATTTTGTGTGATAGATTAGTTGTCCATTTGATAATAGGGAAAGACTTCCATACCTGGACATCACTTGACACCCTGTGCGCAAACCCTATGAGACTGGTCTGGAAAATTCCAAGTGTTTTTTTTTTCAGTAAGAGGTCGTGGGTTTGAGTACCACCCCAGCAAGAGGTCGTGGGTTCGAGTCCCACCCGAGTGATTTTTTTCAACTTTCACTCGGGAGGTAACACACCGAGTAAACAGTGTTGAAACGTCGGTGAAGGGCAAAACCTAATTTGATTTGTTGGTTTTTTTTCAGTATGAGCTTCAGTATTTTCCCTGCTAAATTTGACTTTTTAGGACATGTTATCGCTTTCCGACGGCTGATAGGTCACTGCAGGGAAAATTAGTGATGTCCATGTATGGAATTCTTAACAATAGTAGATTTTTTGAAAATGAAAATAGTGTTCAGCAATGCCAAATACTCAGATGCATGCACTAATCATGCCATATTGAAATAAAGCAATTAATTTTATTAATACTTTTTCCCACATAGACAATTTCAATCCAGAGATGGTAAATATCTTAAAGGGAATGTACATCATTGGTTTTTGCTGTAATTTTCAGAAATGAACTATTTGAGGGGTTAGTATAATAGATCAAATATTGTTACGCTGACATTTTTTAAGTTTTGTGTTCGAAAAGGTTGGAAAAACCAAGAAAAACAAAAATGTTCAAGTAGTCTGGTTCCCTGACTCCACAAAAGATAAAATGGATCAATTTATAGATGATGGAAAATTGTAAGGCAATGGAACCAGTCTAGCTGGCCTGCACCCGTTCATGAACATGTAACCAATGGCAAACAAAATTTGGACTGAAAAAAAAAGGTCAATTTGGAGCAGTAGTTGAAAAATAGTTAGGTTTTTCCAACGCTGGTCGGCCGACCACCGTTGGAAATGTATACAAAAATACCATTTTCTTGAAAATGACTTCACACCAGGTGCCATAATTTTAGAAGATGCTTGAGACTGTCATTAACCAACATCCTAGTAAGGTACTTCGTAAAAACTTGGTAGTTTTATTTTTCGATGTTTGCAAATGTTGTATATTCTCTTTAAAGGTAATATACAACATTTGCAAACATCAAAAAACAAAACTACCAAATTATTATGAAATACCTTGCTTGACTGTAAGTGAATAATAGTCTCAAGCATCCTGTGAAATCATGGCACCTGGTGTGCTGTCATTTACAAGAAAAATGAAACTTTTCCAATGATGGTAGGCTGACATTATTTCAGTATATGTATAAGCCCCGTGGGAAGAATAATTAGACTGTTTTTATTCCTTTTTGTTTCTGCTGATTTTGTTTTTAAGTTTCAGTTTTTGTCTTGGTTTTTCATTAATTTTGGGGCAGTAATGGTATTGGATCTTGCTTTAGTTTCTTTAGTCTTGAAGTTTTAGTAAATACATTCTTTTCAATGCTCTCTGCTTTGTTTTACTGTGGTATTTGTTTTTCCTGTCTCTGGTTAGTTCAATTTCCTAGCGACTTTTCCCAAAAATATTCCGAGACACATTTTGCTACTTCGCTTGTGCAAGTTCCCCAACTTGGTCATTTTTCCAAGTTACACATGCACTCAATAATACAGAAATCATTAAGAGCATTGTTTCACCACTCCATAGGCATATTGACACTACATCAAATCTCTGCGTTAGACCTGGGCAAAACCGCACCATTTGGCATCCCTCTACTTATTCAGAGTCCTCCACGGCCAGCGTGCATATCTGTTACTGAACTGAGAATGGATCCACGTGGTATAAGGACATGGAAATCAAACCAGATTTGGATCAAATTAGCAGCTTGTGTAACGTCGAGAAGTCCTGCTGCTGAGTTTTGACCTCAGAGTACAGACTTGTATTTGCAAGCAAACATAATCCACACAGCGCAGGCCGACTCTGGGTAGGTGTAGACACGGACCCGCACGGCAAGCTTGACGTGGTCGCCACGGCAACAGATTATTTCCTCACACACAGATGACCTGAGGAAGGAAATATCAACAACAACAAAGCAAATTCAGCCTATTATTAAAAAAATTTCTTTTAGATTGGAAAATCAATGATCTTTGAAGTGAAGTACTTTTTTTTTAATCAACTTCTGTCTTGATTAAATTTCATCATCTTGTCAACTGGAAATTCTCCTCAACCCATAATTATCTATAGTATACTGCCCCAAACCGCCCTTCCTATTACTCCATTAAGTCAGTCTGGAACGCTGACTTAATGCAATGCTTTTCACGTTTTAACTTTGCATTCTCCCGACCAAAGAGACTGTTACTATATCACGTGATTCGGGGTAAGCCTTATGCTAGCAACCCCCAGCTCTGGAATGGTCTGGTGTCTTTGTGTCATTCTCACCCATCGTGAACAATGTATTGGTGCCGAGCGTCTCTTACGTAACTATGCAAGAGCTTGCCCCGAATCATGTGATTAGCAACAGTGTCTTTGGTCTGGAGAATGAAGTTAAAATGTGCCAAGCATTCTGAGCAAGTCTGTGTACCAGACGTTTTTCAAATTTAAATCCCAAAGGGCATATGTCACTCGCAAATGGCTTATTAATGCTCTAAACCAACCGGGCAATGTATGCTTTTATGGTATCTTCAGGGAATAAATACAATGTTATACAATGTAGTAAAGGTCCTCATGGGTTTAAAAATCACCTCAGACATGCAGCAAAAGCTCGCCTGGCATTCCGATGCACAAACTGTATGGGGAATCCCTTGAAGGTGTGACCGTCGGGCACAGCGCGGCGTATCGCCTGCTGGAACTCCTCGTTGCCTGCTACCACGCCGGTGGAGCGCTCTAGCTCATAGGCGGCTAGGGCTGGCGTCAGCAAGTAGGAGAGCTCCGGATCCCAGATGCAGGTCAGGCCGAGATCCTGATCAAGTGGAAATAAAAAGCTGTATCCTTTCTGAGTGATCCCCATTTGCTATTTCCATTAAAGGTAGAGTATATCATCATTTGTGCATTTTTGTTGTTTGAAGCAACAAAAGTGCTCAAAATCTAAAGAAGGGTGCTGAACAACTAACCTGGTGAAGTTTTAGCTCAGTGAATGCTGTATATTCCGAGAAAACAATATTATGGGATCTCGTTTCAATTCAAAAGTTACCGAATCCTGTTTTGAATTGCGCCCGAAATTAGCGTCCGGGACACGGTATCTTTCAGCTGATTGCAGCTACGTGATGTCACGCACTGAACCGACGAATCATAGCACTCGCACATGTATGCGTCGTGTCAATGCTTGCGCACTTTGCAAAATTAAAAACGAACAACTAACAGAAATTTCCAAAAATGCAAAATGCATCTTTAGACGCATCTTTATTAGGAATAATTTCACAGGGAGTTTAGTCCTCTTACCATCTTTAAACCAAGTATGCTTTTCAACAATAATTTCGTCACTTACTTTTTGGACAGCTGCAAATGATATTCTGTAGCTTTAATGCAGCATTGCTAATGACTTTGGGCGTGATCCCTGGCTCATGGCATATACGAGTTTGTGACTTCTGACTAGCGCCCATGAACAAAGCCCGGAATTATGGAAAAGCCACCAAAATTACCATTGCTTTTCTTACCTTCCTGTGGTCCGAAACCAGACTTCTGAGTGACAGCTCAATCTCATTGCTCAGTAAGGCAGCATCGAATGACGAGGGAACTAACGGGGGCAGATTGGGCCATGTAGCCTGCAAAGAACCATCACAATTGACAAACAATTAGATAAATTATTGGTTATCTATATACAGACTCCTTTCACTTAGGTCTACCCTCGGGCCGGTTCATACTTCACACGAACATGAAAGCCTGGCAAATTTCAAGTCAACAACTGAAGTTTCATCAGACATCATATTTGAGCCTCGGGGGAAAAAACGGGAAAAAGTGTCCCCCAGAATCCCCAAAAGTGTAACATTTGTTTACAGAGCAGAATGTTGAACATGAACTGACATGAGAATGAATGGAAAATCCTATTGGAATAGGAAACCATCATGCTTGTTTCATTGTGAAGCTTGCCATCACCATAAGGAAATCAGGTAACACCTTATGCATAGGGTCTTTTCCAGCTGTGTTATACAAAGCAGTAGTAACAAAATTGTTTTCAAGTCTTTGAAAACGATGAAAGGAGATGTTTCCTGGGAACTTGAGGTGATGTACTCGCGAGATACTCGGAGATGTCACGTAAACAGTTCTCAACCACTGAGATTTCACAAACTAATTCCATGGTATTACGTCTTTGCTTGACCACCTACCTGGCTACCAGAGCCACAGACTGACTGGATGGCATCGACGCTCATAGCCTTCCACAGGGACTCGTCATGGAAGTCAAAACGGCAGACCTCTGCATTATCTGATGGCTGAATCAAAACACAATATTAAAAGTAAGATGGTGAAAGTCTTATATATCTGAAGGCTTGATATTCAAGTAGCTGCAAGATAGCAATAACTGACAATAGCCCAAAAACTCAGTGGACGCAAAACAAACTAAGAACCAAAACAACCCCACAACAATTTTATCACAAATGAAACCATTTTCTTAGACATTTCCCACAGTAACTTCCTGAATCCTATAAAATCAACCAAAAAATTCAACGGCACATTTTCTTTGTATTTATCTTTCAAGGAACATCCAATACCGTACAATAAAATGTGGCTTGATTTGCCTTCCTTATTCCTAAAAAAATCCTACAAAAAGTTCTGGTGGAATTTAAATGGATCCGAGGGGTTGGCATTGAGGGGTTTTATTATTACTTTATTGGTTTTTTTTTTTTTTTTTTTTGGTGGGGAGGGGATTTGTTTGCATTGTTAAGCAGTGAAATACACATAATATGCATCACACCTAATAGCCTTCAATATCCAACAAAATGTTTTTAAGGGACTTTGCAGGATTGAGGAAGATAATTGAGCCAACGGGGTTGGATTCTCCTTGAAATTTTAGAGCAAAGCCTATGTCATTGGTTTACTGCGCACTGGAAGAACTTTTGGAGGATTTAGACAGGATCCTTGCAAAAATACTAAGGGAGTTGGGAGTTAGGTTTAGATACCTGACTGTTTGCATAGAATCTTTGGTGATTGAAGACACATCCGATGGTGCGGTAGGGATACTGAGGGCGTGGTTGATCCACTATTGGTGGATCGTTGGGGTTGATTGGCTGGTGGATGTACCTGTGGATAGTAAAATTCATTCTCATAACAGGGATGTATATGATGGTGAAAGACACAGCCGATGGTGCGGTAGGGATACTGAGGGCGTGGTTGATCCACTGTTGGTGGATTGTTGGGGTTGATTGGCTGGTGGATGTACCTGTGGATAGTAAAATTCATTCTCATAACAGGGATGTATATGATGGTGAAAGACACAGCCGATGGTGCGGTAGGGATACTGAGGGCGTGGTTGATCCACTATTGGTGGATCGTTGGGGTTGATTGGCTGGTGGATGTACCTGTGGATAGTAAAATTCATTCTCATAACAGGGATGTATATGATGGTTGAAGACACAGCCGATGGTGCGGTAGGGATACTGAGGGCGTGGTTGATCCACTGTTGGTGGATCATTGGGGTTGATAGGCTGGTGGATGTACCTGTGGATAGTAAAATTGATTCTTATGACAGGGATGTATGGGATGGTTGAAGACACAGCCGATGGTGCGGTAGGGATACTGAGGGCGTGGTTGATCCACTATTGGTGGATCGTTGGGGTTGATTGGCTGGTGGATGTACCTGTTGATAGTAAAATCCATTCTTATAACAGGGATGTATATGATATTTGAAGACACAGCCGATGGTGCGGTAGGGATACTGAGGGTGTGGTTGATCCACTATTGGTGGATCGTTGGGGTTGATTGGCTGGTGGATGTACCTGTTGATAGTAAAATCCATTCTTATAACAGGGATGTATATGATATTTGAAGACACAGCCGATGGTGCGGTAGGGATACTGAGGGTGTGGTTGATCCACTATTGGTGGATCGTTGGGGTTGATTGGGCTACCTGTTGATAGTAAAATTGATTCTTATAACAGGGATGTATATGATGGTTGAAGACACAGCCGATGGTGGGGTAGGGATACTGAGGGCGTGGTTGATCCACAATTGGTGGATCATTGGGGTTGATTGGCTGGTGGATGTACCTGTGGATAGTAAAATTGATTCTTATAACAGGATATATAGGATGGTTGAAAACTCACTCAAACAAAATAAGGAATTATTACTAAATAACTGTCCACATGAAATTCGGGGGTCTATAATGAAAATCACAGGTCAATATACCAAAGCATGCACAATCATATCTCTAGCCAATAAGAATTTAAGGAACAAAAATCAATACAAAGTCCACGTCACATGGGTTTTAAAAAAATCCATTAAGGCTGGGCTCACCTATGGCCTGTTAGACTTTCCCAGAATGTTACCAGTCCATCCACTCCGAGCGTCACGACCCAGGTATGCGCGGCTCCTTTGGCCTTGGTTCCTACACAGACGTAGGCATCCAGTCCAAAGCCTAGAAGCAGACTGCACAGCAATACAGCATGGTCCTCACAATCCTATGGGCATATCAAAAACAAATGTCTCCTTGAAAATAGGTAGTGCTCAAATACAATGTCGAGTGTGATAGTTGAGGGCTGATCCCATACTTCGGGTGGGGGCTGATCCAGAACACATTCTTCCGGGGGGGGGGGGGGGGGGGAGCCAACCGGCATTTGCAAATTTAGAAAAGGGTGAGGAGGATAGCTGGCCGGACCTTATTTGATGCACAAAAACTATTTGTTATACTAGAGTATTTTAACAAACTCTTTGTCAGTTTTCAACCAGCGCAGGTCCACGCAAATCCCAATCGGTGGCCAGGTTAGGCTGACTGAAGCATGTTAAAATTGATGAGTCCATTTTGAAATTTAATATTCAAAAAATACACGACCCTTTTATTCATAAATGCACAGCCCTAAATCTTAGACCCAATTTCACATTCGTTTCTAAATGGCAAAACTGCCCTCGGTGAGGGCGCACCCTGCATGGGGTCTATCCTTGTTTTAAAAAAAAATAAGATCATCTAGACGTACTGCAAAAACTGACCCCTTTATTCTTGCAGAGAAATGCATGGGTACTGCTCCACTGCTCCCTGGGCTGGCCCCCGCCCACTGCCGGTGCTTGTTCGTATCCAATCACGCTGATGAATCGGGCAGCCTGGCGTGGCGTGTCCAGCAGGCGCCCAGCTCGCAGAGGTTTGACAAAGGCACAGACTGGACGATTGGTGGCATTCTCATCCTGGAGTCAGGGTACAAGACACGACAGTTGCAATTTAACACATTAGCACCTGTACTACATTGTAATACATTATATATACATTCCCTGAGCACTTGAATTAACATAGTGAATACTGGGTTTTTTCCCATTAACTTATGGAGCTCATGTAACATGAAATACGGCAATGCTTTAGCCACCGCCACATACAATTGGAATTTAACAAAGGATGTGGCTCACTTACATGTGGGTAGGATTATTGAAAATAGACAGTATTTGACTTACATTTTTTAGTCAAAAATTTGAAGAAAAAAACCACCAAAACACCAACCTGTGCAAATATTTTGACCAGTCTGTTTTGGTGGGATGGTCTGATCTGTAGGAACTCCCTCCACCACTGCTTGGCATAAACTAGGAACAGTCTCTCGCGTTCTGAGGTCCGACTTCGCTCCAGATTTATCTAAGGGTGAAAATGAGTTCTAAAAACTATTCCACCAGTGGATTTTTGCAGATTTTTGCAAGAGTGAGGCATGTACAGCTGCAAGTATTGGTGATTAATGAAATCCCTTTTTCATTATTACACTTCCTCATTGCCTCAACCTCAACAAACAAGAAACAAAAGAAGAAACAAAAACTTAAACTAGAAGCAAGAAACAAGAAACAACACTTAACACAAAAATTCCAAAGACCATCTCAGCTGCTTGAGGAGTAATAATAATAATGTGTGGTGCTTATATAGCGCTTTACACCAAAGGTCTCAAAGCTCTTTACAATTATTATCCCAGTTCGTCAGGCCATGAGACCATTTTCTGCAGCAGCTCAAGATCAGCGCAATATGATCTGTACCTTCACAGGTACACATTCATACTTCTGGGTGGAGAGGGTCAATTGTAGTAAAGCGTCTTGCCTAAGAACACAAGCACCATGTTCCCCCATCAGGGTTTGACCTCATGTACAATGCTGCCATTTCCCAGGCTTGCAAGTGGCAATTTGGAAAAAAACGAGGAAATTCCAAACCACACAAGACTTTGTACAGTATTTTTCAATTTGTAATGGCATTCATGAGAAGTAAAAAAACAAGGAAGTTAGCGGATCCGAGGAAAAGTTGCATGCCTGATTTCCAGAAAAAAAATCAATTCAAGAACAACCACCATCTCTGCCCTCGCAGATACCCATTTATCCCCAAGTAGAGAGAAGCAATATACTGAGTGAAGAATTTGCCCAAGGACCCACAGGCTTGACTCAAACCCACATACTTTTGAATTCAGCAAGGATACCGTTAATAGAAGTACCAAATTTTTTAGCTGAAGAGCAGTAAACCAACCTGTGTGGTGATGACCTCTCCCGTTAGTTGCTGGCTGGGTGTTGGTAGGAGTTCTAGTTTCACCTCTAACATACCCACTGGTACTTTACTCTCCGCTCCTTTTAGTTTCAAATTTGAAAAAAAAAAACCCAGAAAGTAATTTTAATAGTAAAGTAGAATATATTTCTGTCCTTGTCAAATCAGGAATTTTATGTTAAAGCTACAGTTCATCATTTTTGTGCAGCTATCCAAAAGGTAACTAACACAATTATAGTTGAAAAGCTTATTTGGTTTGAAGATAGTATTTGGGAGTAAACTCCCTGTTAAATTATTCTTTCTTGCAAGCTGTCATTTTGAAGAAAACAACAAAAGACGCATCGTTGGAAATTTCTGGTAGTTTTTTTTATTCGGTGAAGCGCGCACAAGCATTGACAAGACACACACACGCGCGGTTGCTATAATTCGTTGGATCAGTGCGCGACATTGCGTAGCTGCAATCAGCTCAGTGAGAACGTGGCTCGGACGCTGATTTCAGGCTCAACTCAAAACACGACTCAGAATCGAGCATGAAAGTTCGTTTCCTGTCCCATTATTATATCAATTAAATGACTCAGAATCTTTTGAATTAAAATCGAGATCCTAGAATATTGTTTTCTCGGAATATACAGCATTCACTGAGCTGAAATTTCATCAGGTTAGTTGTTCAGCTTCCTTCTTTAGAATTTGAGCACTTTTGTTGCTTCAAACGAACATAACGCACAAATTACAAATGATGGAGGCTACCTTTAAATTTATGTAAAATAATTAAGTGTTTTACTGGTATGGAACAACCCCCATGACCTCTGGCAGTTTTAAGCCAACAAGCATGTTACATCCCAACTACAGCAACAATCCCAACTAAAGTAGGGACGGTCCCAACTATATAGTTGGTGCAAGTCTCAACTCAAGTTGGGACAATCCTAACAACAGTTGGGATCGTCCTAACTATACTTGGGACAATGCTATAGTTGGGCGTAACAAGCACATACCTAAGCCCAGGAGTTCCACTGCGATGGTCTGTCTGGCACCCTGGGAGCTCAACACAGTGCGCCACTGCAGGAGGTGTGAGGAAACCAGACTGGTGTCGCCGGACGGGTCTGTCTTGACCAGTACAAGATGGACTGGGTCACAGATGGAGAGCATGGAGGCAGCGTCCAACATCCTTGAGGCATCACCTGTAGGGGGAACATTTCAAAACACACTTTGTAGCTTCTTTTAATACTGGCACTGGATAAACAAGGAACGTGACAAATCCGTAGACTGTCGGATAGCTCAGTTGGCAAAGTGCCAGTATTGTGTTCCGGAGGGGGCAGTTTCAAATCCCGCTGTAGTCACTCAAAGCACACACACAATGATGGGTTTTCTGGTAGCTCACTGAAAATGTTTGCATTAAGTTTGCTCATGGGCTTGCCTTTCTATCACTTTCTATTTGGTTACATCATTTGAAAAGCACCCTAAACTCACCTCTTTCATTTGTTTTCTCATTTTTTAACCTATTTTGCCATGCCCAATGATATTGATAGAATTAGACTTTATATATATACTGCTTTTATTATTTTTATTGGTTCTTATTGGGTTTTTTTCAGGAATTGGGAGCACTGAGGCTGTACATACGTTGACATTTTGGTTGACTTCAGATAATTTATCCATTCAGTCGCACTTGGTTTTGAAAGATTGATGTTGAAAGGCTCTATAAATTAAAGTTTGAATTGAATTACATTATAACGTCTTTAAACTGGTCTAGGCTGTTTTAAGAGGATTAAGACTAGTGCTCTAGTTGTGGCATACAAAATATCAACGCTCTAGGTTTTGTTTCATTCAGCCCTAGTGTACCAGGTGACAAAATGTCTGTTCTTTGCTTTGAAGAGAACAATTTTCACGTACCTCCGCTTTCTTTATGAAGCTCCAGCAGAAAGCCCTCCCGGAAGTCTGGCTCGCAGGCACAGGGTACAGGACGGGATCTGAAGCGCTGCCCACGGAAGTGAACATGAAGCAGGAAGGTAGAGGTGGTCTGGCCAGGCAACGGCTCTGGCTCCTGGAGGTGCTCTAGGAAGGCTTTGCCGCTGAGAACTTGGAGGTAGAGGTAGCGTCTGGTGGGGTCAATGTTGGCTGTGGATAAAATACAAGATTTCAAATGAATAAATCAGTCAGAAGACATTAATCGGTTGAACTATTACATGTACAAGATGGGGACAGAAAACACTGGGCTGGACAGTAGAAGTTGTAGGTTTAAATCTCTCTCTAGGCAATTTCTTTGTTAAATCTCATGTTGATTTTTTTTAAATCTCATATTGATTAAAAATAACCCAGTTCAGTATTCCTTTGACGGTTTTGAGATAATTAATGTTAAGATAAAGAAAATGCATCTTAAATCATCATATTAAAACACAGGGGGGTAACTGACTAGGTTCACTTGGTTGTACAGAAAAAAAAAGTTACTAGGATTTGAACCTCTGACAGAATATTTGCAATGTTCACGCACTCTGGACAACAAGGAAGCTGGCGGGATATTTTGGAGGTCTCTGGTGTGAATTCAGCTACGATGCCTGGGCACCTTTAAGGAATCTTTGGTTCTGTTACCCAAAACATTCAGACAACTAACAGAAATGATTCCATCCGAAAAAAAACCCAATAACAATAACCAACCTTTCTTGAGTGGAACACCCATGACCTTGTCCTGCTTGTCCGGGAAATGGCTAGCAGGTTTGGGTTCCTGGGGAGCCGCCCTAGGCCTGGAGGGCAACCCCACGGCTCCACTGAACTGCAACTGACTCATGACCTCCTCAATGATGCCCTGGTCACGCAGGACGTCTAGTAATTCTCGCTCCCCGAACTCATTTGCGGGTGCTCCGTGACTCTCGTCCAGTAGGGAGGTCGAGAGAACATCGCGGATGCGGGTTTGAACATCCATCTGAAATTAAAACAGTGGCTGATTCAACAAATATTGATAATAACACTTCACTTCTTCCTTGTCACCTGACCTGTATCTATTCATCCACAAAGTTAGGGAACTTACCCCAAAAGAAGTATGATTAACCCAAACACTTTAAGTTAATTTGGCTAGAAACATTGCTAAGTGGCACAATATGGAACACTTGTCCAAATGACAGGCCTGCTCAGTGTAGAAAGATTCTTCATGTCAAAAACAACTCACATGCCAAACTGCTTCAGAGTCTGTAGTCACCAACTACAGCAGTATACAGTGGCATTGTTCAAATTTGCAGTTTATATATGCAATGGTTTTGATGGCTCTATTCAGACTTTTACGCCTTTTGCCCTTTGTTGCCTCTGGCAGGATTAGGGTTAAGCAAGAATATACATGTAAGCTGGAATCAATCGCATTCGTAGTTGACTTGTGTGAATTAAGTTGCAACATCGTGCGTGCATCCAAATCATTTTAATCTACATGTAAGTGCACTGCGAGTCGTCGTCGTGCCGATCGTGGGTGACAGGAGCATGGTTGTGATTATTCCGTGTGGAGATGCTGCTTGTTCTAGATAATCACACGATTTCTCAGTTTTGTGACATGCGCATTACTTTTGTGCTCGATGCCTAAGTAACCACAGCTTGGGTTCTTAAAGTTTGCTAGCCCGAATTGCATGCACTAGGGTCAAACTTGAACTTACCTGATTCAGCTGGTTGTGAATAATCTGCTTCAACTCGGTGATTTTTTCTGGCGGGAGTGACATTGTTGATTTGAAGACGGGCAATCAAAATAGTTCTTCAGATTAAACTAGGCATCCAACTAGTGAAAAACCAAAACAAGAGTAAATTCCAATCTTTACAAACTTTATCTACATCTATGAAGGGTCTCATTAAAGCCTCTGCAGCATCTAGATGAGGGTGAAGTCATTGAAGTAGAAAAAAGGGGGGGGGGGGGGGGTTGGGTCGGGTTGAATGTAGTTGGCAAAGGGCGCCACCACCCAAACAAATGTCACATTGGAAATGAGAATTGAGATGTTTATGTACGCAGTGGATTTTTGGCCACGCTGATTTTCTTTTACTAGTATTATATGTTACTTTGCTGGAGGCTTTCTCTGATTGCCTTATGATTACGTCAGATTAGCTGCGTCTGCTTCATTTTAGTAAACGGCTGTTCACTGCAAGAGTCACAGATGACCTCAGGTAAAGTAACAATTAATTAGCTAGTGTGGCCGATATGAACGATTACGATGTAATTATATTTGAAAATTAAAAGGACTGCTGCAAACTGCAGAAAGACTCCGGCAAACATTAAGGCAGTGGATATTTAGCCAGATCTGGCTTTCTTTAAGTAAACGATACTTTGCCGAATAGGCACTGAAGATGCGCAGTGACCGTTTTTTGGGACTTAGTGTGGTTTTGCACCAACATTGTCGTTGTGACTTCCCATTCACAAGATGGGAATCAGACCATTTTACAATTTCTGATGTTATTAAATTATTTCCCTTTTTAAAACCATTCTCCAGAGCCACGAATCAGAAAAAAATGTATACTGCTCCGCAATTAAATATTTCAGTCAATATGAAATAATAAAAGAAGAATACTGTTCATTTTTTGGCAAGAAAAAATAAATTGGAAAGGTCGATAGCCGGACTTGAACCAGGGACGGTCGCTCGCTCATGTCATGACTCAAGAGTTAGCCCATCTATAGTGGCCGCGATATTGCATAATATAAAATATAGGCAGTGTATATTTTGCCGGAGACGGCAAACCTTTAGTAAACGTTAGTTTGCCGGATATGCACTGAACATGCGCAGTTACTGTTTTTTTTGTACAAGTTTTGACAAGTTTTAGTCTGGCTCCATGCCAAAATTATCGTTGTTACCTCGTATTCACAAGATGGGATTCAGACCACTTTATAATTCGGACTCTATTTCCCTTTTAAAAAAAAATCCTCCAGAGCCACAAATCTGAAAAAGAAAATGTAATACTCTGCAAAAAATGTTTGAGACATGTTAAAATAATAAAAGAAGAATATTCTTATTTATTTGGGGATGAGAAAAAAAAACTTAAAAATGTGGTGCGGTCGGAATTGAACGCGTGTCATCCCGCTTACTAGAGCCTTTGCTTAACCATTACACCAAACGTGCTACACAACTTTTGGTAGGAATTTAATACATCTTATAATTCAGCCCTATTTTAAAGAGTACAGCGCCCTCTGTTGATATGGATTGCCGCCGGCAAACCTTTAGTAATCGTTAGTTTGCTGTCATTACCTCCGGCAAAATATCCACTATCTAAAATATAAAATTAGAAGGAAAAAAGTGAATTTGAATGTTTTGAAATTCGGACTTTATAATATTTCCCTTTAAAAAAAAAATCCTCCAAAGCCTCGGGTTAGAAAAGGAAAAAAATTCGAGTGCAAAACTGAGATGCGAACCCGCAACCTCGCGGTGCAAAATCCTACCCTCTATCGACTGAGCTGTCGCACTGCTCGCTAAAACATGGGGAAACAAATAATTATATACCTGCGTGCGTATCAAAAAAGTATCGTAGAGGGCGCTAAACAACCGCTGCCGTAACGATAGCCACTTCGAAAAAAAATGGAAAGTGGGTCCTAAAAAAAGTAACTAACTAAATTACTAAGCCTAGCTAGGCCTACTACTGACTACGTTTCTTTAAACGTGAAAAAAAAACAGTATATAGCTGTGATTACATTGCAGTTATGCTCACTTATTGTCTAAACCGGCCTAATTAATTGACGAGTTTTAGAAAATCAAGTTCTAGTTCTACACTGCCGGCCGCAATGCCAATCAAAATTTAGCGGCATAAAAGTTGTCGAGTGTCCGCCGCTATAACTTGTATCCGAATTGCAAATACTGTTGATACCGTAGACCAGACTAAATATCATCGGGATAAATTTAGGTCTAGTACCTAGGCCTTAATTTCGGCATAATACAGAAAATTCCCTTGCACTGTGCACGCTGACTATTTGTAGAAAAAGTTGACACATCACATGCACAAGCTTACATCGCACAACGAACAAATGCATCATCACACGCGGCGCACAGACATGACAGATGGGGTTTTTATTTCTCGATACCTTTTGATTAACATGAGCCTCAGGTAGTTAACAGTTTTAAAAATAATGTCTGCCTTCTGTGTAATCGTCGTGTTGTTTTAACTTACTTGCACAGACCAAGGTCCACTTGTGAAAGTTTAAGTTTATGAATGGTTGAAGTTACAGCACACTGCTGACTGCAGCAATGCAAATAGTCTTGGCCCAAGTGACGCAGCGCAGTGGAAGGTGCATAGTGCGCCCTCTAATGGCACAACAATTAGACCAGCCAGCGGGCCTGTGTTTTTATTCCTCCATGATCGCACTATGTCTTTGCCATTTCAACTTTCGTGGCAGCGGTTTAACTTTTCTTTATTTTCTCCGTAGCCTTTCCTACGGAACCAATCAGCGTCTTGGGCCAAGACTACAGTGCCAATAGCAATAGCATTAGGCACAAATACCTGCATCAATCGTTTATTAATGGGGCATTATTGCCTGAAATGAAATCCCTGAAAATGTCATGTTTGGGATTGTTTACTAAATCCTATTTCAAAGGTCTGGTTGAAAGGAACTTAACCCAATGTGCATGTGAACCGTTCCTGAGAAAAGACACAAAAAAAAAAAATTTACATAAAACACGTTTATGTTCTGCTTTTAATGATCGGTTCCATTTTAATATCATTTCTTTTCAAATGCGTTTTGTAGCCCAATTCGACATAAATATTGTTATTTAAATGTCCCTTTAAATATTGAGTATATAAGTGAGTTGCCATCTCGTCCAACTACAAAAAGTACAAGTTTGATGTTGCAATTTTTATCAACCTAAGATGTTCTTGCAGTATGAAAAGGGGAATCACTGAAGGATTTTATTAAGATTTAAACTCTATTCTTTCTCAAAGTCAAAGTCAAATTTTATTTTCCATTACATTTACCAAAATCACACTTCTGACAAAACATGAACATGATGAACAGAAAACAACTTCCATTCATCCTTTTTCGGAGTTCCATGCCACAGTGCAGCAGGCAGACATTTTTCATGCTGCAAATTTGTTTCTTTCAGAAGTTCAAGTTTAAGACATATGTGACCTTAATAATATTTGTTTTGTAATATTAATTCTAGCTTTTACAAAATTATAGGCAGAATTTGTTAACGGAACCATAATTTTATACATTGGGACCTTGTATTCATGCAATCTGCCTTTATTTTACAAAGGAACTAGTAGAATCTTGTAAAAATGATAAATTACAAAGCTTTGGAAACACCTTGGTTTCTGACCACAACCTGGGAAGATTAATTCATTTATCAGTCAACCAGATGCAGTGTATACAATTTATCGTGGGATGTTTTTAATGTGCCACCGGCCTTTTATTCATTTGTTATTTATTCATCTTTTGCAGTTCATCAAGATGCAACTTCTAAGGTATCTGGGACAACTTCTTTAATCTCATCAACATGGGAAAGAACACGAGAGGCAAGACACAGCTTGAGGTGCGCGTGGACTCTGCCCTGCACAGCATCGCGCCTCCCAAGCTAACTCGATCCTCCTGGTGCAATACATGCCTAGTGGCCGTCAAGACTGTAGCGTTAGTCTTGTTCTTCTACAGCTGTTCCATCAGCTTGACGTTCTACAACAAGTGGTTGTTTCAGGTGAGAGTGGACAACTTTATGTATGGGTTGAAGTTACTTTAAGTCTGAAGTAAAGATGTGGTTGTGTTCTTATACAAGTCCTAACAAGTCAATCACGTAGCAGTCAATCTCAATTGACATTAGGTTTTTTTCACACTTCCAGCTACATGTACTGGTGTTGAAATCAACATAGATCACAAAGATTCCCATATCTGGGCATCACTTGTCACCCTTTTCCCAAACAGTATGAGACTAGTCTGTAAATTTTCCACGTGTTTTCTCAGTAAATACTTCAATATTTTCCCTGCTGAAGTTGACTTTTTAGGACATATTATCATTTTCCGATGGCTGATAGGTTACTGAAGGGAAAAATTAGTGATGGCCAGATATGGGAATCTTTCCCATAGATGAGCCGCCAGTAGAAACAGTTCTCTCTGAACACGGGTGGTCAAGGTCAACCATCCCCTTTTGACACGGGTCAGCCATACATTTTGGATTTTTTAAACCCAAGTACAGCCTCTTAACCCTGGTCCTGACTATAGTTCAATTTTACCAGTGGAGAGTGCTGGACCCGTAAACCTAGAAGAGGTTGCCTAAATCTCTGGGTTTGACCCGGGTCCTAAAGGCATTCCTTTGGTCATCCCACCCACCCGTACAACCTTACTGAAGGGCTCCTTCTTCCCAGACACCATCCGCCTGTGGAACTCACTGCCCCAGCAAGTTGTTGAGTCACCAACCCTGGATGTCTTCAAGACCAGAGTGAACGGTGTCACCTTCAGATAACCAACCTGTCCCGAAATAGCTGTTTTTACTTGCACATGTTTGTCTTTTTATGCCTCGAGTTATGTCTGCACCTGCTTGTTTACACTTCAACCAATGTGCGAGTATACTCCAGGGGAGGTTTCTGCACAGTATCGGAAGATGAGGATGATGATGATGAATGTTTGTCTCCCGTTACTTGTTACCTGACTGATTTGACTTGTGATTGACTTTGGAATTGGAACTCAAAACCTGAAAACTTGTTAAGTACTTCCCAAGTTCCAAGGGCTAGAAATACCCTTGGGGCCAGTGCCACTGGACTGAGCCGAGTAATTTAAGCACTTGTAAATTTCATACTTCCTATGACTGAATAGCAGTAACACTAGAAGTGAAGTGTTTTGTGGTTTTTGTGTGTGTGTCGGCTTTTTTTGTCGTCGTTCTTTACACTTTCCACAAACCAAAGAAAAACTCAAGATCAAGTAAAATATTCACGGTTTTATAATGCCCATGTTTGATAACTGCAATTTTTATTTCCCACATTCATGTTAGAATTGAAACGGCGGATACATTCACACCAGTCTATTTTAGCACAGTTACCAAATATGCCCTGTTCTCAATTTAAAATTGATGTTCAATTTTTCTTTCCTCAGAATTTTAAGTTTCCACTGTTCGTCACCATCATTCATCTAGCCATCAAGTTTGTTATCGCTGCAGTGGTACGGACATGTCTTGGTTGTGTAGCTAAAAGGAACAACATCATCCTCCCGTGGTCTGTCTATATGAAGAGAGTTGCCCCTACTGGTACGTATCATATAAATCAGCCGCAGATGTGGGGGTTTTTTTATTGCTAAAAATCAATTGAACCACATTGAAGGGAAACTGACTACTTGGTACTTAGTTGGTTGGTTCTTCTCCTAAGGACTTCCACAAGGGAGTATAACTAGGAGGCCAGAAGCACCGGGGCGAACCCCTTCTCTTAGCGATAAGTGTTACTGGGTTCTTTTACATGTGTTAGGCCTTATGCAACACACGGGACCTCCGGCTTAACATCCCATCCGAAGGACGAAGCAATAATGGTTAAGTGCCTTGCTCAAGGGCACAAGTGTCCGGGCCCGGGCTCGAACCCACGCCACTGTTGCCTCAGAAACACCGAGCATGAGTCCGGTGCTCTTAACCGCTAGGCCATGACACCCCACTAGATGTATTCCTAACAAATAATCATAAAGTTGAATGAAGAAATTGACAGCAGAGTGTTCTACCAACAGAGCTATCGAACCGTATATGTTGGCAGTTTCCCAATCAATATGTTTGTCCTGGGGTGTATACATGTATCGTCTTGTTATCATATTCAGTGCTCTCCGTAGCATTTGTTGGTTGATTTTTTTCCTCATAACCCAATCAGATAATTTTCCAAGAAAGTTTCTGAATCATCCGAAATCCGCCACTGTCATGACTGTGCATGAACAAAAAGGCCTATTCATTCAGCAGAGGATATTTGGCTCATGGTGCCGGTTTCCTTTTAGTAAATGTTATTTTCATGGAGGTTTTCTCTGATTGGCACGTATATAATTATGTCATAGCGGCCACGCCAACTTTCTTTTCACCAATTCACGTCGGATGACATGTATACACGCAAATGTTTTAATGGCATTCAGAATGGATGACGGATAAACACGCATCTAGCTAGGCTGGAAATATCGGTCTAAACATGCAGCGAGTGAGGCCGGAATTATCAGGGTGTGCTACCCGCAGATGACGGCCTGAACCCGTCTGGCATCGTGGTTCGTGAAAATAATCCCGCACCTGGGTCCGGTCAATGTCAAAATAATCCCTAGTGATCTCCAAAATCGTTTTTCTGAAAAATCTACTTAAACATAGCCTGTTGAAAAAAATTAATGTATATACACGGGAAAGGCATGCATATTGTCTCCATTCACAGTCCCTTAAGCGAACGGTTTAACATGCTTCTCTTTGTGTAGTATATATGATTTTATTTTTCTGAATTATTCATTATTTAAACGCAACAGTGTGTCATTGTGTTAATGTTACAAATTGGATGTACATGTATTGTTACAAAATCAATGACAAACTCATAGAATTCAATGAAAATTTCATAGAATTCAGTTAAACTCTCATAAACGAAAAATCTCATAGAATTCAATGAATATCTCATAGAATTCAATGAAAATCTCATAGAATTCAATGAAAATCTCATAGAATTCAATGAAAATCTCATAGAATTCATTGAAAATATTGTAGAATTCAATGAAAATCTCATATAATTTAATGAAAATATTGTAGAATTCATTGAAAATCTCATAGAATTCATTGAAAATCTCATAGAATTCATTGAAAATATTGTAGAATTCAATGAAAATCTCATAGAATTCATTGAAAATCTCATAGAATTCACTGAATATCTCATAGAATTCAATGAGAATCTCACATTATACTTCATGGAGACAGCAAAGCTTTAATGTAAGAACGCATTAAAAAAAATCACTGGTATGTCACTTCCTAATGCAGCCTCCATTAAACTTGGCTGTAATATACTGTCCATGCTATTTTCCAGTTTCATTTATTTTTTCCGCTACAACTGTATCCTTGGTTTTCAACCCACCAGGTTTCAGTAGTGTTCTGGACATCGGACTATCCAATTGGAGCCTGTTGTACATCACTGTGTCACTCTACACAATGTCTAAATCTACAGCTATCATCTTCATTCTAGTATTTGCAATATTGTTCGGTCTTCAACGAGCGGTAAGACCTTTTTGTTTGCTGTTATTTACCTTTCAGTCAAACCATATTTCTCATGAGTGGCCAATTACATAAAACTGCCAATTTCAGAAATTTGTTAGCACAGAAATATTTGCTTAGCAAAAACAGGTTAGCAGTCAAAATGTCATGCCGTGCATATTGCTTTTGGTTGGTGTTCATATTTTTTGCTTAAAGGGAATATACAACATTTGCAAACATCAGAAAGCAAAACTACCAAATTTTTATGAAATACCTTACTAGGATGTTGGTAAATGAAAGTCTAAAGCATCCTGTAAAATTATGGCACCTGGTGTGAAGTCATTTTCAAAAAAAGTGGTATTTTGTATAAATTTCCAACGGTGGTCGGCCGACCAGCGTTGGAAAAACCTAACTATTTTTCAACTACTGCTCCAAATTTACCATTTTTTTTTCAGTCCAAATTTTGTTTGCTATTGGTTACATGTTCATGAACAGGTGCAGGCCAGCTAGATTGGTTTCCTTACCTTACAATGTTCCGGCATCTATAAATTGATTCATTTCATTTTAGTGGAGTCAGGGAACCAGACGACTTAAACATTTTTTGTTTTTCTTGGTTTTTCCAGCATTTTCGAACACAAACCTTCAAACTTGTCAGGGTAACAATATTTTATCTACATGTATTATACTAACCCCTCAAATAGTTCATTTCTGAAATTTACAGCAAAAGCCAATGATGTACATTCCCTTTAACATGTACATTTGTTTTTTAGCAGTGTCGCCTGGTTATTTTAGCAGCTCTATGAAATGGATCTTAAATAAAAAATAGATAAAATAAATTGTAATGCTTCTATAGCGCTTTCCATCGAGAGGGGGTACTCAAGCACAATCTATACCCACTTCCCTCTGTGTAACGCTGCTCAAGGATTCTGCGTCTTTTCTTTTTTCATCAGCATTTCTGCCAGATCATCATTGTCCTGTTCATAGCCGGGGGGTTGTTCATGTTCACCTACGAGTCCACTCAGTTCAACGGTGAGGGGTTCACCTTGGTCATCATAGCCGCTGTGCTAAGCGGGTTGAGGTGGTCTTTAGCACAGATACTCACCCAGGAAGAAGAACTAGGTCAGTCTGCAGTCATCAGGGCAAAGTTTGTAGCATTTTTGAACTCTTAACATTTTCATAATCTTTGAAATCCACTTGGAGGTTTCAGAGGATTTTGCAGGATTGATGAACTTAGAACCCATACGCTTTTTAAAAAAACGTGTACTGGAATTTGTATCCTTGTGGAGTCATTTCTTTGTTCTCTTGTACTAAAGTTTTCGAGTTTGAAAGCGTACTTTCAACATGCTCATATATTAACCAGAATTAATTTCCTGGGCTGAAATTCAGACTTAATATCCCTTACATAAAATACTTCGATTTGCGACAGATCAACACACCTTGGAAATTCCAAGTTTTTGAATAAAATCCATATATCTATTTTGTGATAACCTCGTGGAGATGTATTCACCTATAGAATTGCTCCGTTGAGATGTATACAATCTTTTGTTCCCTATTATGCACATGTCTCCACAGGGCACCATGTACCAGATCATTTTGTTTGACACTTTTTGTGAACAGTTAGTTTGACGCCCCTCAAAACTAATGTGCAATTCAGTTCCTAGATTTGTGGATTTAATTAAAGCCACGTAGGATCAGTTACCTGGAAAAAGCCCCTATCACAATATATTGACAGAAACCTTGCTCAAGTGAAGATAGGACTGGTATTGAATTGCCCATGAAATTCTTATTCGCTTGAAAAAAAAACAACTAAAATTTAAGGTTGTTTGAAAATAGGTTGCCCATTGACACACATTTACATGTTTTAGCAACAGAAATCTAGTTTCCGAGTCCCAAAAGATTGTGAATACGTGTACGTTTTCTCTTTTTTCTCAAAGCGTATTGTATCCACTGAGCTGAAACTACCCTACCGAAGAATTGAGCAATCGTTTACTTCAAATGGGAAAGAAAATGTACAAAAAAGTAAACGATCCAACGTATATTAAGGCAGAAAAATAGTGCTTACATTAAGCGGCACTTTTGAACTCAAACTTCTCCCAGTTGAAGTTAGAGTGCTGTATATTGTACATAGAGTTGACTTGAGTCTACATGTACTAACAGTGAAAAAAATATTTCATTTAAGCTGCAAAAAAAAGGTGATACGATTTTGTAAATTGAATTCTATTTTCAGGTCTTTCAAATCCAGTGGACCTGATATACCACCTTCAGCCTGTCATGATTCTGGGACTGATGCCGTTTGCATTATTTGTAGAAGGTCAGTATTATTGCCTAAATCTTTATTATATTTAACCCTATTTAATCCATTAGTACCCAAACCAACCCAAACCGCCCTGCCTGTTACTCCCTGTAACGCCCACAACTGCCCAAGAACTCTCTAGTTTTGTAGACGCTTCATTGAATAATCACAATGTAATACAATGTAGTACAGGTACTAATAATATCATTCAACTCAATGATCTAAACGAATGCAGGAACTCCATGATCTAAATGTATGCATGCTGCACAACTCCACTCATTAACTGAACACAACCACACTGCAATGTACTGGATGTACACAATGACCTTGACATCACATTCAACCCCAGGTCGTAGTTGTGCCAAGTTTGTGTAATGCCAGATTTATAGTGATATTGACAGAGCTTATCGATAAGATTACTTATCGATCGCTGATAAGATTGCTTATCGGAGACTTGGGCTAGCCGGCCACTGTCTCAGACACCTCAAACTTCTAACCAGCCAGCTTGTCCCTTGGGAGGCGACACACGGCTACAGAGGTCGTGGCAACCCTGCTCCACCTATGATAACACCCTGAGGAGGGCTGTGGGTGTGGCCGATGCATCAGAGCTTGCGTTCTGCCTTCTTGACAGGCAAGATCTGTGGTCCAGACAGAACTGATGCTGATGCTGCCATGATTGATTGCTTGACAGAGAATCTCAACACCATTTTTCAAATTTTGGCGGCGAGTGCAGTGATGAGCAATCCTAACAAATAAAGAATAATTAAAATAAATACTGTTCCCCAATAAATTAACATAAAGATTAAAAGTTTGGATCATTTACATTTTTATCTACCCAGGTTTACACATATCCTCCACCAAGTTATTCCTGGGCTTTGAGGACATTCATGTCTTCCTGCATACGTGGTTGACGATCCTCTTTGGTGCTGTGTTGGCATTTATGCTTGCCATGTCGGAATTCTTGCTGCTGTCAAGAACGTCCAGCCTCACTCTCTCTATATCAGGAATATTTAAGGTGAGGCTCCAACGCAGGGCTATAATCAAGTCAGTCACTAATGCAATAGAGTGCCGAAGTGTGCTGCGTATTCTGGTTCATGCACATTGCTTAAGTGTGCGAAGACATCAGCACGCAAACCAGCGCATGAATCAGAACAAAGACAACTGACGTCACACTTCGGTACTCTATATGTGGAAAAGTAAGGTATCACTTAAATGGTTAACAAGAATAAAAGTTGGCATAAGCTTTCGTAGCGCTTCCGACTACATCATCAGATGCAATGCAGAGAGGCATCATCATGCAAGATGTATATACAATCAAAACAAAAGATGGTGATAAGTTAATGGTGTAGTGTGACTCGCCTTGTATTTAGCTGTCGCCTTATTTAAAAACGAATTAAAAACAAACTACTAATGGACATTTCCCAAAAAATGCGTCTTTAGACGCATCTTTGGAAATCACCTTCTTTTATTGTTTTCTTCAAAATGACAGCATGCCAGAAAGAATAATTTCACAAGGAGTTTAGGCCTATAGTGTCATTACCATCTTTAAACCAAGTATGCTTTTCAACAATTATTTCGTCAGTTACTTTTTGGCTAGCTGCAAATGCTCTACTCTACCTTTAAGTTATGATATTTAATGTCAGATTTTTGTTCTTTATGATTCCCAATGTGAAATTCCATTAAAAAAAGTTACAAATTTTACATTTCCCCCTCCCCCTTGACAGGAAATCTGCACTCTGTATATTGCATCCGAGTACAGCAACGACAAAATGTCTCTGCTCAACTTTTTTGGAATGCTGATCTGTCTGTCGGGCATTGGACTCCATGTTATCCTGAAGACGATTGCCTCCAAAGGTCAGAATGATTCCCAAATTTGACAGATTAAAAAAACCCTGGAGTTAGAGACACAAATATCTTAACTTGACATCCATTTATAGACAACAGTAAAAGGTGTTTGCTCTTGGAGAGAAGCAATCTGAAGCTTAGGGGCCATTCAGAATTTTCAATGTTTTAAAATTTCGATCTTTTTTCCAAATTGTGGGTGGGTGGGGGTACGAGCGAATGTTTTTCTCAGCTACCTCACTTGACAGGCACAACCTCATATGTCACGTCATCCACCTCATCCAGAAAACGACAAAACCACGGTCATCTTTGTGGCTTCCAAAACTGCAACCTGTCATTCCCAACAGCATATCAGCTGGCAAAACACAAGAAAACTGAAGGTCACCAGTGCAAAAGAGGAAGACCGACAACTTCACACCGTCACTGAACTAGACACACATGTACATGTACATGGGTATACATGTTCATGTTCAAGTATATGTATATGCAAGTGCATGTACTTGTACATGTTCAGTTTTTTATTAATCGAAATTAGGGGTGGGTGGTGGGTCAAAATAATTTGGAAAAAAAGTCGAAATTTTAAAACATTGAAAATTCTGAATGGCCCCTCATATACTTTTGTTTGATCAGTCACAGACAGTCAAAAATTATTTACACTTCCCTTTCCGTGCCTTTTAGGCAGGCAAGTCAACAACAGTCAGACCAAGCATAGTGACTAGTCATATTCCATCAACAGACAAAAGCAGGTAAATGGAAGTCACAGCTGGCTTATCAATCACCTACAGCCAAGGCATAGCTGTATCAAGTGTCATATATTACAATCACAACCATTCAGTCCTGCCTTATGTGAGAGAGGAGCACTCGACTGTTAAAAACAGTCACTTGATTTGTTTTGACTGCTGGGCTGGCTTTGTTGAATTTGCCAGCCAGAGAGGGAGGGGTTTTGCACTTGTGTTTGTGTGGTACCACTATTGTTGTAGTTGAGTCCATCGCAAGTCCATCACAAGTCCCTCACAAGTCCCTCACAAGTCCATCATAAGTCCATCACAAGTCCATCACAAGTCCATCTTAAGTCCATCAAAAGTCCATCACAAGTCCATCACGAGTCCATCACAAGTCCATCACAAGTAATCACAAGTCCATCCACAAGTCCATCACAAGTCTATTCACAAGTAACTCACAAGTCCAGGAGGTGAAAATAACAAAGGAATGCCTTTGTCAGAGTTCATTTGATAAGCTTATGATTGGCTTGGGACTGGGTGACTTTTGATGAGCTTGTGACGGAGGTGTCTTCAAACAGTGGGTACCGCACAAAAACAACAGATAATGATAAGACAGATAATGGTTGACAGCATATCCATACTATAGGCGTTGGCGTCATTACGTCATAATCAGCCAAGCCGATGGAAACATCTTTTCATTAGCACGTACGTTTTCATCGTTTGCTATGTGCAACCATTCAGCACTCCAGACTCGAGAACCAACGAGTTTTAAGTAAAAACATCTGGGAGCTCGATAAGCCAATGTAAAAAAATCCCGGATGTCCGCACCCGCCTATTGCAAAGAAATAATACATTATTTTGTGACTTTTCTTCAGCTATTACAAACTCCAAGAATGGCGTATCCCGTAACGATGACCACGAGCAGCTGCTCATGAACGATGGGACAGCTAATGATGACGAAGATGAAGAAGAAATATTTAGTGCTAAAAGAATGCATGTTACAAGGTTATAGTGTTAAATCAACCCTTGCAATAATACTCTTCAGTGGAGGATCTAGTATTTATGGAAAGGGGGTGGGGGTGGGGGTGCAAAAATGGAGACGAAACCCAAACATACAAGCAGGACATATATTTGCTCATACGGATGACAATTTTTGTCTTTGAAGTGATGAACCAGTTGACAGTAGAAGAAACAGGGAACAAAAAACAAGACGTACCTCCTAAAAAAAATATTGTGAAAAAATATAAATATCTTTATAGGTGCTATATCCTTTCTCTGTACATAATTTTGATTACGTGTGCTAGACGACATTTTCTATTGAAAATAGTCATAAGATGGTAGAAAAAAATTTTAAACTCAGAATGTTTCTGTTTCTTTTGCTAACATTTCCCGTTCTTTTTGGAACACTTCTGTTCTTTTGGAGAAAAAAAAATACTGTAACTTATGGATCATTCCTGTTTCTTGGAACACTCTTGTTTTTTTGGGACCTTTTTTTTTTGGGTGGAACAATCCTGTTACTTTTAGAATAACCCAGTTCATATTGAAACACTTCTGTTATTAAGTTTAGAGCACCCCTGATCCTTCCGTTATAATAAAAAGAGCCTGTAAATTGGACCCTTTCTCATCTTGTATTGTCAATTTTAATAACATGTTGAATAATGAACCCCATCTCCCCTGCCCATAAAATGTTGGTTTCTTTTAGTTAATAAATATTTTCTTTGTATTACATTGTTTGGCATCTCCAAACGTATTTACAACTCTTGATATTTTTCCAGAATTTTCAAGTTGTCTATTTAATAAATTAATTTTTTTTTTTTTTTTTTTGGTTATAAATAAATACAAATTTTCATCATAATGTGTTACTATTTTAGTAAGCATTGTGTGCTTTGATTGTGCTATTATGTCGGCTTTGAGTTTCCTGCTTTATCTGCCCGTCTTGTGGATTTATGCTCTCACCAGGAGAGAGAGAGTATGCTAATCGTATCATTACAACCCCCCCCCCCCCCACCACCACCTCCATCCCTGCCCCACCTAAGAAAAGACAAGGCAAGCCCTGCACAAAATTCTATTCAATTGATTCAGAATGGATATTCACTGCAAGTCTTTTCATTCATAGAGGTGTGCGTCAGAACCGGATTCCCGACACCTGGCATCAGGAACCAGTTCCAGATTGTGGGGTCGGGTATCTATAAACAACTTTACAAAGTACTTGGTAATTTCTCAGACAATGAAAAGTGGGACATTTTTCAAAATGAAAACCAGGCTAAATTGAAGGCGCGACAGATGACGCTCTCGGAAGTTGCAGTTTACTTCATAAAGCTACATTATGTACATGTCTAAAGACATTGAATTTTGTTAAGGGCTACAGTTCCTGACAATTAATGGAAGGAATTTACCAGGTTGCGGTTTGTTTTTTTTGTGTCTAGTTTTGATGAGACGTCTGTTACGGGTACCCGATTCCAGTACTACCTGTAAATGCACACCAATATTCATTCGGCTGATCTACACAATGGGCCAGTTTGGCCCATTCATTAGCAATATGGGGTAATCCTATAGGATAGCACTGCCCAGCTATCTTTACCAGCCTACAACCAGTCCAAGTCACAAGTAACAGTCTGTCAGTCCGTCTGCATGGACAGGAAACTAGTGGCATCCATGTACTGCGTTCTGAATCTCAAGACTTGATTTTTTAATTGTAACTTGTTGCCTAACTCGGCAGCTTTTGAATAACCTATAGTTTGTCAAGAACTTCCCATTTTTTTAAGGTACCTCGACTGAGATACAGAGAGCCCATGCGGTTGCGCGTTGACTGGACTTACTGTGGGATTTACTGGGGGGGGGGGGGGGGGGGGACGGAAAATTAGTGGCATCCATGTACTATTTTCATCTGGCATTTTTTCCAAAAGTCTTGGATCTCAAGACTTGTTGCCCTACTCAGCAGCTTTGAACAACATATAGTTTGTCTATAACTTCCCATTTTAAGTACCTTTTGATTGCGACGTACCTTTTGATTACGACTGGGCGCTGACAGGCCTTGCTATGAGATTTACTGTGTTGATGGGTACAAATGGGACACCGTACTGGCCCTCTGGGACCAGCACAAAGTGCACACAAACAGGTATGTCTTGTTGACAAACATCTTTATTTTGAATAAGATGATGTTTTTAAACTTCAAAATATTAAACTATGTAGTACAAACTTGTTTCAATATATTTTTTCTCAAGAAAATTAAATACAATGTAACTGCACTCCAAAGTACAGCCATTATAAAGTGTCAATACTCTAAAGAATTAGAACTGATACAACAAATTGAACACAATAGCCAAATTTAGCGTCAAGGCTCTTGTTTAACTAAGTACATTATTTTTTTTCACTGCAATTGTTGTGAACTGGTAAAAGGCAAGAAAACCATGCACAGATTAAAACAACTGAACAGCATGACTGAAAGGGCTTCTATCTTTCAAACAAGGCACTCTGACAAGAAACTTATTACTTACAAACTTCATGAACTGTTCGGAGGTAGATATATCTATCCCAAAAAAATATGATTTTAAAGAATCACGAAGCATTATGGTTACTACTACATGTATTAAGAGTTGATAAGGGTTTACAATGATTCTTGGAGCTGTGGGTCTGTTACAACTACTACTCAACATTAAACTCAACTCTATATTGAAAACTTCCGAGTACAGCATTGACTGGTTACTTACTTATAAACAAAGCTTCCCTTTTCTACAAATGCTTGAATATAGCGATTGATCAACAGTGCATTGCTGGTATTGAAATGTGTGAGTATAAAAGCCATGTACAATGGCAAATTAGTGGTTATGTGACCAGACGATTTTGAAATCTGAAACCTCAATAAGTACTCTAGATGAATAGCACGTGACCACTGTACACTCATGAGGCCCCCTTCAATGGAGAAACCATTGCATACTATTGTACAAAGACACTGGTCCATGATGGATTATCTGAATTGCTAGCACAATGCTTCGGCCATTGATGGGGGCCATCGTGATAGAAATGCTAGCTAGTCTACAGATAGATGAAATGCAAGATTTAAAGCAAACTACATGTACAGCAGAATAGAACGAAAGACGAAATTTACTTTTGAGCCCAAATACATTCAAATGAGTATAATTATAAAGTTAAGCAAATGCATCCAAACTTCAATGTCTTGATTAATTATATTTTACAAAACCCAAAATGATCAGGTCTCTAGCGCAAGAAATGCCAGCTCAATTTAAAAAAAAATGCTACACGAGAATTAGGTGCAACTCCACCATTTTGCTTAATACGAGTTAGATTCCACGCATTACTGATGCTAAGATGGGCGTCACTGGGTGAAAAAGAAGGGTCAGTATCCATCTCCCAGAGGCGAGACAGGGGGGGGGGGGGGGAATGAACAATCCATGAAATAATCGACAGAGGGTTTGTGGGTTGGTGAGAGCCCAAAGCAACGCAGGGTCCATGGTATATGTTTGTATTTGCCTACAGGCACCCCTTCTTATACACATTTGTTTTGTTCTATATAAACCTTTATAGGTAGAGATACCTTTATGATGAAATTTCAGAACCAACAGATTTGTACAACAGATTTTTCTTTTTTCAAATTCTGTAATCAGGGAAAAAACTTCACAAATGTCCCCTCTGAACTTCAAACTTCTTTGCTTGTTTTTGAACCAAAAAAAAATGATAAAACAGCACTTGGGACTTTTTCCATAAATATACAAAAGCAAATTTGTGGAGTTGGAACCTTCTTGTTCTCATTGATTCACTCCCAGAGAAGAGTGCTGATGCCGTATACCTCTAAATACCCATTTGATCCTACCACCTTAAAATAAAGCAAAAAAAAAATAATGGCTTTACAAACAAAATTTGTTTCAGCTGCTTTCTCTTCACCTCCAACCTTGTGCAACATCTTGCGATTTCTTGTCTTCCTCATTTTAGTTGCAGATGTGCTTGTTACATATAAATGGCTATGTACAAGTCGTCCATTGTGGTTATTCCATGTATGAGTGAGTTGCAGTTCAGTGGAGCCGGGTGCTTGCCTCAGTCAGCTCCTAAGGAACACAACCTTCGCATCCATTTCCCAGACAAGCAGGCCAACTTGGTCATGGGTATTCCACTGTAAAAGAAGTCCTATTTTACACAATTTAAATCCAACTTTACTGGTATTCTTGATAGAAATCTTTCCAAATCAAACAAATCCACAAGGGTAGGAATGTAATGAAGCATTCTTGAACTCTAATTTTTCTTCAGGAATCATCAAGCCCCAAGTGCATAACAGTTGTAAGGTACCACCATCTTCAATCTCACACAACCCTTCAAAACCTCTTCAAAGATTTTGAAGGTTTTAGGACTCGCTCTTCTCTTTTTCCACAAGAACTTGTATCACCAATTCATTGGCATCCTCGGTGCTGCTGTTTTTCGCCAACACTCGCAGAACCTCTTCTTCATTGCTGGGGAAGATCCCCATCAGTATATCATAGCACGGATGGTTTTTGGGATCTTGGGCAGGTTTTTGGCCAACTGGAGGGGCCATCTCTGGCTTGGATGCTGCCTTGCTTGCAGAGGTTGAGGTTGAGGGAGCGGGCTTGGGTCTCGTCTGGGAGGTGGCCGCACCATGTCTCACAACCTGGGCACCAGTTTTTCCACTGGTACCCCACTGAGCAGGGTTTTGGCCACCCGAAGGAACCACATCTGGCTTGGATGCTGCCTTGCTTGCAGAGGTTGATGTTGAGGGAGCGGGCTTGGGTCTCGCCTGGGAGGTTGTGGCACCATGTCTCACAACCTGGGCACCAGTCTTTCCACCGGTACGCCACTGAGCGGGGTTTTGGCCAACTGAAGGGGCCATCTCTGGCTTGGCTGCAGCCTTGCTTGCTGCGGCCGAGGGAGCGGGCTTGGGTCTCGCCTGGGAGGTTGCGGCAACATGTCTCATGGCCTGAGCACCTGCTGTTCCACGCGTACCCCACTGCGGGACTATTCCTGCTGTGGTGTGCATCATGGGAACTGCAAGGCCTGGTATTGCCCTTATTACGGGTCCTGCTGGGGCCGGTGCCATTAAAATTTGGTGACTCCCAAAAGCTGCTGCGACAGTCCTGGGTGGATGGGATCTTTGCAAAATTTGATCAATTCTGGGCCCTTTTCTGCCAAGTGGGTCATCGGGAATCATGAAACGGTCACCAGCGAAGGTGTACATTACCAACCTGTCGGAGAGGGTGATTGACATTAAACTATGCACGACTGCGAAAAGTACATCATTTGAAGCATTACACTGTTATCAGAATATTTAATTATTTCAATTCTAAGTTTTACAAAATAGACAATGACTTTCAAAACAGGGTTGCATCTCCGCCAACATTCATACAACACCGATCAAATCTTGAAAAAACCTTTCCATTCATGGCCTGTTAACGCATTTTGGTATTTGATTCCCACCTTAAAAAGTACTGGAATCTGTTCATTCTTATGTGTAGATTTGCGTTTATCTTTTACATCTTTACCTGTTTTCGATGACGTACTTCCACTTGGGTGACTCCCCCATCAAATCTCTGTAATTGTCATTGGATACTATGACTCCATCATTCTCCACGGCAAGCTCAACAATAAATCTGTGAAATGTTCAGAAACAGTGCATCGTTCTCGTGAAAATTGAAAAAACATTACCTATCATGTGCTGCACAAATACCCAACCACAATTCAACAAACTCTTCAGCTTCTTGCAAAGAACCTTCTTAAAAGTATAAAGAGTCATTTTATGCAAATACTTCATACAGTTTCCACAGTTAAAAAAAAGAATATTTTCTTATATTGCGTGGGATGAAGGACTTGGGGAGTTAGTCCCCAAAATAGACCTTATAAATCCATATCAGGCCTGCTGCCACACATGAGTACCGTTGATAACAGGTGTTCTGACCATATTGGGCCACTCACCAAAAATGTAAAACAATGCAACAAAAGTAACTATATCTCTACAGAGCATCACTAGAAAACATTAAAACAATTATTAAAATAACGTATATATTATTTTAGGCCCTGCAATAGAGAATGTTTTGAAAGTTTTTTTAATCCAATTTTCAAGACTCAAAAAACAACTCAGAGACTTTTCTTTTGGCAGTACCACTCCAAAAAAAGGTTATTTTTCTCCAAAGCCCTTGAGTTATTGGAGTTGTTTTTCTCAGTTTCAAGTTATGTATAAGCAACCCTGACACTCTAGCACATTTTTACCCCTTTCCCCTAAAACAAAATGTGTATTACTTTTAGAACAGTGGATGAGGGGAAAGGCAGTGTAGTGCCCCCCAAGCCCCGCCCCCTCCCCATGCCATCAAATTCTGCTTGTTTGATATTTGCATAATACTGTAATATTACTAAAAATAGAACAATTTATATAGCGCAAACATAACAGAAAGAAATCTTGATGCACTTTACAATTACGAAGTGTAAATGGATACCAATTTGCAAGAAAACATTTCACAAATTACACCTGCAGATTTCTGAGGGCACTATGCATAATCAATTAACGGACATAACACTCACCTATCATCGTAACAGTTGACGTACGTGCTTCCAATCCTCCTGGATGGAGTGAAGGACAGCAGACCCTGCTTCTCTAGCTGCTCCAGTATCTGTTGATCCTTCATTGGCCGGTCCAGGGACTTGGGATTCTGTGTCCTCCTACCCTGGGGGACGAAGACCGTAATGTCTCGGTGGCCCCGCCTCTGGAAGTACTGGATGCAGATGGCTATTCCGCGACAAGAGTAGATCTTATTCCTTCCATGGCTGTGACACATGACAAGAAAGAATGTAATTACCTTATGGCAAAGATGAGATTTTGCTTCTTGACTTAATCTTGGTTCCATTTTGAACCAATATTTATACAGCCAGTGAAGCTTTTATTGGAAGTTTTCATTAGGGCAGCAAGGTCAATAGGGCTTTCTCACAATGCGGCCTACATCTGGGTACCAGAAATTCAGCATAGACATTGTAGAAGGCAGAGATGGTACATGTATAGCACACTACGCAGTAGGTAGCAGACAAGCCTAATTGAGATAGATGGCAAAAACTGTGCAGAAAACACGGAGCCAACACCAGTGCAGAGTTGTCTTGATTATGACAACCGTGCACAACACAGAGAGTGACTATAATGCCATTTGATAATACATTTGTGGTTAGTTTATGTGAAAATATGCCCTACTGTCTGTTAACAATGCACAACATATTTGCTGACCAAATGCTTGCCTACTGCAAAGATGGCAGATCACTGGAAAACCAGATGGTACTTTAACGTCGTATTAGTGGAGCCTAAAATTAGTGGCTGGGCTATATTTCTTCACAGTTTTTTTTTAATCCTTGACGATCTGGAAGAGCTAGGGTTGAATTGTTAAGCTTTAACAGTATCCATACGTAAGTAAAATGCCCTGTTTACTTCTTTTTTCACTTTTAAATATGAATTTGCCATAAAAGAGTAAGCTCAATAAATGAGTTGTTAGGGTATAAGTGAAGAATCCAAATTGAACAAGTTGTAACATGCAGTTCAACCCCTAGGCCGAGTTTCACTCGTTATCCACAGAACCCAGTCTCCTGTATAACGTCTAATATATGGAGCATGTAGACTTATGCAATCCCGCGCCTAAACCAATCGGAGTCGACTTTACTAAATCGTGACGGGATTTCATTCCCAAATCAGGACTAAATGTGTGATTGGTCAATTCAAATGCAGTCTTTTATGATGCTACAATTACAGCCGGGAATATAGATCGATAAAACCTAGACAGGCTTTCGCATATCACGTAACATAAGAGCGCGTGACCACAGCTTTGTTGCTGTGTCTGGTTTTTTTTTTAATCCATGTTTATGAATTGACAACGAGTGAATAACCACAGACCCGATAATAGAAAGCGCCTGCTGATTGGTCAAAATCTCGAGGTCAAGTGGTGGTTGTCAGGGAGTTAATTAATCAGCGAAGCTGCTCACATAGACTATTCAAACCCCAGGTACTCGGCAAACTCCTCGTCAGTTTTCGTAAAATGTTGAGGTAAGCCTCGAGTTACCCGCCTGTCTCATTTAGCATTCTCCCCTTACCAGGGCAGTAATAATGTATGAATGGCAGCTACAGAACTATATTCCAAGAAAAATCCAGATGATCTGGTGCTTGCAGCCTTCTAGAGAAGTAAAAATAAGTCACGCCACATACCCCATGGCTACATTGCTGCCATCTATGACGACGGGCCGCAATGGACTAGCAGGAGTTCTCTTAGCCGGCGCGATGACAATTGCTTCGCTGGGATCCTCAGCCGCTGCCTGAGCCTGCTCCTGTTTCAGTTTCTCTTGCTGCTGCTGCTGTTGCTGCTGCAGCTGCTTGAGGGCCGTCTCCTGCTGCTCCTTGAGCTTCTGCTCCTGCATCTCAAACTGCTTCTGGAACTCTCGCTGTTGCTCCAGCAGTCTCTGCTGCTGCTGCAGGTACTGTCTCTCCATTTCCTCTAGCTGGGTCTGCTGCAGTAAGTTGGCCACTTGCTGCTGGCTGCTGGCCTCAGCCCGGTCCCGTTCCGTCTTGTCTTGGAGGTCCGTGATCTGCTGTCTCAGACTTTCGATGACTCCCTGCAGCTCATCCTGTTTTTCCCTCACGGCAAGTGGCACGTCGACGTGACCGAACTGCCTGGGTTTAGTGCTGCGTTTTGCTAATCTCGAGCCTGATGCTTTCTTGGGCTTTTCTTGGAGGACCCCCTTGATGTAGAATTCCTCGTGCGTTTCAGATTCCTCTGAGGAGTCCCCGATTACAATCTCAGGTTCACTTTCGCTGGGGATAACTATTATGCTGTCCGTCTCATCTACAGTTATGACGCTATCGAAATCGTCATCATAAACAACATGTTCTCTCTCTAATTGTTTGTCATCCTCGTTAAAATGTGGGTCATATTCTTCTTCCTTTATTGACATTGCAGATTTGACAACAGGAGTTTCTTTAATTTGTGCTTCATGTGTCCAAGTAGCAGGCGTTGAGGAACTTTTTGGATTGAATTGTGAAAATATTATTTGAGATCTATCAGGAGAGCTTTGCTCTCGTAAACTCCGCATCAGTGATTCCTGCGTGTTTTTCAACTTTTCCAGGTTTGTAGCTGAAGCTTTTGTACGGCGAGATGCAGCTGAAGGAATACTTTTCTGGGTCTGCTCCCTTCGCAACATTGTAATCAAATCGGAGCACTCCCAATCGCTACCAACTTTTTGCAAGACCCTATCGATCTCTGTTTGCGTAAAATCACCCCGCTCTTTTAACCGCTGTACAGCAAGCATTTGTTGGGAATTCAAATGCAACTCCAACAAGCTGCCACTATAAGTGCGTCCCAGGTAAAAAGGCGAGGAAGATTCAGAGCTGCTACCTTGGTCTAGATGCAAGTGGGATTTGATTTTCTTCCTGTCAGGTGAAATGGAGGACTTCGACGAAGCCGGGATAAGTAATCTACTAGGTTGTCCTTGAATGATTACTTCATCTTCACCCTTCAACTTCAAAGGGTCTCCTCCTAACAAATCCCTCTGTTTTGTTGGGGTTTGGGAATAAAACGGTGACCTGCTTCTCATCAACGGGTGCTCCAGGTTATCGTTAGGACTCTCTACCGTCATGCTATCCACATCCAGATCCATGTCATCTACATCATCTGACTTCGGATGCTTTTCAGGAGCACTTTGTCTAGGAAAAGGCTGCATTAATCTTGCAAAATTTCTGTGCTGAAATTGTACATCTTTCTCTTCTATGACAGACAGGATCAGGGACAAGTTCATCTCGTCGTTGCTCTTGGCGAGAAGTTCGCCCTTTTTCAGGAACTGCAAAACACACGAGTAATTCTCCTCCAATTTTGTTTGTGATTCTGTTTATCAAAAATGAAACCAAATTACATTTGTTAAATAAATCCAAAAGGAAAACTGACTAGGTGCAGATTAAATAATTTAAAAATTGAACAGAAAAATTGACTGGAGCAGGGTTAGAACCTGCAACATCTGAAATTCTGAACACAATACAGGTGGTTTACCGACTGAGCTACCGCCCACATAGGGCTGGATAGCTCAGTTGGTAGACCACTGGTACGGTACTCCAAAGGTATTAGGTTCAAACCCAGCTCCAATCAATTTCTGTTTTGAAATTTAGAATCAAAATTTTTCAACGAGTCAAATGTACCTATTGAAATGTTTAGTTTTACATGTAGGCCTATTTCATAATCCCTAAGTAAAGTAAACGCAAAACAAAATCCACACTTCTTTTCTGACAGACAAAGATAACTTTCAACCAACCTAGGCCCCCTTCCAAGTACTCACACATACACTTTTTTCAACGGTCATTGTGGAAACACCCATCAGGAATATGCGTGAGCAGATCTCTTTTGAATTCGTTGTTGATTACATGAGTACATGTCTTTTCCTAACACGTGATCTGCTGTTACACCACTAAATTTACCTGAAATGGTTATATTAAAAGTGAAGCGTTTAGGAAAGTGAAATTTACATACCTTTCAGTTCTGTGTGAATACTTTCTGGATATGTTATATTCATTTTGTGCATTGCATCACAAAATATAGTAATATACTTCTGCAAAATGAAGAGAAAAAAACACTGAATTAGTTTCAGAAAACACATTAATATTTGTTGGGATTAAATCTGGCTTCTTTTAACTTAGTAAAATGGAGATTTCATAGTTTGCCCACTACTGACAAAAAGACATGCTTTTCTTTGTGTGTACTCTGGGTGCATAGCATGTGGGTAACCTAAGGGCATAGGGCGTTCTCACCAGACAGGGGGAAGTGGGAGGGCTGGATGTTACAGTGGGTGGGGTTGGGGAAGGGGGGGGGGGTGTTGTCCAATTTTGGTACAATCCATGCTGAGAAAGACAGTTTTTCACTGGTCACTCGGCCTCCGTCAATCTAAAAGGGGGTGGGGGGGTTGGGGGTGGGTTGGTGCCCAATTTTTGTGCCATCCGTCCTGAAAGGTAGACAGAGGGTATCACCTGTCACTCGGCCTAGAGGGGGGGGGGGGGGGGATGGGGACATCATCTCTCTTCGGGACACCCTTCAAAGTGGAAACTATCGGACAACAGGTGGCACTCTTCATGGAGGTACAATTAAAAATGGGTACATTAGAGGAATATCTTAGATATTTAGGAATAGTAAATAGCAAACAGAGCCAAAAATGAGCCGGGGTCTTAGGTTCTTATTTCACTGCTCACAAAATTTGCTCACTTCTCCCCAAAACAAGAAGTGCCTCTTACTTGAGCTTTAGTGCAGTCTGCCGCGTCGCCACTCAGGGACACCCATCGCACCTGCTTGGCCTCGCTGATGCGCGCAGCTTGCGCATCCAGCTCCCACTGAATATCGATGGCGACGCGGAACCGCACCTGCAGACGCTCTGTCCATTCCAGCAGATTGGGCAGGGAGCTACGAGACACCGTGAACTGGACTTTGGTTGGACCTTGAGAATGCTCCTCAAATTCCATGATCATTGTTGTATTTCTGGAACTGGAGAAATGTGGTTAAAACTGTAAAATGAAGCACATATTTTATGCAGTATTCACCACGTATAATTAAATAAACATTATTAAAGCCAAATAAAAAAAACATGTTTCACGTCCTGCCCTTTTGAAAAAAAAAAACGGGAGGCCCTTTTTTCCCCCTCCAAAATGGCCTGCGGACCGGGCTATTTTTCAAGATATCCGCCAACATTTTTTACAATGGCCGCCATTGGACTCAGGAAAAGACATACCAGCTTTATATAGGCTAGATGCAACAGACGAAGAGACCAAAATGATGTCACTGTTTGAAATTTAATAAAAAAAGGAGGAGGCCTCCAAAAAAGAAGCGGGCGGGGACGCTAAACATGTGTTGGGGTTTTTGTTTGGCCTTATAAAACATCATTTGCCTAAGTTGACAAAAAAACCCAGACTTTGGCCACAGATGTGTTTACCTACAGTAAGGTATCACTTAAGACAAATGTTTATAAGTGCATGTGTTGGTTTTAGCACTCATACTATCTGTATGTATAGCACAGAACCTGTGGAACAAACCAAACAAATTTGGCTATACGAATACCAACAAGACTTTGGTTGAGTACAAAGTCTGCTGCTACAGTAATGGGACCAATCACATGATAACGTGTATAATAGCAGAACATTTCAATTACAGTAGATTAAAATCTGCACGATTTGGCTTTACACTTTGTTGGTGGACTGTTCAGTTGATGTTACAAAACACATGACAAAAATAACAGTGTCAAAAGGAACATGTTTGCATTGTCACAATACTTAGTGGGATACTGTGGTACAATGGTTACGGAATTCGAGTCGTGTGCCATGGTGCATGGGTTCAAATCCTGACGGGGAACTTGGTGCTTGTGCTCTTGGGCAAGGCACTTTACCATGATTGCCTCTCTCCATCCAGGGTAAATGGGTGTGAAGGTAGAGACCAAATTGCACTGTGCATTTTGATCTTGTTGATGTTTTGTTGATGCTTTGTTGATGCTAAATAACACTACCGCAAAGATGAAGGTTTCCATAAAACGGCTCATTAGAATTTAAGATTTGGCGTGTCCCAATCATACCAATCAGTAAATGGGTAGCTTCAACTAACTTGCTAGCCCCACTTGTGTGCATTTTTTTTTACCACTGCATACGGTTGTATTCTATGATGTTTTATCTTTTGCCCTCCGGGTAGATATGGTAATCTTTCTTCAAATTTTTAGAGAAATTTAGACATCTTTCTGGAGTCCTCAAGTACAAGTTTCAGACTAAACTCCTCAGTAGATTGGGAAACCAGACGTGTGGCCTTACGTACAGCGCAGCAATACGGAGGCCACACAAGCAGACAAGTGGGGCTACTAGCTTGCCAGCTCCTCTAGTGTGGGTGGGCCAGGGCACGATCATGAAGATGGGACTTTGGGTAGGTATTCTAAGCTCAAAATCTGCATGGCTATTTATATTCAAAGCTGAATTGCATATCATTGGGAAGCCTGGAAAATATTAGTGTTACTGAATATTGTTTTATTAATGCCAAATAATGGTAAACATGCGGAAGAAAATTCGGAGTCAAAGAAAGAGAAACACATTTGAATTCAAAAATAAAAAAAAGGCCAGTGTCAATCATTTAGGCCCTAAGTAAATTAGTAAACGCTTCTGACTAAAAATCAAAGTGGCTATCGTTACGGCAGTCGTTGTTTAGCGCTCTCTACAATACTTTTTTGATACGCACGCAGGTATATAATTATTTGTTTCCACACGTTTTAGCGAGCAGTGCAACAGCTCAATCGATAGAGGGTAGGATTTTGCACCGCGAGGTTGCGGGTTCGAATCTCAGTTTTGCACTCGAATTTTTTTCCTTTTCTATTAAAATTCTAACCTGAGGCTTTGGAGGATTTTTTTTAAACGGGAAATAAAGTCCGAATTTCATCACGTTCAAATACACTTTTTTCCTTCTAATTTTATATTTTCTTGTCATGTTTTTATAAAAGTTGCAGTCTACCCTAACGAAAGAAAATGGGAAATGCGTTACGGCTGCCGTAACAATAGCCACTGCGCCTAAAAATACCTTGCCTCCCCAGCTAGGGCCTACCTTTTAACTTCAGTTCATCTTTTCAAATGACGTGTAACTTTGTAACTGTGGAGAAATTGTGATATCATCATCTAATTAGGGAACCGGATTTTTATCGTGACAGGTTGTGTAATGTGGACTTGCACAATGGCCCAACACACGTATGGAGGAAGAGTGGGTGAATGAATCACCGTTTTCGTGGGTTTAGGCCCGCGCCTAAACTAAGTTATGTCGTCACAACATGGGAAATTCCCTCTGACATGACGTGCTGCATGCTCGTCTGCGCAAACAAGTGAAGCTTCGCGCTGGTTCTCGATATGGAGGGAACCATCAACCGCGCCGATTGTTAAAAAAAAACCACTGTGCGCCCTCTGTTGATGGAATATTTGTTTATGTGTAAACGTATCATGGGGGCGGGGGCGGGGGGCGGGGGAGTCAAACTCCTCCCCATCGCTCTATATTCGTGCCTTTATTAACAAAACATGTGTACCGAAAACCTAGGTCATTAATGTCACAATCACAGGATTCATTGAATAGCAAAGTGAGAAGACAATAAGGCAAGGCAATAGAACTGGAAACCCATTTTTAAAGAGGAAAACCATTAATCGATTAAAGATAAACAATTCAATGAACGAAAAATTAATCAAGGGAACTGGAACTGGTCATGAAAGCTTTTATCACCCTCAGGCCCGTATCATCCAATAGGCACAGTAGGCACTGTGTCTAGGGCCTACGAAAACTTCGGGGGCCTACGAAAAATTGAGGGCCTATACGAAACAAACCACTGTGTGCCAACAGGCTTTTAGAGCTACCAGTTTGGACTGGCTTGCTTATTAGTACAGCTTAGCATCAACATGAAATTGTGCTGATGCCTAGTGCGGAATAGGGCCTACGGAACACTTAATCCGGCCCAGTGATCACCCTTGGACTCCGTTGTACTGTACACAACGTAATGCAATGAAGACGTCGTCCAACCTGGGATATAGCGTCACCCGGTTCACATCGCGTAGGGAAAAAAATCGACTGCCGGTGATCATTCTTGTATCTTATCGGATTGTATTTTACTTTGCATTTTGAGAGTGGTTGATAAATGTGTGCGGTTGCGGTAATTCGTCGGTAGCTGCAATCGGCTGAATGAGAACGTGTCGATGTCCCAGACGCTGACTTCGGGCACAATCCAAACATGACTCAGCAACTTTTGATTTGAAATAGAGATCCTAGAATATCCTAGAATATTATAGTTAGCACTTTGGTTGCTTCAAACGAACATAATGCACAAATAACAAATGAAGGGCTCTACCTTTAACTACCAGCAACGTGACGGGCTCTTGACCAATGGGAATAAGTAAACTGAATTAGGTATTTTTGCAGGCTATATAGGCAATTATAGTCGGGGTTTTCTTTTGGAGGGGGGGGGGACGGGGCAAAGCCAGGCTGAGAAGTTTCCTGCGCCTACTCAACAGAGACATCAGGGAAAGTACTAATATAACAACATGACCTTTTTTTGCCAAGGACTAGAACTTGCTGCCCTGTTTTATTACCAAAAAAAGGAATTTATATTGCGGAAACCTTGCCAACAAATTAAGCACAAATTATTCAAGAAACCACAAAGCTTAAAAAAATCGACGAAGCGAGGTTCGATTTACTGCTTGCTCTACGATGATATAATCGATGCGCACCCAGCCCCTAACACAACTGATTCAGCAAACCATTTAGATTAATGAGGAATCGATAATGATAAATGACTGTCGATAATTCGGCCGAAGCTTAAGACATGTTGACTCTCCTTCAAAAGCTCGATAGGAGGTAATTAACTCAGTTAATTTACATGTAGAGCTATCAGAATGGTCTTTGCCTGCATTATCTCTACCCAAGGCCGCTGATGACACAACCTAGCTACCTGGGCCAGTCTACGTTCGATCTCGAGATCTCGAGACAATAGAAGTCTGACAGTTGGGTTTCAGACCAGTAAATAAACTGCCATAGACTCCACTGATACTAATGCCCCTACTTCAGAAATTCAGAAAAAATACTCACAACTCTCCAAGGTGTTCGAGGCACGCATCAAATTAAAGCTTATTTCATCATCTTTCATATACTTTTCATTTTTTTTGGGGGGGGGGGGTTAACTGATGACTTTTAGGAGAAATTTCCATCCATGATGATCACCCCTAAAAATAGTAGCCCACCGCCATTTTGAAAAACGATGCCTACACTCCATTGCAAAATAGAGCGCTTTTAGGGCCCCAATTTCATCCAAATTGCACAGAACTACAAGCTCACAGTCCTGTGCACGGCTTCCACCCATATTTTTTTTTTTACAAACTCTCAAGTTCACGGCCCACAATATGCTCAAATAGCGAAGAATTTGAGGGCATGCAAATCGTGATTTGGCCGGCGTAGGCAATTTTTAATAATGAAAGGTTTGCGGAAACACCATGTGCGAATTATTTCTCAACTAAAGAGAATGGTTCTTAAAAGAACCAGAGGTATAAACTCCATTCTCTCTCAGAACCATTCTCTTAGTTGAGAAATTATTCGCACATGTTTCCGCAAACCTTAGTAATTGCACACAATCATACCGTAATAAGCCTTTCAGGCCCAATGTGGCTAACGCCAACGTATGGGTCTGTAACATGACAGTGATATTAAATATAAACGAAAATGGTGACGAAAATTGAAATTCATGAGTTTCGGGGCAACGGACGACCGTATTGGTAAATGGATTTACATCGTTTTACATACTGAAACAATAAAATTTAGTGAAAACAATTTGAACACAATAATCGGCCATTTAAAAATCACCTTCGCACCGTATTCTGTTTGCAGGTGAAACTTGAAATTGGTGGACGACGCAAGAAACAGTAAATATGTAATTTTGAAGAGGTGGTAAACATTAATGGTCAAAACGAGCAATTTCAAAATAAAATCTTTAAGTAAGATTTGAGGCCTTGCATGGTGGAGATACCATTAAATGAAAGGTTTGCGGAATCACCATGTGCGAATAATTTCTCAACTAAGAGAATGGTTCTGAAAAGAACCAGAGGTATCAACTCGACGTTCCGGTCAGTATGCTCTGACCGTCTTCAGGAGAGTGCCTAAACTCTGAGAAAGTAAACACCCAAGTAGTAAAAGCGAAATCGATGAAGTGTGAAGTTGCATCCTAGTGGATGCCAAGTAGCTGGGAGCCTAGAGCAAGCTTGATGTGCCCACTGGTGTGCCCAAAATCTGTAAGGAAACAAGTGTGGTCACAGTGGCAGGTGCAAATTGACATGTAGTTGCAGCCCAACGGGTCAATTGTTAACAATTTGTCGGTTAATTTGCCATGGGTCTTCGAGTTCTCGCCCTTATATTGATCGGACGGGATTATGCAGATGACATATATTCATTCCCATAATATTTAATTCTAGAAACATTATGCACTGCTAGAGTAATTCAGCCTTCTTTTAAAAGGAAGAAAAGCTTTTGTCAAATGGCCGATATTTTTTGAGTTTCTTGTGGCAACCAATAATACGAGCGGTTGATCTCTTTTTGTAAGGCAGATTTAGCTACGGTTGATGTGCGCAGGGTGTGCCGGTACCGGTCAGGTCACCAAAAAAGCCGATTTACCCTGAAAGAATCTTCAAAGGCTTTTTCTGCTTGAGTGGTCAAGGGGGTTTGGCTAACGCTGCCGCGAAGGCGGTGCTTATGGACGGCTTAGGAGCGCCCATCCAAGCGTCACACCGAACAAGGAAATAATCGCGGGTATAGAGACTGTGTTATTATGTAGCCACCAACAAAACCTCTTTCTATTATGACGGGACCAGAGTCTGCGGGAGGCTGTCTGGGGGAAAGTTCTCCGGTGACATTCGGACAAACCAAGCGTGAAAAAGCAGACTGCTCGTTCTCTGTTGCCTTTTACTTTGTGCCTACAATTAACTGCACACGACAAATAACGAACAAGTTCATTGCCTGTGGTGCGTTCGTTTAGTTGTCAAATCGTTTAAAAACTTGACCCGTTCACAGCAAAAGTAAACGTTGGTAACTTGTTCGTAAACTGGTAGACAATGGAGAAGAAAGGTAATGTAATTATAATGTCATTTATTTCATTGGTAAACCTTATCCGAGTGTATTATTTCTATAGCAAAGCCTGTGCACACTCATTGTAAAACGTTTCGACGCTAAATATGTCATGGTTGGTATTTTTGTCGATGCTTGTTAGCCATGCTATGTGAATTGAGTCTTTTTTTTTACCATAGTATTGAACACTGGCTGACACCTCGCTTTCTGTTGAAAGCACTTCGACACACGGAACACACACAGTTCCACAATGCCCAATGGTTCGGCTTGACTGGAATCACTCGGCGGAAAATTATGTCGATTGTGGACTGGATAAAGGAGAAAAAAACACCCGAGAGTGTTCGGTTGTAATGGGGCCAGACTTTTTGAAGTGTTATAGTTTGTTTGTGGCAAAAGTTGTTTCGATCAGTTCTGTATCTACACGCAACGACAGTTAATGTAACGAGTATGTGGATAAGATTGGGAGTATGCCTTCTTTTCTCACAAAGAAATCTTTAAAAACCTCACACATTCTGATTTTTAGTTGGTTGATATTTACTCTCGCATTTCCCCCTTTTTCTTAAAATAACAGAATTCTATACACATGGAATAATTCCGCATACTGTTGTTACAGCTGGTATATGAACATCTTTATCCTGCATGGTTGCATTTTTTTACCGTAATATCTATTGTGTGTGATTTACTTCAGGCCCTATACTCAGTCCGTTAGTTTACAGACGATGCAACTTTTGAAATCGGACATGATAAGTCTACTTTGCGTTTTAGTGATCAACTGAAGATCAAATGGCTAGAATTCCACGAGGATAATGTTATGCCAGCTTTTAGCACAGGTTTGACCGATACCAGCTTGCAATTTCATGAAACACTTCAGAAACGTATTCGATGGGACTCGAACCCACGACCTCCTGTTTACCAGCGCAGATGTCTAACCATTTGGCCATCAAGCTTGGGCCTCAAGTCACAGGTTCGCGCTAGTAAGCAGCAGGTCGTGGGTTCGAAACCATCTGATTTACCACTTAAGTTTTATTCACGAGCCATCGAACAACACACTTTACATTGATTCAACGATGAAGGGCAAAATTGAAAGAAACTTGAATTGGATGTAAAACTTGTCATTAAAACATTTTTATAGAGCATCGCTTCCCACGTCGTTTGCATTGCGATGGTCACATGATGTTTCTCCAAATTAAAGGGAATATACATCATTTGCTTTTACTGTAATTTTCAGAAATGGATGGAATTGGGGGGTTGGAAATATATAGCAAATATAGTTACACTGACTTTTTTGAGGTTTTGGGTTCGAAAATGCTATAAAAACCAAGAAAAACAATCATTTTCCTGTAGTCTGGTTCCCTGACTCCATATAAGAAGAAACAGAGCAGTTTACATACATTGGGGAATTGTAAGGTCAGGGAACCAGTCTAGCTGGCTCGTACCCGTTCATAGGTTTGTAATCGATTGCAAACAAGTGCGATGGTCAATTGGGGGCAGTATTTGAAAAAAAGCCAGTTTTTTCCAACGCTGATCGGCCGATCAGCGTTGGAAATTGATACAAAAATACCACTTTTCTTGAAAATGACAGTATACCAGGTGCCATGATTTTACAGGATGCTTTACACTGTCATTCACTAACAGTCCAGCAAGGTATTTCAAAATGATTTGGTAGTTTAATTTTTTGATGTTTGCAAATGTTGTATTTTCCCTTTAATCGAGGTTATTGAAGCTTGTCGTCATTTTTTTATTATGCGATCCGAATAACAACAAAACCTACATTGTTACTACAGTGTTCTAACCTGGGTATCGATTATCATCTGTCATAATTTGACGATTTTCTTTGGGATATTTTTTTAGGCCAAGGAGGAGTCAATCAGCTGGGGGGTATGTTTGCCAACGGACGCCCCTTACCGATGTACATCAGGAACCGTATCTTAGAGTTAGCGCACCTCGGTCTCCGTCCGTGCGACATCTCCCGTCAGCTTCTGGTCTCCCACGGCTGCGTCAGCAAGATCCTGAGCCGCTTCGCCGAGACAGGCTCCATCCTTCCCGGTGCCATCGGCGGCAGCAAGCCCCGGGTGTCCACCCCGTCCGTGGTAAGCTCCATTGCACGCTACAAGGAGATCAACTCTTCCATGTTCGCCTGGGAGATCCGGGAGCGGTTGCTGGCCGACGGGGTCTGCACGGAGGAGAACCTGCCCAGCGTCAGCTCCATCAATCGAATCTTGAGGAACGTCTGCCGTGATGGACCGGAGGGGGATCCCGCACCGACCGGCAGTGAGGCAGGCGAGGCCGGTGATCGGTGGGGGCGGCGACTCCCATCCCCCGGCTGCACCAAGAAGGATACCAGCGTCAAGACGGAGGTGCGGGACGACCCCAAATCTTCACCGGGCCAGGCAAGGCACTCCACCTCGTTCGCCATGGACGATATATTGGGGACAAGGGGGAAGAAGAGGTCACATGAATGCGAGAATGGGACGCCAGTTGTTCGTGGAGAGGATAGTGGTGTTGATAGAATCAGAAAAGGTAAAAGAAAATAATATTTCATGAGTATTGTCAACCACATTGTCACTTTCTGCGCGTGTACATGTAATACCTTACATGGCTTTCCTTTCCACAAATTCAGAATAATTACATTTTTATAATGAACGAATGCTTTTCATTCCACAGCCAGAGTAAGAAAAACATTTCCCAGTCTCCTGACGACGACAGAGTATACTGTCCGAAACGTTGAGTTTCCAAATTCCCCCATCCTGTTTTTCAGAACCTCAGAAATTCTCAGAAGAGTGTTCAAATTATGAACTCGAAAATTTGTTCATTAAAACATTTGTTAGAAAAGTTTCCTCATTGGCTAACTGCCATGTTCCGAAACAACAACGGACCACCAACGAAAAGAAAATACAACAACGAAATATCCCAGATTCTTGCAATTTTTGTGTTGAAATAGCTGTAACATTGATGTTTCTGCCTGAAATGACATCACCCTTTTTTGCTCATGACTATGGAAGTTAACATTAGCATAAAACCCCAAAAAGCACCAAGATACCCTTAATGGTAAACCGAAAATTGACAATTGGTATAAATGGAACATACAGTTGCATTTGCACGGATTGCATAAACAAAATACATTGCATGGACCTTTATTAGCCGTGGTGTGCCCTTCCAGCCTCGCTTTCATCTCGCCGGATCGAGTGTCAGGATCCTAACGGATAATTGCCGAGTGTGAGTGGAGTCAAAAGTGTATACATGAAGTATATACTTATACAGTGTCAAACCTGTAAAAATGTATATCGATCAGTGGTCGACTGCCCGCTACAGGGGACTTTTCTTGACACTTTCGACTATTGTCGGCGGGGTCATTAAGAATCATGAACGCTTGAGAGAATTCGACATTTCATCTGTTACGATAAGCCTTTCCTTAATAGTCCGCAGTAAACCCTCTTAAGCACGCGTGGGGTGTTTCTTTTAAGTCCAAAACGTTTGCTTTTGTATTGACTTTACAAAACGTGAAGACCATTGGGCCAGTTTTGGCCGGCAAGCCTTGCCCGTATTTTGCGCCCTTGGAAAAAGTGCTATACCACATTTAGTGGTCGTCCGTATATAGAGCAATCCGAGCACGCTATCAATTCTATCACGAAGGCCCCCTTCAATGGCGAAAGCATTGCGATAGCTTTTACTGAGATAATCCGTTTACGGGGCAATTGCTTTGTACAATAGCGTGCACAATGGTTTCTTCATTGAAGGGGGCCTCGAGAGTGTACAGTGTATGTGCCAAGATTTGTCTAAACTTGGTTTTCCTACCATAACATAAAGGGTCAAGGATCGTATTGGCCAGTACTTGCTAGTTAAAATGTTTAATAATGTGTCACACATAAATCCGTCTGTTTTTACAGAAAATAGCCACTCATTCGCAATGGGGAAATAAGTTTTTTTTTTTTTTTAAATAAAAGTTGCCAATCACAAAGTGGGATAGAAATGTTTGCCCCAATGACTTGAATATACGTAATCGTTTGTGTGGTTTACCTATGCACAGAGATAACAGACAGGGCTGAACTTATGTCCCGAATGTTGATTTGATTTGATCAGTACATGTATTACAAAACTCCGCGCGGCAAAGAACCCATAAACAGTATTATTGCATATTCATCCAGATGTTCAGCAGTAACAGACAATTTTGAAACAAAGCGAAGGTAGCTCTCATAAATGATGCTCCCTGATCACAGCAAACTATAGGTGGGCGCGGACATCCGGGAGTTTGTCTGATCTAGCTCCCAGACCTAGGGCCTATGTTTTTGAAACGCAATGGTTCTTGAGTCTGGAGTGCTGGATGGAAACACATAGCAACCGTTCAAAACTGGTGTGCGAATGAATAGATGTTTTCATCGGATGACGTCACTCCGCCTCGATCTATACAATTTTTTTTATCGTTTCTTCCCACAGACACCAAGAGACAGCGGAAAAGCAAGAAGGTTCACACCGAGTCCCAACACCACGGCTGCGGCTACCAACCTCTCAGCATCAGAGATGAGTGGCAACGTGTTACAATGGTAAGACAAACAGTTGAATCCAGTGTCATTATGAATTTGGACTCTTATGAAATCAGTCTCCTTTACCTTATATGGAGTGTAACCCTCACACGTGACGTGACACTGACCTAATTATGTTTCCTAAGGCATGCGCAGTACATCCAATGACTCCGTATTTCATAGAGTCTAAATTTCACACCACACCGGCTCTTAAGTCTTGAACGACTCATCAGCCTTTTTTTTAAATATGATGGACACAATGTGAAGGTCGGTACTTGGTGTGGGTAAATTTGGGTATAGTACAAAAGAGTTTACCCACTCTAGCGCCCTCCCGTTGTGTCCATCGTATCTCAAAATGGCTAATGGCTGATCCACTCGACGACTCTCCAACTTGTAGTTTAGATTTCCACAAAGGTCTTTAAAAAAGTAAGCAGAATTTAGAAAAGCATTCTAGCACAATTTTTGTTTATCAAAGTCCCTAAATTTCATCTTTTTACTACCCCGGCTGTAATATTCGATAAACCAGTCAGCCTGAAACCTTCTTCTGGCTCATTCATCGTCTTCCGCTCTTTGAATTGGCAAAAAATAATTACTTTCGAAACCTTTGTCCAACATGTATAGTTGCTCCAGACTCTACTACTGTCTTTTATTTTTTTTGAACTGGGTCTACAAGTAATTTGGAGGGATTATGTCCCAGCTCGACCTTGCGAAAGATCGAACACAGCGGATTTATGTCACAGTTGAAAGCCCTAAGCTTGCGGCGGTCAGAGGGCTTAGGCCCCGTTAATCGATGTTCACCCCCTTGTATTCCCTCGGGCCCTGTGCTAAATTTGACACTCTCGAGCCAAGCAATTATTGGACGATGAAATATTAATGAGAAATGGGTGGGCTACGAGCACCCCTTGGCCCAACCGACCAACTACGGTCAATAAAAAGAAGTCAGCCCAGATCGGAGCAAACCTCTGGGGTGCTAATCTGAGCATTTAGTCTGCGGATATATAATCTGACAGTTCACCCATCCGATGCTTCATTAGGTCCGGGGCATTATTCTCCTCTTGTGTTATCGATCAATTAGGCGTTCCGTCAATGATGCGAAACTACTCACTCATCATCGCGGTGCTAAGCACCGCGCAATGCAATCGATACTGGTTCGATTATGTCGACAAAGAGGGAATCGATCTGTCGGCGACACCGTGTAACGGTACCGTGACAAGCCGGGTTTTTGGAAAAACGGTTACGTAGATCAATTTTTTGGGATGGCTGTTGGATAATCAAAACATACAAGCGTGTTGTGAGACCTTACCGCATGTTCACGGAGAGTTAAAAAAAATATAGTGGACCAAAGATTACTTTGAATATTGAAAGTGCATATACCTCTACGAGTTACACTCAGTGGTGGCGCTCTGTTATATTGTGAACAATTGCTATTGATTTGACAGCTAGCGTAGTAATAGTGGCTGTATGAAATTATAAGCTTATGTTCAACATCGCATACTCTGCTTTGCCCTGCAGACGAGCAGTACCGCCCTCAACGACAAGATAGAGCACAGTCCAGAGGTTCCAGCCATGCTACCGGCTTTTCTGCCCGCATTTCCCGCCTTCCCGCACCCGATGGACGCCTCCAGCCATTTGTGGAATCTCGCCCTCTTTAGGAGCTTCGCCTTTGCGCAGGCTCAGCAGGCCTCGATTCAAGCCAATCCAAAGGCACTCCGTGCTCATCAACATCATGCATCACTGGTCCTGTCTGGACACGGTGCGCCCTCAGCCGTCGTGTCTAACCGTCTTCCCTTTTTACCGCCTCATCCAATCAAGAGACCCGTTCCTCCTGCCATGGCGGGTCACCATTATGACGTCACTGGAGGAAGCATACCCGGATTTTCTGCGCTGAGATTCAAAACAGCCCACATCAAGAATGAGGCTGATTGAGTGGCCAGCCTCACCAACGACTGAATTTTTACCGAACAGTTGTCTCAATTTTTGAGTGTCAAAACATCTGTACATGCATTATAAAAAAAAGTAATAGGCTATAAATACATGAAGCAGTTTGGAACTGTTTGTAAGACTTTTGTGGATTTAACATGTTTGTTTCAAGAAGTGCCAACTTGAGAATAAACTATGTAAATGTTTATTAAATGATGTTGTGTTTCCTGTGCAGGATTTGCTGCAAATTATACTAGAGTGACTCTGAATATAATATATGGAATTTTACGCAATTCCTATTTGCCTAAATCACATTCATTACTGGACGATTTCAGGGTCATGACCCCGATTTTGGGGATATATCATGACGCCAATTATATGATGCTTGATGATAACATCGCACTGCGTACAGACATATTTTATGAAAACTTAACAAAAGTGTCAATTTACATTTCTCGTCGCGTAAGTTTTCAAAAACATTTTGTTTTTAAGGAAGTCAGGTTGACGTAGCGGTACTTTCCTCGCCTTCCACCGCTGTGACCCGGGTTCGATTCCTCCCTGGGCCAATATGTGGATTGAGTTTTCAGTCCCTGACTGATTCCGTGGGTTTTCGTCAGAATATTCTCCTGGGGTTTTCCTCCCACATCTCAAAGTGTAACTTCTTCACATTGTCTTCTCTTTACTGGGCCCCAATGGGAGACAGTGTATTCCACTGAATGAACTACCCAGTTAAATGAGATCGATTCTCATTATAAAGAGCACTTCTGCTTATAAAGAGCAAATTCTGAGGTCCCAAATCTCAGGTTCTCTTTGTGTTTCTTTGTTTCGCTGTCCTTTTATAACAACATTCCTGTTATAAAGAGGTAATTTGGCTAGTCCCATCGACCTTGTTATAACGAGAGTCGACTGTAAACAAATACATTTACCAACCACCACTATACAACGTTACGTAAATTGTAAGGAATGAGCATAGCGCACGTGTGAACAACGCCCCAAGAGTCAGATAATGGTGTACCGTTCCTTCTCCGCTTGTCGAAGTTTCTTATATGCGATAATCGCGTTTGAAAACAAAATTGTGGTAAAAAACAAGAGCGGATCTGGAGGGGGGGGGGGGCTATAACCACCCACCTGTCTCCGTCATACCAATGTTAATTATTGACATTGGCCTATTATTGGGAAAAAATACATTAGTTCCATTCCCTGAAATGAAATAAAACTGCAAATCTTGGCCATTGCATAAGACCTTTACCTTTGAATGTATTCACTTCATAACACCATATAGAAAACCCCTTAAAATATTCCATGATCCCCGCTGACAAAACAAATCACTTTTTTTTATCCCGATGCTCAAGAGTCTCTTTAGAATTGAATATTGAGGATTTGAGGATTTTGATTTCGCAAAAATGTCTGAATCTTTCATGAGCTTTGAGTTTTCGGGACTTCTTTCGGGGACGTGATTTCATACACACCGGCTTCTGAAATGACCTCAGAAGAAGTAGCTTGGTTTGCTCTGCCTACCACGTCATCTTTATTACGTTTAAACAATGAAATGAGATGTTCCATTTAATACCTGATTGATACAAAGTAAAATATATTTATAAGTGAATTGTTAAATTTGCCTGATTTCATGTTGTTTTCCTTCTTATTTGGTTAACGGGTTGGTGTTGATTATGATTAATTTAATGCATTAATTTAACAATTAAAAAGGCAAAATCAAAAGTTATATATTAAAATGAGCAAAGGGAAAACAAAAACAATCTTGTTTATAAGTCCAGCTTTGATCCTCTCTTGGGATAAGTTTAGCAAGAGGTATTGGAATTGAAGGCATTCGGGTCACAGCTTTTATAGATAAACTTTTTCAATTCCAGGCAAATGCCTCTGGCTTTCGGTTTTTTTTATTGTATTTTGTGATTTTTGTTGTTTGTTTGTGCGTTTTTATGCCGAATAAATAACAATAAATAATAATAATTATTACCCAGGATTGGACATCTGGGAGACAAATATAACCCAATTGCGACGATAAAATTTTGCCTCTAAAGGGGAGCTGTGACATTAGGGAGACATGAAGATGTCTCTCTAATGACCGATGTGTCCCATCGTGCGAAGAAATTACGATAACGTGTCTCCTTAGTGGTACCTTTACACGTATAATAATAATAATAAGCCGTTAATATCGAACAGAAAGACGAAAGACAAGTCGCTGAATCCAGACAGTAAGTCGTGTATAACCTGCCAAAGAAAATAAGCAAAGAAATGTGGTAACAAAAACTTAAGGCGAGCAAATTAAGATAAACAAAAGAGCTAAACGAATACATATCATAAAAGAGATATTTGTTTTTAAAAAGAATATAAAAATCACATTTCCGAATACAGCAACTAACTTCACTTCTGTGTATGGGTAGTGTGTGGATGTGGTGATAGTCACCACGCAATTTTAGTATTATTTTTGCAAGACTTGTGTATACAAGTTTGTCTCGTTGTTTCTCTTCGTTATCGGGTTCGTTGACTTGTTTCATAAATAAATCATTGGCCATGGTCGCGGGGTGTCCAGACGAATACGGAATACTGCGTGTGCAAACATGTTGTTTGGGGAACTTTCAGCAGCGCCGTCGACACGAGCTCCCTTGACATTATCAATCTCATATTGATCTTTAATATCATCCCGATTGCATTTTGTGTGAGGGTGTCGATGACATTTTCGCCTTGTGATATTGTGGCTGTCTTGTCACACACCTGTAAAGATTGAATTGAAAGTTATTCAAACCCTGGAGTACATCGCAGTAGAAAGTCCTGTTTTGTTGGATTGGAGCTTAAATTGCAAGTTGATTTCACGCACAAAAAAATGACTCTCACTTTAGTTTAGTTTAAAAAATGTTCCGTGTTTTGACCATGTTTCCTTGCAAACGGTAAAGGCATAGGATCGGTTTCTTTTCATGCTTTTGTTTGTTTCCAATAATCACACCACTCAAATCCCCCAAAAAGAATATTCAAAACCTAAACTGTTGAAGTTTCAGTTCAGTGGATATTACACTTTTCGAGAAAACAGCGAAAACCATGCACAACCTTTTGATCACGAAACACCAATTCGCCAATAGCACTCTTTTTTTTCCAAAAATCGCGATGATCAGTACCAAATTAAATTGATAGAAATCAAAATAAGTGTTTTGATAATAATAAGGTAGGTTACTTTTTGGTTAAATGCAAACGATCGTAAATGTCTTTAAATGTAATGGACGCCTTTGCCAACAAAATATACCAATTCAAGGAACAGCAATACAATAAATCTGAATAAGGTTATAAAAAAAAACTAACTCGTCGAAATCTCAGCTCAGTATATACTCTAGAGAACTGTAAAAACTCGTCTACTGTTTTTTGTCGGCGAAAAAAAAAAGATTTCCGTTCAAAGCCATATCTTTCCAAACGGTTCATCAGTACGTTTTGAATTGCACCCTCTTGTGATAAATATGATCCCCAGTTCGTCACTCGGGACCAGTGTTGTAGGTCTCGAGACCGGTCTCGGTCTCGGTCTCGAGACCACTTTTTGCCGGTCTCGGTCTCGGTCTCGGGAGCTGTGGTCTCGGTCTTGGTCTCGGTCTCGGTCCCCTTTGGTCTCGATATTTTGGCTGGTCTCGAGTCGAGATAACATGTTCTTTGTCCCAAATATATTATTTACAAAATCGAGCGTGCCATTTTCTTTTTTTTATCATAAGGTCACTTTCTTTTTGACTCGCCATGTATTCATCTTTTCATCTGTGATAAACACAAATTGAGCTACTGCCATGGTCACACAAAAATAGAGTCTTATTGCCTGCCTCGTCTCCTTCCTAAATGTCAATTGCGTTTGCATGAGGCGAGAAGACTTTTGTTTCATTAATCGCTATATGCTGTTTACGGCCATCACAATAAGCGATTAGAATATTGGCAATGTCGTACTTGTCACTAGAATACTCGAGTAAATTGCCCGGCAAAGTAGCCGATGCGAGCGATACGCTTGCACTGTACAAAACACAGAGAGGCGTGCGCACTGAGCCATGCATCCTAAAAGTGCATCTCGCCCATCACTTTCAGTTTGTTACAGCGCCCTTCTATTGTGTCGGCCATATTCTCTAAAAGGCTTATGACGATGATGACGGCGGGCAGATGAACAGAAGATAGATCAGGCAGGCAAATATGGTTCATCGATCATCTATAGTATATGTAACGTTATTGACGTTAAACAAAAATAAAGTGGCATTACATTTCAGCCTTAGCCAGGCCTTCTTCAGAGGTAAATGACAGAGGAACAAGAAACAAACATATAAGGGGACACACAAACATGCAGGGTTGGAAGGAGAATCACAAAGAGGGATGGGGGGGGGGTGGGCAGACCAATCCATATCTGGCTACCATCTCTCAATTTTTTGGTCTACATGTACAAATCTATATTCCATGACTGAAATTTTAAAAAATAAATCAACATTTTCTTGCTCCAATTTTTTTTCGAATCAGGTTTACAAGGAGGTCCAATGTAAAATTAAAGTTGCATTTAAATATCCGTTAGTGGTCATTGCTGAAACCAAGGGCTGGCTCTGGAGTTTAGGGTCTGAGTTCCTATAACAGATGAAACATCCACCTTTAACTTTTTACTTTTGTCAAGTTTCAACATGTTCAAGTTTTGCAAAACCTCGTACAAATTGTCGTACTCCTAAGTTAGAGTTTCTTCATCAGATTTACACTTTATAGTAGTTAAACAATATTGTTTTAATTGATTGTGACAATAACAAATTCTGTTGCCATGTTGTAATTTATGGCATGAAGCAAACACGAAGAGCACTCGCATGACACAATTAAGCAGGTACAAGTGATTCCTAACTTTCAATCACTTCCTTCACATCCCCATGAACATCAACATCTCAAGGACAGACTGTTCAGCTGTAATTAGTGTCTTGTTGTTTATTTAGATTATTGTTATTTATTATCCGCGGTCTCGGTCTCGGTCTCGGTCTCGGACCATTTCGGTCTCGGTCTCGGTCCGCCTTGAAATCAGACATTTCATAATAGGCCTATTTTGGCAGTTTCATTTCAAATGTTTGCAAACGGTGTTCATTACCTCTGATTCATTGATAAAATGGCCATTGTTGAAATTTGAACTGACCATAACTTCCATTTTGTCTGCCATTAATGCTCATTTCGCGTTTTATCCCTGTCTTTTCTGACATTATGTGGACCGTCATAATGGCGTTGAAGTGTCTGGCCGTGTGTGCTGAGGTCACTTCACTCAAGGAGCAAAAGGAAGCCAAGATAGCGATGTTATTCCACAGCGGAAATACGAAAATAATCCACTTTATCCGCAGTTTACGGAAAGCTAACACCGCAGCCGTACGGCAAATGCTCCACTCGTCGTGCTCGTGAGTCATTGAAGAAGCCATTAGTAGATAAAGCGCTGTCCAAACCACATGGTTCCTCGCAGTCGGTTCGACGGCGAAAGACATGAAAATATTTTAATAAGTATAATTGAATACAAAATTAATAATGACGACAACACGTTGAAAACGCGTTGACCACGAAATGATAATTATTCGGAACGATCGCTAAAGAGAAGGCCTACAATACGTATAGCCTACGTTCAAACAGCTATATGTGCCAATTTATTTGCTGTTTTCGTTAAATAACCGAGAGAAGGAATTTCAAGTTATAAAATTTTGGGTCCTCAAAAATCAAGCCGTTGGAACGCTAGTCTTTTTTCTTTTTAAAACGTTCTTCAAACGTTTGTGCGTTAAGAAACGGTGTGTGTATAATTCTGAAGTTGGCGTAGGACCTGATATCACACTGTACATTTTTTAAATATATTTTTTGCAGCGCCAGTCTTATGTTGACATACAGTTTGGGTCAAAATTCGTTGCTTGAAATACATAGACGAAGCCAAAACAACGACTACCGCGTCAAATGTAAACAAACGAAGTTTTTCAATGTCTCCTCCGTAAATGCAAGGCATTATGTGGATAACCTGCCTTACAGACCCTTGGAATAAGGTAAGTAAACGATTTATAGAATGAAATCCTTGCGAAATCTGGATGAACGCCACCTTTTACCATTTGCGACTGGCGCGCCGAGGGAGACTGCACACAGGGGGCGTCCCACGTCCTCGCGTATGCGCGCAACTGTGTAGTCTCCTGTAAATTCGTCTCATGGCTTTGCAGCTTGGTTTTGAATTCCAAAATCACAATAGCCTTGTTCAAAGGCTAGATGACAATCTAGAAATGGAGACCTTCACGATCAACATTTTTGATATAGGTATAGACCAATCCGGGCACGCTATCAATTCTATCACGGAGGCCCCCTTCAATGGCGAAAGCATTGTGTTAGCTGTTGCTAATCCGTCGAGGAGCACCTGATTGTACGGTAGCGTGCACAATGGTTTCTCCATTAAAGGGGGGCTCGTGAGTGTACAGTGATCAAGTGCTTGAATAGGCTCACCTTCTCCAGAATACATCCAGGCAAATTATTGTCTCAAATAGCCTGTTGAATCTTGATCTGATGAATGCTATTACTTTCAGCGCCGATACTGATTTATTTATCACTGTGGAGATACTTTTCCCCCATCATGGTTCCCTTCCAGCAAGCGCGATTACTACTAAGGGAGGACCACGATAATATCTTCTTTCAAAATGACGGAAGTTGTTTTGTGTCCTACACACCCACACACTGAATCCCTATCACGAAATTACCCAGAACAACGGTGGGTAGGGCATATCATTTAGTTCACGACTCGAGAAACTAGAATAACAAATTTCTGAGTAACATCGTTAAAAAAAATCGCGTTTTGAAACCCGATATAAGTTTAGCTGGTTGTGCAAAAAAAATTGGAATTCTACGAAGCAACTACGCACGTATAGAAATTCTTTAAAAAAGTGACCAGATATCTTTTTTTTTTATAGTTTCAAGGTTGTGCATTTTAATCCGGCTATAAATAGTCAACTTCTGAATCCTTCATCTTGGTAATATGAAAGTTTCGGTCTATTATGCAGGGAAGCAGAGTTGAAACTATAAGTTTAGGTATGTAAAGTCTCAACACTAACAAATTGGCAGGATCATGGGTATTATATCCATACATATTCAGCCCAGTTGCACTGTTCAATTCTCTAGTTCCCTTTTGGGTTGTAGGCCATCTCCTTTCCTCAAATACTGGGTATTGTAAAATACCTTGATAAAAATAACGAGAACAAAAAAAGTCTGTCAGATAATTTGTAGCCACACTTATTCCAGAATGACTGAGTCAAAATTCTGACCATGAATAAATCGTCGCAGAGCTGACAAACCGGCGAATCGACCATTTTGGCGATTTCGAGATTTTGTTATTTTTAGGGTTTATGAAGGTTGCTCTTTCAAGTATTTATGCCAAAATTCTTAATTTTTGTCTGGATTTTGAGATTCAGAGCCCCCCTTGTGGCGAATCACTCACAAAAACAAATCCATAATTTGACATAGTGACGAATACGAAATTTCGCTGGTAACCAGCTTATGTAAGGTGTGCGTTCAAAGTACCAACGAATGTTATTCGTCAGTTTGTCGGATTGGCGCGCGCGGCGCGCGCGATCCGACAAACTGACGAATAGCTTACAAACAGTGTGAAGAACAACCGGATATTGGAGATTAATGTAATTTGACAAACTGATGAATACGTTTACGATCAAATAAAATCATATCGCACAACTTCTCTGATTTAATAAGTGACCTGATGGATATTTAGTTTCCTATTTTATTCAGAATATATACTAATAAAAGGGTTTTTATCGAAACATTAAGGGTAAAATACGGCGCCAAGAAAAGTGTCCAACTTCAAACGCGAATTACTCCAAACAAGGTTTTCGCTTATTCGTCGGTTTGTCAGCTCTGCGACGAAATATTCGATGAAGACCTGTACGCAATGATGTCAGAATTGTCAGCCAAAATTCTGACGCAAATCCAACTTTTGATGCAAATTTACTTGAACATAAAATGTTTTACAAGTTACATACAAGTAACTTCACGTTTCTTGAATTTAGAGTCGTCATTCGGTCAATCGGGAGTAAAAATAAGAAGTCATCTGAAAGTCAAATTGCAAAGCAGTTTATATATAACGTTCACTAATAGTCTGTCGCTTGACTTGCTACTGGATGATCGGTTATTGACTCGTGAAGACACAGTGTGAAGATTTATGAAGACTTGTGAGGATTTGTGAGGATTTGTGATGACTTGGGAAGACTTGTGGAAACTGTGAGGCCTTGCGACGACTTGTTATGACTTGTGAGGATTTGTGATGACTTGGGAAGACTTGTGAAGACTTGTGAGGACTTCTGAAGACTTGTGAGGACTGGGGAGGGCTTTGGAGGATTTAAGAGGACTTGTGAGGACTTGAGAGGACTTGTGAAGACTTGTGAGGACTGGGGAGGACTTGTGAGGACTTATGAAGACTTGTGAGGACTGGGGAGGACTTGTGAGGACTTATGAAGACCTATGATGACTTGTGAAGACTTTTGAGGACTTGTGAGAATTTGTAAAGACTTGTGAGGACTTGTGAAGACTTGTGAGGAATGGGGAGGACTTTGGAGGACTTGAGAGGACTTGTGGGGACTTGTGAAGACTTGTGAGGACTTGTGAGGACTTGAGAGGACTTGTGATGACTTGTGACGATTTGTGAGGACTTGTGATGACCTGAGGAAATTTAAACATGCCGGGAAGAAAGTTATTTCTTTTTCTAAGCCGGTCAGATGGAGTTCGACTAAGAAAAGAATATCAAAATTTATATTGCCCGATCAATTTCACCACTCCCATATTTTTTAATTTAGTCACACGGCCTTTACACTGAAGAGATAGCAAATTTACATCTTATTCCCCAAATCCATTTCCTCAAACATAAAAATATGTGCCATTCTGCATATTGCACATGCGACACGTTGTGTTGCCGGACGCGATTCTTTTTCTTTCAATAATGCCTGCGTTTGTCCCACTTTAAAAATTAATATGCTTTTGCATTTAGGCTAAAAAAAGCATGACTGAAAAAAATCATCCATGATTCAGACATGAAATCATCAGAGCTCTACCAAATTAATAACAGGTACCCTTGTATATCCATTGTATATCGTGTAATCCTCCACCGCTTATTGTTCCTCTTGAGTAAATGAAGCCATATATATAGTCATCCGAACACAAAACGAAGGGGATTTTGAACAAATGAAAGCTGTCACCGCGCCGCTACCTTGCAAGTCCGTCCAGCTAGACTCGGGGGAGCATGGCTTGAGGTGGCGGGGGTGGCAAACGGGGGAGTGCGCGCTAGGTACGTATAGGGAGAGAGCACTCACCCCTTCTAACGTGGGCATCTGTTCTACTATTGGTCAGATTTGATGTCAGTGAAACTATAGGAGCTGCGCAGACAGTGATGAGCTTCAACCGGTATAAAGTTATAAAAGATGACAAAAATAACTAGTTGTGCACAGACTTCATGTAGAGCTTCATGCGCGACCCACATACAAAGGGACAATTTCGACTGTAAAGGTACATGATTTGGTCAGTCTGCATTGCTGAGAAAATGCAAACGCGTCTTTCAAGTTCAGCGTGATAGGATCGGTGCAACGCGGGAGGTTTTTCTCTTTCCATTTTCTGCCCGGCCGTCAAACCACCCTCGCCGAAGAGTGCCGAGGCTCTGAGACTCGGAGGAGACTTTTAGCTCCGATGTACGTCTGGTGTGGCTTGCCGTGGGCTACGGGGGCCGGGCTGGTGGCTTTCGTCATGCTGGTGGTGTTCACACCGGGCACGCTGCAACAGACCGGGGTAGCGCGGATCGAACTCTGCCAGCCCAACCGGGTCTTACCCTCGTATTTGCAAGACGCCTGCAACGAGTTGCTGGCCAACCGGGGCACGGCACAGAGCGCCATGGCGGACTCTGGGACGGGTGCATCCCCACCAGGTGAGCCCAAACTACTCGAATTAAAAAAAAACATTTAGTTTCATTTAAATTCTTTTTTTGGTAATAACGTCGAAGGTTTTTCGACAAATACCACGGAAACGCTTCGGCTGAGAAGGCATGCAGAATCCAGTGGCGGCTCATCATCGGCGTGAAAGCGAACGCGAATTTGTGAAGTCAAGCGGAGTTTTCGCGCTGGGAACTCGCAAAAGATGAACACAATCATTGTAACTCCGGCGAATTTTGCAGCGAATGCTTCGTGACGTCAAATTCGCTTCGCATTCGCATTCGCATGAAGTATGAACCAGGCTTAAACCGGGCTTAATACTCCACGCGAATGCGAAGCGAATGTGACGTCATGGCACGTTCGCTTCGAAATTCGCCCGAGTTGAAATATGTTCAATTTTTACGAATTCGCAGCGCGAATACTTCCCATGACATCACAAATTCGCGTTCGTGGAAAAGACCTTTAAAAGTTGAGTTTTGTGTAGTGGTGAAAACAAAAGACGCCAATTGTTTTTTTTTCCTTTAGAATTTTTACACTATTTCTGTGAAATATATGTAGGCCCAGTAGACATATCAAAGGTTACAAAAAATATCAGTAAATCTGAAAATTGGGAAAAAATCACTCCCTTTTTTTCATTTTTCTCCTCCACAGCCTGTTCCCAGTTCCATCTCATTTTGCTAGAACGCCTCACATTAATCATTCGTTAGCGGGGGAGTTCCATTAAAGTTTAAAACATACATGATTGTTATTGTCAACAGAGATTGAACCTTTTGGACTCTCTCACGAATGAGAAATCATATTTGACACCAAAACCCAAAGGGTGCCATACTCAACAGTACATAGTTTGCTTCAACTCTGGGCTTTTAAAATGTCAATGAGAATCATGCTGCGGTTTTCCTAAGCCTTAAAATCGGGGACATGCAGCGTTCGAAAATAGCCAATTTCTCCATTTTAATTGAATGCGTAGGAAGGGTATAATGTCATTTGCGTAACGACCGAGCAAAGAAGCAAAAAACAGATCATTGTCTTTCCTGCACACTTAGGGGAAAAAAGCAAAACATTGTTAAGTAGGCTAATAACTAGGCGTGTTTACGCGATCACCGCAAACTTTTGCCTACATTCGCGATCTCATATATATATATTCATATCCGGTTCGTTAGTAAAAACGTCATACATGCGCGCACCACTGATTACTAGCGCCCATTGGCAGGGGCGTAAATCCGGGGGGGGGGCATGGGGGTATATATCCAACCCACTTTTAGACCGGGGTATGGGCTCCGGGGTTAGACCATATGGTATATGTATTCAATGACACTGAAAAGTGGAGAAACAAAGTACAAAAGCCTTAAAAAATGCGCTGTTTTGATGTAATCGCGAGTATACATGTTGACCTCTTTATCCTGAAGAGCTCCCCTAGTGTAATGTATTGTCCAGCCCCCACAGTCAATGCCCCACCTTCGCTCGTACCCCCGCCCTGCAAAACAGGACGCTGGGATACTCTGATGAATTCACGCTCTGATTGGTTGGATTTTGCGTGAATAGTGACCTGCGCGTCATCAAGGTCATGACTCTGCAAGGTTAGAAACGGCCGTTGAGACTGATTCATTACTCTTTTATTCCAGTTTTAGAGATTTTTTTTCTCGTTGAAAAGCGTAATAATGTAGGAAATTCTGTAAAACTTATCTGTGTTGTAAATTTACAATTCCCGTTTCTCGCTCAGGCTCCGTTTTCGAATCACGAACGGTCGGATTGCATTATGCGACGCTAAAAATTTTGTCCACATGGGCCGCAATGAAACAGAAATCACATCTGGTACGGAATGTGCGCAATTCTATGGGAAGTTTTCGGATAGCATTTGCGCACATTGTCTAGAACAGCTGCTTTATACATAGGTCATAGGCCACTTCCGTCACAAGATTCTGTGAAGCTCATCAGAGTATCCCAGCGTCCTGTTTGCAGGGCGGGGGGTACGAGCGAATGCCCCACCGAAAATAGGGTTGCCAAAACGCCCACTAGGCACGTGGGCAACTACACGTGCGTCACACCGATGCCTTTCTCAACTCTTTCCGGTTCGTTACTGTGACGTCACTTCAGTTTAAACCACGCCCACTGCACATTCAGAGGCATTGGAACAGTGGAACCAGTGTGTAGCGTGAATATCAGACTCCATGAAATATGGACTCATTGGTAGTATTGCGCATGCGTAAGTACGATAATATGCTATTTTCAGGAGCATAATGGGAGAGTGACCTGTCATGTGCGAGGCATTCACCAATGATAGAGAAAAGGAGTCCGATTTTCATAGGAGTCGGATTTTCATCTGACACCGGAATAACGCAGCTTGAGACGCGGGCGTCATAATGTAAATGCACGCATGTCGGACATTCATTACGGTTATGATTGGTCAAAACATTTTTGGGCGGAGCTTATAGCAGATATCAATCTATTAAAAAGCTGACGTCGTGCTGTGTCATTTTATTAAAAAGCTGACGTCGTGCTGTGTCATTTAACTTTCTTCCTCTTTTTTCGCAGATAGAAGACCGTTGTCGGACCCCCCGCGTTACGGGCGGCGGAGTGGAGGCTCCGCCCCTCTCAGCGTGCACCTATCTAAGCGGTTGTACAGCCTGCCCACTGTCAAGCTTTACAACGTCACGGACAGGCGACGGCACCAGGGCAATGGTAGAGGGGCCGGCGATCGAGACCAACGGGTGCTCATCAGTCGGTCATTCAATCTTCTAAGGAAAATCGCCTCTTTACGTGACAAATTTGACATCTTAGAGAACATGTGATCGGCACAATTATGTTGTAGTCATGTCAAACATTATTTTGAAAACCTTGTTCGCTTTATTTAAAGGCCTTTTCTCACAATGGTCAATGGCTATTACACAGCAGGTGACTCGGAGAGTGTTTTAGTTATTTTAATTGAGTCACAATGAATTTGCAAAAAGGCTACTCGTGCCTAACATGGTGACCCATTGCCCTCCAAGTCCGCACACGGCCTATTGCAGATCTACTTCGTACTACGTGCTCTAATGATAATATTACAGAATGCATATATATATATTTTTAACTCTTGAAGTTTGCGATACATGAAACTTGTAAAAGTAGCATTGTGATATGCTTTGATTGAAATTGTCGTCTTTACCAAATGATTTGTAGTCTGCCCGGGTGTTAAATACTTATGTCCTTGACTCTTACAATTAACTCATTTTAAATTTACAAATGTGGTACCTGTATTTTTTTTTTTAAATCTCTTTGTTTAGTAGTTAGTCTTAACTTGAAGCAGGGACCTCAAGTAGTACACTTTTAAGTGTACTTTAAAGAAAATACATATGTTGTTCACTTAAAGGTTCAACAGGATTTTGCTTTTAATATTATCAATATTTATATTTATATCTTTTATCGATATTTTATAAGCTTAGTTTGCGATTTTAGCTTGATTATGTTCCTGCGTTTAAATAATGTGATGAACACAACAGTACTTTTAGTTTCTTAATTGGAAATTTCAATTCATTCAATCGACATCATCGACTGTAACGCAACAATTTCCTCAGTCATGTTTGCTTTAATTTCATCAAAGTGACGATTTATGATCAGTGTCAGCTTTATAGGTATAAATTCCCGACGATGAACTCCGTTTTTTTGTAAAACAAGTTTCCCGATTTTGATGCTAACGCACTTATTGGTTGAAGACAATGTTGTAGCGAGATACTGCAACTTGTGACTTGTGATCTTAAAATCATTAGTAACCACACGTGACTTTAACTGAACTGCAGACTGGTCCATCGTACAAGCTGATGCTCATACGTCACTGTAAAGCCTCGTGTTTAACTTTGAACGCATCATAAACGCTTTTTTTGCGACATTGTATACACATTTGAACACGTTTAAGCAGAGAGACGCCTTTTATTATTTTGAAAGGCCTATGTAACAATCGAGTCTGATTCATTAATGCAGATATCCATGTACCAAAACCAAATCTCAGCCGATTTCAATTTTGCAACTCGTTATTGAACGGCCCTCGTTTGACAAACAAGCTTACAGCGTAAAAAGCGTTTGACAAACGCTGACATGTGAACGTTATAAACGCGTAAAGCGTTATGAGGTTTAGCAGTACAGTGAATTTCTAATGTGAACACATGTCCTTACGGGTGATGGTATGGATATGTATGAATGAAGCTTTTTAAAGGCAGATAAGCGATGAAAATAGTTCAACCTAAAAAGTCACCGCCAAAAGTTAGGGACTGTTCAATCAGCGTCGTGAAATGTAACTATCGTGTCTCAGATTCAGAGTTATCAGCGAAATTGGCAAGTTGTATTGTAAACAGTCGACGGTCAGACATCTTTTAATATAATGAAAGGTAGTGGCACTACTTTCTACCTAAAAAGAGTGGCGATTACGTGCCCAGTGGTGTTATTATAAGCCATTCATCTTGAATCAGGATAGTTACGAGATCGAACTATTTCGAGGGTACATGACATTTCTTTTGTTTTTGCCAAAAATATGACGACACTCTTTTCAGAGACTAAATTATGTAACCCGGAGTTATTTTGGAAAACTTTAGGTTCCCCCCCCCCCAGTAGTCTATTGTGAAGAACTCGCCTATCTCATGTTTTCAGGTCTCTGTCATTGTTATCGTTAAGGGTTTAGACATTATAGGTAGTTTTTGTCCTAGCGTGAATGTTAGGCGGTTTGTCCTGTGCATTCTTGTGCCGATGAGGAATTTTGCGTAAAACGGTGAATCGAGTCGGGTAGTAATCTTGAAACAGAATAGGCAAACAGAACGAGTGATGTACAGTTGAACACATACAGGAAAAAAACATGTACAATCTGCAGGAAATATGATGCGGATAGTCAGAATCGAAATGGCCAAAGAACGAACAGAAAAAGGGACTTATGTCTATCATAAGGCCAGACGGTGCTCTGGTTGGAAATAAAAACGATCCCTGCTTCATTCACCCAGAAACACACGCATATGTTAGGTTGTCAATATATCAAGTTGGTCAGGTTTGAACATGAAAATTGCCAACGCACGTAGGCCGAGAATGAAGAAAAGTGTGCGAAGTGTTGCGAAAGGGGATGAAAGTGAGTGGACGTCAGGTTGTTGAACGGAGACATAAACAGGTGTTGCGGTAGTCAATGCCCGCTTTACGTGTGTTTTACAACTGGAATATTTGACGCCTGAGAAATGTCCTGCCAGTTTCTTTTTATTTCCTGGCATATTTACGACAGACATGAAATCAGGCTATCGGTTGATTTTTTTTAAGTAGTGGAGGAAGAGACTAATATCGGGCACGTGATCACTATACATTCACGAAGCCTCCTCCAATGGCGGAAGCATTTTTGTCATTTATTGTGCAACCTACTACCCATGACAAACTGTCTGAACAGCAGGTAGCGCAATGTTATCGCCATCGAAGGGGGTCTTCGTGGTATAGCGTGTCCGGATTGGTCAATAGATTGCGTAATAAATATAATGCAAGCAGATTAAGGTTATTTACCGTGATTCAAACTGTTCAATTATAGATATGAAATATCGTTACCGAAACATTTGTTGGGCAAACGCAAATGGTATGATAGCGAAGCAAGTACTGAAATCGTTCTAAACAGGCTGGCCACTTGGTACATTATTATGTGAAATGCATGCCCAATTTTGTTTTCTAATGGATTCGGAAAACAAAATATAGAATGGTCATCTCGGGAAAAAGACATGGAAAATCCCGGAAAAAATGTTTCCTGTCAAAAACGGAGAGAGGCTTGCAAAGTGGAAGAATGAGCGGAGTTGCGAGTGAGTAATGGAATTAAAAAGGAATGTTTTGGAGGTATTGACAAGGAAAACGAAAAAGTAAGGAAAGGATGGAATGAAGGGAGAAAGATGAGTAATGAGAGAAAAAATACAACAGGCTGACAGGATTATTTATAGCAGTGATTGTAACCGATATGTTTTAAGAAAAGATAATTATTTGAAAGCTTGCAGATCGAGACCACTTTGTGAGAAGAGAATTTACTTAATTATCTTGAGATTTGTTTCATTCCAATTGAGGTAATCTTTTTTTCGATTTGGTTATTTTTAAGATATCTTCGAGAGTACCGTTATTATGTAAATTCGGTGTTCTAAATTCATGTAAGAGTACAATCATCGGACAATTACACGTGCTTATATATGTATTGTAGAGGACTATCCGATACTAATGTAACGTATTATCATTGTTCATATCATGCAACTTTCAGTGATGTATATGATGGTATCGAGGCATATAAAGACATTGTGATAATTAAACGCAATATTGATATTTTAGCCAATGCTTGCAAAATGTGATGTACATGTTGTTTGTGCCTATTCACCCAATTTTGACAGGAATTTTAACCTACTTACTTAACTTATTTGAACTTTTTTTTTATAATGTAGTGAAGTATATCTCTTTAACCATACGTGGTGAAATAATCTTTTTAAAAATCGCAAGAATAGCGTTATTATGCTAATTTGAATATACAAGTCACCAAAATCACCGTTGTCAAAATCACCGCTCAGTCAAACGGATGGAATATAGCCATCCGTGGACAAACAGGTTTGGCTCATGAAATTTTTAAACTAGCATATCTCAGAGACAATGTGCATTTGCTATCATTTTTTTCGTCACTTATGTTTAAAGATCAATATTTTAATACCATTAAATTGAATTTTTGAAATATGCTCAACAAGTAGGTGAAAATTGCTGTCAAAAGTGGCTTTTCCCTCTGTTTGCACCAACCTGTACTCCCCTAAGAAATAGCAAGAAGGATATTAAATAGGGAACAAATGAGCCCAACAGACGTCAATCCCCTTTTGAATATTAATAGTGGGGGGGATGTGTGTATAATTAAACAAGTCCTACAGTCGCTTTTTTTTTCAAGCAGCAGCTGCAGGCGCCACAACTCAAAACATCTTGACTTACCGGGTTATATTTTTCCTTTTGCTACCAAAACAACAGCACCAGCTGGCTTAAAAATGAGCGGACGAAAAACAAACCGGGATATATCTCAAGTAGTACATGTAGGAGTACTACACAACCCACAACATGCCCAAGAATAAGGCATATGTTAAGTCCATATCAAGTTCAATAACTATGTATTTCACAATTTATGATACTCTCTGTACAATGCACACAACGGCAACATATTATTAATTACTATTATACACATATTAAAATAGTTCTGTTGCAGAATATGAGGAGTAATACCGCATGAACCTCGACACAGGTGTTTTCAGAAAGATGTTTTCGACATTGTTCCCCATATACCCCTAGGATACTGATGTTATGGAAATACCACCGTCCGTTTCCCATTTGTTTTTCTTTAATCGTCTTCCGCGGTGAAAACGTATAACTAATAAGTTGCTCTTCCAAAACGACAAATAAAAAATATAATCCTCTTGCATCGCTTGCACCTGTCCTGGAAAGCCGAACAGAAATAGATGTTGATTATGCATTATTTAATTAAAAAATAATTCAATTTAAAAATGCAATGATTATTAGGATTCCAAATTTTAATATCAATTTAGGGTCCAAAGCGCGACATATTCCTGCACCTGTTACCTTGGTATACATTGTAATTTGCCATTGACTTTGGAAGGATGACTGCACTATAAGGAAGTCCATCGGAATTGTAAAGTCAAAGATGTCAGATGTAACAGGAGCTGTTCTCAAATTCTTCGGAAAACACTACAAAGTACACTGCTGTTCAAATCCAAACGATGAAGGGCAAAACCTTATGTTAAAATGAAAAGTCTCCAGAAATGGGGTTTTTATTTTATGCGGAATAAATTTCAAGTTCTCGTAAATCGCACTTGCAACCGCAGCTAAACAATGGCATAATTAACCACTTACGTCGGAGCTAAAACACCTGTGCTCCGTCCACTTCATAATACTGGAATAATAGGTGAAACAATAATATTATGTGTAATGCCATATAATGCAACAGATCACTGTATACTTTACATTTTTATGAACTGCCTCTTTGAATTTCTAATATATTTCAAGTCGGCGATCAAATTTCTCTGGATTTATATCTTTTCCGTGGGGCAATGGATTCAAATTCAAGCCAATTCCAAAAAAAATAGTAATTTCCAATTGTAATTTAGATTCGACTATAGATAATTTACAAGTCCAATTGTCCATAGGGGATTTGGTTTACTTTCAACTGATTTTCGTGAAAAATATATATATGTTTATTTAGATCTACACAAAAGAGACGACAGCTCTTTGCGAATTACCAAAACGGTCACTGATTATCGCCAAAGAGTTAAAGACATACAGGATCATTTACGTCTATCCCAAGAGTAATCTACCGAATTATTGTCAAAAAGTTAATTTGGATTGAAGATCGTACCGGTAATAAACACCTGTGAAATTTATTCCATCTAGCTTGCTGTCATTTAGAAGAAATCAAGAAATGTAAGTGATTTCCAACGATCAGTCAATTGACTGATGTTTGGAATAAAGAGTGCTCTCGGCAAAATCGTGTGTCGTAATCAAAAGGCATTCGCGTGTTTTTCACTTATTTATATTATACGTATACTTCAAAGTATAATATCTACTGAGCTGAAACTTCAACAGTTTAGGTTTCGAGCATTTGTCTTTGAATTTTGAGTGGTGTTATTATTGAAACGAACAAAATCACAATATCAGCTGTTTCGTGTTATCGGTTTACCAAAATCCTAGCTGACCTTTATATAGAATATATGAATATAATTTATGCTCAGAATTTAAGCACGATCGTTAGATGCTCTTCAAACCATACAACTATTTACAATGACAATTTTTTGTTATCTTTGTGAAAGTTAGTGGTTATATTCTTTTAATATTTAAGCTGCTCTCCCGTCATACAAATTTCGAGTTTCACCCCAAAAAAAAAAAAATTCTCTAGAGATACAAAAGTTTTTCGGTTTTGAATGAGACATAAAAACAAAAGTTCCACCCGCTTTTAATTATGGAATACTTACTGTACAAATCTCGAATAATTACGGCTCGACAATAACTCAGAAATATCTTTTGTGCGTTATACGGACGCTAAAGCAGTGCAAACTAAAAGCGTATTTTCAGAGAGTTGAAAACATCCAAAAATAAGAAAGTAGCTTTTCCGTTTAAATAAAACATGCAAATTGAGGGAAAAATCTAACATGTAGGAGAGCATGCATGGGTGAACAACTTTAATGGCGCGATATACTAAAACAATTGGTGACAGCTGTGAAGGGGGCATGTGATTTTAACAGCCTCAAGGAGCCTAGTGATGGCAGGTGTCAAACACTATGTCCCAAATCACAGATGTCAACAGTGGTTACAGAACAACATTTTGGCCTCAGCGTAGGGGGAATAGTCACCAAGGATAATAGCTGACTACATCATCAAGGGTCACAAGGCCAACATTGTCTTGTATTTCCTCTCATCGTGAATTGGATGCATCTGGGTAAGCTATGATACTGCGGTAAACCCACTACTCTCAGTGGCATATTACTGACTCCTACCTATCTTCAATTCTGCCAAGTTTCTAGAGTAGTCTCAGATAAGATCTTTATCTATCCCGATTTTCAAACAACATCTTTCAGACCATATAGTGTACATATAATGAATGTATTGATAGTTATGTAAAAACCCTTTCGTAAGGGTATATATGAGCTTTACATAGAAACCAAATAATACTGTCCGCGGTTTGACATTAGAAATAAGAGGACCCAAAATTATATGCCCAGGTATGTTCATCCGATAACATACAAAACCCATCCTCAACATGGGAGCTCGGTGCATAAACGCTAACTTTCTTAACATTTTTTTTTTTTGGAATCAAATTAAATAACTCCGCAACAGTACAGGCATGCGTCTACGGCTTGAAATTATACCTAACTACGCAGCGGCTAAGCCTTTCGCACACACACGTGTTTTACTACGAGAGTCAGACCGTGGCCAAGTAAGCTGGAAGCCTCATTTGGTTAAAACCAGTAAAACCAGAGTTGTAATGCCCATTAGCACTCACAACATTATCTGTCCAAGTTCATGAGCGAATTTAGGATAATCATTTTACAATCTTTAACTTTCGGTTTTCACATTTAATATTATATCATAAAACCTTAGCATGTAAAGGTTATGAGTAATGTTTTTTTCTTTTCAGTACGTATCCCGGTGACGCATTGGCATATTATTTCGTTACTCCTTCTTAAGTGCAAAAGATGGAAGATTTCATATGTCTACATGTTCACGATTAGGATCTTTAAAATGTTGAGAACGATTTCTTGGGCTTGTTTTTTCTAACTAATTATAAGAAATTCTAAACTTTGGATGGAGTAACCTATGGGTACTCTTCAGGCCCTCATCCTCACGATGGATGGTTTGTTGCCGTCGTCTGGCGTTCAGGTAGGCACACTCAGACTGGTACTTGGGCAAGTCGCCCATCGGTCAGACTTCGGTCCGACTTCAGATGCGCTGGTATCGTCAGGATTTCTCACGGTGCTTGATCCTGGATCGACAACCATTCGTAGAAAAAAAATACGGTGTCTGAATTATAATGGTGTTAGATTTCCTTCATTCTCACGAAAAGAAAACAAATGAAAGGTAAACAATTTAGCACCATGGTTTCGCTTAATCCTAAAACAAAGGGCACGGTCCATTATAGATTGTAAATTTAAAATCGCAGTATTTGAAGCGTTCGTATTAAGAGTGAGATTAGCATAATCATGCAGAAACTATGTAGAATTATGAAATATCAATTTCAGAATGAATGCCAGCTTGACAGAGCCATCAAAAAGGCGTCTGACATTAATTTGGAAGAAAATAATCGCCAAAATTAACAACTAAAACACAGTAACTATGGAAAGACTCTACATTTTCATTTTCTTACCCTGGTTGCTCTGTTTGCTTTCTGCTGTTCTTGATGATTTGGACTTCGGCTGACTTTTTCGATCCTTGTCCAAAATATGAATATTCAAATTATAAGAAATGAATATTCAAATCAGAGGGGCATGATTGGTACATTGTTTTGGTATAAACCTTATGCGTTAAGGCAATGGTTTTGTATGACTTTGAATGGCATGAGTAAACCTGTAATGCATTCATTGTTACCAGATTTAAATAACAAAGAACACCCTCTGAGGTACCCGCAGCGCGTAAGGTCTATCGAAATGGACCCATCGCCGTTTGGGAGTTAGCCGCGCCCCTTAGACAAACCTTTGGAAGTTTGTACGTTAAGTTGTGTTTGTCCCAGATTTTGCGCGTGCCGCGGCCATTTGTATATCATGTAATTGGACAATATTTTACAAACTGCGTTGACGCGATTCTACCGCGATAGGTTAACTGTCTTCAAGAGAAGAAACAAAATGAAATAAACAATACTTACGGATGAGGTCAAGAAGATGTCAATCTTTGTGCGAGACCTGCGCAGTTTGATGCGCAGCGTCGACGCCACATCGTCATTGGTCAAACAGTGGAAAATGCAAATGAACACACCCTTCATCGGAGGCCACACAAACAAAGCAAACACAGCATTGGTTAGTAGGATATCGCAGAAACATTAGGCATAAGATTCTTATAAAAAAAGGTCAGGACAAAATGTCTGTGTACGTCAGTGGTTGATGTCGAGTTCTTTCCTAACTTATCACTATTATTAGATGAATTATTATATAAAATCTTAAACATACTTCTCATGCAATGTTTTATAGGGAATTTGAAAAAAAAAAACTTAAAGGGAATGTACATCATTGGCTTTTGCTGTAATTTCCAGAAATGAACTATTTGAGGGGGTTATAGTATAATAGATCAAATATTGATACACTGACATGTTTGGAGTTTTTTGTTCGAAAATGCTGGAAAAACCAAGAAAAACAAAAATGTTCAAGTAGTCTGGTTCCTTGACTCCACTAAGGATAAAATGGATCAATTTATAGATGCCGGAAAATTGTAAGGTAAGGGAACCAGTCTAGCTGGCCTGCACCCGTTTATGAACATGTAACCAATAGCAAACAAAATTTGGACTGAAAAAAGTGTAAAATTGGAGCAGTAGTTGAAAAAAGGTTAGGTTTTTCCAACGGTGGTCGGCCGACCACGATTGGAAATGTATACAAAATACCATTATCTTGAAAATGACTTTACACCAAGTGCCATAATTTTACAGGATGCTTTAGACTGTCATTTACCAACATCCTAGTAAGGTATTTCGTAAAAACTTGGTAGTTTTATTTTTCGATGTTTGCAAATGTTGTATATTCCCTTTAACGCTTGTGTTGCTCACTGGCTTAAACCGTTCAGATTTTGTTTGTAATTATTAAAGTAGGTTATTAAAACAGACGGGCACTTTCCTATTTTCTAAGGAGTGACGCATGTACAAAAAAGACAATTTCAAGCCACTGTTAATCGTATGCGTCATGTAATTTAAATTACATTGATGACGTGCCTTCAAGTGTTTTTGAAGTGTAATTTATTTATTCCGTTCTTTATTTTAGCTTTTTAATATCAACCCCCTTCTTATCAGTTTGTTACACACGTAATAACCGCAGGCGGCTTAAAAAACAACAACCCAAGCTAGGCTGACCGCATCTCGGGAAAAAAAATTGTCAAATATTGAATAATTCATCCAACTTGAAAGGGATAATGTAGGCTCGAAAGAAAAAAAAATCAAATCACATCCGTTATTATTAAAGAAAAAAATTAACACCGGAAAAATAAGACGAGTACCGTATCTCAAAGGGGCACTGCAGACGTGTCTGTGATGAATATATACAGAAAGGATCGTCATCGTTGGAGACCAATTATTTTTTTCCCGAGTCCGACAAATAGAAGGAGACGTCCCCAGGAAGAGCGGGGATTACTGCTGGGATAATTAAGTAGTGCGATCCGAGTGTTGTGTAACTTTCGATTATGGCGTCAACGTGAATATTTGGTTAAAATTATGCGCTGACAAAATTATGTCTTAGTCTGCACGAAAGGACTCTGATTGTATATTAATTGAATCAAAGCTTCGAGTCAAACGTTCTAGTTTTTATAAGAATCCTTCTTCTATCGTCTCCGTACACGAGCAAGCGGGCGCTTTTTGACCACTTTTGATCTGAGGGCCCAATGGGCGGAACGCAACGCGTATAGACCGCTTGCAGATACGTTCGATAATCGACGCGGAGGCGCGCGACACCATGTTGTGGGACAAGCATATATCTATCCACGCATATTTGTCCCACAACATGGCGTCGCGCACCTTCGCGCGTCAATTATCGATCGCGTCTGCAAGCGGTCTATAGATCAGTTTATATCTGTATACTCCATAGAGCTATATTAAATTTAATATAGCTCCATGGTATCCGCTCCGTTCACAAGTACCCCCTCACCGGCAAAGAAAGTACAGTTGGGAGTGACCGAACGACGCCATCTTAACTGACTCACAGACATATAAACACACACACACCACACAGATTCCTGGAATTATAGTTAGATGTATGGAAACGAGGTTGGCAAAGTGCGGCCACTGCGTGTGCATAGTACAAATTCCCTGGTGTACGTGCGTCACACACAAGGAACGGTGCATGCGCGTCAACCAGCGAAATGTATGTGTCCCACCTCAATGATCTCCATTAGTAAGGCCGTGTCCGAAACGGGCTTCCAGAGCTACGGCTACGTCTATCGTCAGCGCGTTCCGCGTATTTCCAATGGGCTTGGACCTAGACCTAGCTCTAGACGGTTGATTCGGATGCAGCCTAAGACTAATGGAGATCAATGGTCCCGCCCATGGGACGGCGTTGCAAGGTAATAGGGCGCCCTCAAGTTCGTGCACGGAGCCCATACTCCCATGGAGCTGAGATTGTATTTGGAATGTTTCGTTGGCCAAAGATCAGGGTGAATAATAATGTGAAGCCCTTTGATAATACAGGTCTCCGATATTATGAACGTACCTGGAGTGAGTTCAGGATGACGAAAACGTAGAAGAGGGCCACTTCGCCCACGCCGAAGGCCAGCAGACCAAAGATCCATGTGGTGCCGAGCAACGGTAGCAGAACGATGGCGGCCCGGGTCGCTTTCCTTCATTCAAACAAATCAATCAAACGTATTGATGGGGGCGCTGTTCAAAACCGACAATTATGCACACAAAGTGCCAATATATGGTGCTTTTCGGAGCGATACATGTGCGCAATTCTGACAAAGGCACCTAAAACGGCAGATGCCACAAAAAAAAGGGCACCACTTCTTTTTTGAAAAGGGCACTTGTTCATAAAAAAAGAGCACTTCGTAAAAAAAGGGCACTCTTTACAAATTATTGTGGGGGGGGGGGTTAAGCCTGTTGAAAAAAAAGGCATTTGAATGGAAAAAGGCAGTCTTTACAAAATATTGGTGGGGTAAATACCCCCTTACCCCCCCCCCCCCCCCCCGGCTACGCCTATGGCCCCAAACCCCCCAAAAGCCCAAAGCCCAAAGCAAAGCACAAAGCCCGAAGCCCAAAAACCCCAAAGCCCAAAGCCCAACCCCCCCCCCCCCAAAAAAAAAACCTCAAAGCCAAAACCAAAAAAAAAAAATCCCAATACGCAAATTTCAAACCCAATGCCTAAAGCCACTGTCCCAAAACCCTTAACCCAAAATAGCCCAAATGTCTCATTGAATAGCCCCTTGTGCCTTTGCCACGAACTATTCGTGTACCCTGAACATCTTCATTACGCAGTCGATACTTACCTGAGCTGTTCATACTTGGATTTCTTAGCAATGCTCTTGACTGTCAGAAACCTGTACATGATCATCACCAAGAAGAACGCGTTCATCTGCAAGGAGGCAGTTATGAAGTTGGCAGCAGTAAAAAGATGTTTGTCTTAAGAACATGGAATCATTGCTTCATAATTAAGAAATTATTTTAACTTCTTTTTTAGATCTTCTTCCACTTTATACAAAAGATCATGCAGGAAGTCCGCGATGAATGTCTTCATCATTGTGGTTACTTTCGAGTAGGCCTATAACAAAATAATTCTCGGCATAAATCATAAAACTCTGAGATAAAAAGCCGTATACACAACGGATATTAAAACTTAGTTAAGTATTAAACAATAGAATGTCCAAAATGCTTAAAACAGCTTACCGAAATCGTCTCTAAGAAACGTCTTTCACTGACAAGTTTAAATTTAACCAATTTAAATGAAGAAAGTAGGCAGTCTGGAAACAACAGAGCTCGCGCATGCGCAACATCACTCTCCAAATGTCGATACAACGGTTAAAGGACATTGGCCTTTCATTGCTTTGAAGAAAACACACTCAAGCAGTCTGGACAACTCCCGATCATTGACTTTGCACATAATGAATGGACAATTTTTTCCGAGACATTTTGAAGTCGAACCGTAAATCTTATCAAGTCTCCAAGTCATACTCCCCCGAGGAGGCTCCAACTTGCAGTGTACAAGACAATTACATCATGTAATGGTGAGTGGTCCAGAAAACATCATCTGTTGATCTTGTAAAGAGAGTGTCGTAGTTCCTACTAGCCCGAGGGCTCTTGATCGTACCAACAATCAAGACTGCGTAGATTTGTTGAAACTCTTAGCCATGTGTCCCGAGGGTATATAAACCTTATGGTATTTATTCACGAACGTCCATTCTTCGAGGGGAAAAACGGAAGATGAAGAAAATGGGAAATGCAATTTCAAGTTTTAAAAGTTGTCGGGTTTGTTTGTTTGTTTGTTTGCTTGCTTTTTTTTTTTAGATATGCTTGCTCACTTGTATTCACTGTAAAACTGCACCTTTCTAGTCAATAAACATATGCATTTTGATTATCACTACTGATCGTCCTTCGAATGGAATCACTGTTCTCGATTAATTATGAGAACTCGCAAAGACGAAGAATCCTTCGCGTCATTACTATGTAGGCTGCCCAGTTTTTTTTAGGTAGTTATTGTTTCTTGATAAACCATTTGTGCCAAATGACAGCATTCGTGAAGCTGTACACTCACCTGAGAGCTTTAGTCCAAGGAATCCTTTATCAGCCCGATGAGCAGAAGCAATAATACTGTAAAGCACTTTGATCTTTGTTAAAAGCACTACTGAATACCTATTATTGTTAATATTATTGCCACTTTATTATAATTGTCGAGTGAATTGGAAATCTGACAACTTACTGCAATGATAAGAGCGATGGGTGCAACGAAGGCCCAGAGCATGTTACCGGCGGCGTCCAGCCAGCAAGCCGTCTTTGTACCGTATCCCTGAAGATTGGCCCCGGCAGTTGCTCCAACAATCACGGCGGGAATACCTGCCACAGACCAGGGAAACAAGACATGTCAATCCCAGCAAAGTTGGTCCCTAGAGCACACCAAATTATATTCAATTGATTCACAGAGGCTATTCACTGTAGGCTACACAAAGGGAAGGATTTAGTCTTTGACAGTCAGTTAGTGAATCAATCAGTCAGTCAAGTACAGAGAGGATTATAGGCTGGTCCCTCTGTGACAAGCAAAACCTGCACAATGTCACAAAGGATTCGGAATAGCTGAAAGTGGACGAAACGAGGCGGGACCTAGTCTTATCTTCATTTGAAACTTATCCCATTAAATAACTGGTTAGGATTAGTGGGGGGGGGGTTCTCTGACAAAAAAAAAATCAAAAACACTTTTCATTTTTGTTTAATAATTTTTGCACAAATCATGAAAACGTTTATTTATTGATCGTAAAATAATGTTCGGGTCTTCTTCTGTGTTGATTTAATGACTGATTCCAATTAAAATGAGACTAAAATAGAACATCAAACCCCTTCCTGTAACATCTTTGGCTTTCACCAAGATCAATTCATCTCATCGATGCAGGAGGCCAAAACACGTTATTCCGTGGCAACAATTTCCTTTACAGAGATCAAGATTTAAAACCACTCGTCTTAAAAAAAAAATCCAATTCGTTTTACGCAAAGTGTCTGTCCAGAAAAAAAAATGAAGAACCTCTATACATAACATGTTCTCTTGGGTAATCTCGTTTTTTGATGCGCTTTCCATTTTTCAACCTACTTTCACAAATAAAGAAAAAGAAATAACATGTTGATGAAAACAGCACCTTACCAAGATTTTCGCGATTGATTTCCCTGTTTCGGTTCAATAATAAGCTTGATTCACGGCGGACTGATCAAGCTTTACTATGTTTTTTTTTAACACCGAACAGTACGAGATGGTCCGAGGGTTACCTGTGTGCCGAACTCCCCCAGTGAGAGAGAAAGACATTAACTGGCTGATCCGCGACTGCTGATTTTTTTTTTCAGTCAGACAATATCCTCAATATAGATGCCACTTCAAAAAGGATCAGTCTGTTTTGCATATTACTCAGACATATTTCTGAGTAATAATTATCCCAAATCCGTTTGAGAGCCGACTCGATGAATCTCAAGTAGGCCGTCAGTGTTGTTTTGATGCTCGCCAAGTAACCTCCAAAAAAAATGTCAAAGTGATATTTGCCTTATACAAGTGAAGCCGTTTTAACGAGTATCATCCGGTCAAATAGTCGATTATTCAAGACGTAAGTCAACTTTCCAACTTGTTCAAATTCAGTTTCATTTTTTTTTCTCTTTGATTAGTTGTTTTAAATCTAGCCAGTCTTGCACAAGGCAAGGACCTTTCTCGCCCGGCGTGTGTTACACACATTCGCGTAGGTGTCAGTTGAACCGCTTCATATAACCACTCGACATATTGATTCCCATGACAAACAATGTCAGATCTGTTGTAACTTCGTCCAGGAAAAACAAGTACTTAGTATGAAGAGTTTTTGGAAGCAAAATTTAAAAAGACCGATATCACTGCTTGCACGTGGCTGCTGGGTAGAGACCAAGAAACTGTATTGCGGGGCTAAAGAGCCCACACAACCGCACGAACTTATAATAGAACTTCAAAGTGTTTATGGGACAGCGCTTTACGCAAAATGCAAAGCAAAATACCGCAGACCACATACATGTTCTAGTTGCTAAGAATACAGGGCGAGTTAAAAAAAAAACGAAACCAAAAAAGCCCCAATGTTTTAGTGAAATTCTGCATGTAGCACGTTCAAAATCTAGGATATAAAAGCCCAATTCATAAGCTTTCTTTTCGTACGAGAATCGTTCAAATCACCCTCGAACATTTCAAGTTACGGAATTTTAAACACAAACACCGTTTTAAAGTTCTGTTCATGGATCACAAACAAAGGTAAGTGTTCTTTTAGCAAAACAAAAACAATTCACATAGGGATGTGTGTGCATTGTTTTCGTTTTCCTCAAAGAACACACTTTAAAACGGTGGTCGTGTTTAAAATTCCGTAACTTGAAAAGTACTTGAGTGATTTGAATAATTCTTGTGCTAAGCTTATGAATTCGGCTTTCATATCCTATATTTTGAAAGTGCTGCATTCAGAACTTCACTAAAAAATGGTCCCGACATTTGGGTTTCGGGTTTTTTGTGTACTCACCCTGTAGTCATACTTAAATCTAAGCTAGGGAACAGTAAAAAAAAAAAAACAAAAAAAACAAGTCTGTGTTACATTTTGGGGTTGCTAAGCTAAGTTGCACTCTAAAAAGTAGCGGGTCAGACTTAAGCCAGAATCTGGATCACATTTATCTGATACTTTTTCAGGATCAAAATGACACTATGCCAATATGACCCAATACGGGTCAAGTCTGTCCCTAGACTTTTCAGAGTGTGTTCCTAAAAGAGCCATTTCAAACGGCCGATGGTAAACTTGCAACCTCACTTTCCAAGTATTCAACCCAACCGTGCAAATAGCCAATTGTGTCAATGTGTCACTGAAGCAGGTTGATTCGAGGGCTGAAAACTTGACAATGTTAACATACAAACGATTCCATGCTTTCCAACCCCTTTAGTCTATAGTTTGCTCTATCACACAACATCTTACCCCAAGCGGCCAGGAAGTAAAACTTCAGGTGACCTTTGACATCGGCAAAGACCCTGGTGACCCGGATGTAAATGTGAAAACCCTCGCACAGCATCCACATGAAGGTGGAGAGGTAGAAGTAATGTAGAATAACCGCCACCGCAGTACACCACATCTTGAAGATAGCAGAAGTAGGTAGCAAATGGTATTAATTAAGTTGTAGAATTTATCGTCTCTATATTTCAGGTTATCAGGACAGTTAAACCTGTATATAAAAAGTTTTTTTTTCTTTGGTATTGGCCCCGGGAAAATAGAGTACTTTCCCAAACTATAAGATACAAACCAACCACTTGTTTTTTTTTTATCTCGAATTATCACATAAAAGCATCTATCTGCATTCAAGATCGACTAAGGATTAAAAAAGTGAAAGACCATCGGAACCAAAAGTTTGGATTTGTCAGTCTACAGATTACATGCAATACGCGAAAGTACATGTATGTAAACTCGTGAAGATTTTGATTAAATTGCCAACGCGTAGTGGGTTCTTTAGAGGACTCATTACACTTGTTTTTCATCAAAGTTATTTCGGATGCAATTTAAGACCTTAATTATCATACCTTATTTTCCAGCCCTTTTTTTGGCTTCAATTTATCCTAATTCAAGAACCACGTTCAATATTCTCAGTCAAAATACCGTTTCCATGGGGAAAGAGGAAGATGACGTCATCATGTCACCTGATTTTCTGTATCATCTGCACCAATCAGAAACAGCGTGTCTGCGAGTCCCAGCGCGGCAATGAGGTTGAGGTGGATTACGGCCGACTGGAAATTCTTCAGACTTCTGACGACGGAAAAAAATAAAGTAGAATTTCTCACTAAATTTGCGTCCGATCTTATATGGGTCCAGCATTCTCCAATGCAACTTGCCAAGTCGAAAGTACGGCTCCAGGCCTAAAGAAAGGCTTTCTTGCGAATGAAATTGACGTAAGATTCTCTTCCGCACCACTAGCTTCAGCTCATTCGAGCTTTTTTTCACACTGAACTCTAAAAAATAGTTCATGATAACGTGCAATATGCCGAAATAGGTAAGCTGACACAAAAAGGACTGAAAACACGTTTAAAACGTCTTTCAATATTTTGGCCGATAAAAATTGATGCCAGTGCTCCTCACTGTGCCCATCCCAATAATACTGGCACGGAAAAGTACTCTTTCAATAGGTTTTGGGTACTTACTTCAGTGATACACTGATGGTGATGAATGCCAATAGCAGAGAACAGAGCGACAGACCAAGACCGATGTAGGAAATGATGCCGAGAGCAAATTCATCCCCAGGCGGAATCTCAAAAGAATAAATAAAAATAGACAAAACAAATGCACTATCAAAACACACATTTCTCTTAGGTATTGTGTGTTTGCTCCATGTAAAACGTACAAGTACGTATCCAATTTATTACCTTTTTTCAAATGCGTGTGCAAACGTTTATAATATATTTTATATCTCTTTCTAGAAAACAATATTATGTAAAAACTCAATTGCCACTCATTTCACAACTGGTTTCGGCCTTTATGCTGAATGTATGCTCAAGCTCACCACAACGTTGTCTGGTTTCAACAAGATGGCAAAGTTGGTCAGGTGATCACACACGCATATCACGTGGGTGTCATTTTCAGAGTCTACCAAGCACCCATCAGGGGACCAGGCGCCACCCAGCGTTCCTCTGCAACCAAAAGAAAAGCGGATTACACGGGGAAAAACATGAGTTCACTGATATTTTAAGAAAACAAGTTATTCTCATACAATATTTTTGGGAATGTTTTCATTGATGGATGCAGTGAGTTTTTGTGTAATTGAACACTAAAGCAAAAGACTTTCGCACCTTTTCGTCTTTCCATTTATGAATCGAAAACCTAAGTAAACGTTTCTTAAGGCTGAGAAGGGCCCAAATCACAATTACATTTTAGCCATTGATTTGTTATTGTGATTGCTACGTCGAAAAAGCTATTAAAAACAAAGAAAAACGATAACTTACTGCGCCTCAAAATCCCAGAAAACGCAGCTTGAAGTTCCTGTAATGTTTTTCTAAAAGAACAAAAAGCAGGAATTTCCTTAGCATTCTGAAAACGGCAGTGCATTATATCCAACACTTGGACGACGGTATACTGAAATGTTTAAACCTGCTTTTTATAATTTGTCGATTCCGACTATAAGGTTCAGACCTAGCTATTGTTTGTCAATGAAAAATCTTCAGAGGAAATGCTTCGATCTCCTTGGCCTAGACGTACCTTTAATTTTTCGGCCGTCATGCGAACATTCAGAGTGAAGTCCGAGGTAGTATTTTCGCTGGGGACTACAGACGTACCGATTACACGGCTGTTCACCATTGGAGTGATTCTATAAACGAAGGAATTATTTAATAGTTTAAGATTTATCATAACATCCTCAGCAAAATTCGGGTTTTTTCGTAACTAGTTCTCCTATTTAGAGGAACAATTTCAGATTCGCAAATAGGCTACAATGATTGCTCGCGGTCTAAAACATAAAAACACCATGATTCGTGGGAAATATTGGGAACGACCACCAAATTTTTCAATAATTGAAATGCAAATGATTCCATCGTTGCTTTTTAAAAAGCTTTGACCCGCTCAATTTGGGGGTTGTTATATAAATGCACTGTGAGTGATTCCAAAATATCGATAATCGTCAGGATTATTTTGTGCCATTGACTTCGGGGAATTACAATAAAACTCATTTAATTGTCATGAATTTTGATTGCTATTTTCAAAGAGAATGTCCCCCCCCCCCAATAAAATTCAGTCAGCGTCTTATTTTAAGACTGAGCGTTTAGCATACTTCCATGTGTTAAAGATTATGCAGTCTCTAAATTGTTCAACCATTGCCGCGTAAGTGTTAATAAGATTAATCTGCCCTGAAAGTTAGGGTTTGATGAATATGTCTATTTCTCTCCTTTCAAAAAATATATTCGATGGATTTCCTCTGGATCCAGAATTTTTGGAAAAGACTGCATTTGGAATGTACATGAATTTCACTCTAGTGTTTTAGCTTCCAACTTTTTGTCTTTATTATAGCGGGACGCTCGCAATGCAAGATTTGAACCTTAATGAATTGGATTAATATTACAGGTGCATGTAACTTATTGAGAAAGATCCTATGAAAAGTTCATAACGTATCTTATTTAAAACTAATAAAACATACTGTTGTTTGAACGGGTTGAAATGTAATGGATTGTGACGTTGGAGACAATGACGAGATCCCACACTATTACCAAAATTGGTACCAAACCAAAGTGAAGTGTTGTGTTATAGAACATTTCACGTACTCATCTGTTGAGTCAGTATCTTCTAGAAGCTCTCCGATGTCGGCATACAGTACGTTTACAACAATGACATCACCTATGGGAGGTGTTGCAAAAGTGAAAGAGAAATCTCAAATTATTTTCATGGACAGAATGGTGTTTTAAAAGCGTAGGGGCCTATAAGATCACTTGCTGTTCACTCATTTTGTTTCCAATAATAACACCACACAAACTCCAAAGACGAATGTTCAAAATCTAACCTGTTGAAGATTCAGCTCAGTGGATATTACATATTTATATTTTTCCAGGGATGTTGGTTAACAAACACAGAGACAAACGGCATGTAATACCGGAAACCTGCAATACTGCATAATTTTCCAGAAAGATGTAAATAATTAAAATTGGTCAGACGAGGAAACCGGTGTATCGGTAATCCACCCAATCAAGTTAAAACTCAGCCCAAATCCACGCTTGAGCATAGGCACTGAATACCAATGCTTAGGCCTATTCGCAAATAAAATGATAACTAAGATGTGAAATTCGGGTTCTTGCCTTTAGAACACGGGGTCTATGTGTTTGTGTGCCAAATCACAATTAGAAGCATTCCGCGCTTGCTTTTCAATACTTGAACGTTATAATTCATAAGCAGAAGCTTTTACCAGACAGGTTAATGACTGCAAAACACAGTTCTAGCAGAAATTTCATTCAGGTTCTGTCCCACACTTCACGACTCGCGAGTCTTTGAGAGTGCATTGCAGCGCTAGCGGCTGATGGTCAGAACCGAACGATGGTGACCCAATTTTACTCACATTATTGACGTCATTAAAATATGAACCTGCAATTGCAGGTTTATTCATCGTTGTTTAGAAGAAAAAAACCCGAACACTCTTGTACGAGATGAGACTTATAGGAAGTTAGGGTTTGCGCAAAAAGAAGACTGATTACCATTTTTATCTAAAATTTATGTTAAAAGATTAATTAATGAAACAGCGGGAACTGACTACGTTGCACTTGAATCTATATGTACAGGTAACCATATCAAGTTAGGTTTTAGTAGTTTTTTAGAAGTTACTAGTTTAAATCCCGCTTCAATCAATCTCTCCATTGTGACTCTTTTATAGCGGTTGATTAATTTCAGTTTGTCTCACAATAAACTTACAATATCAGTGAATCTCAATTAGCCCTTATCGGATGTTGTAGGGCGCTATCCACAGCTTTTACGTGGGCTTATCTATACAAGCCGTGGATTGAATTGGAGAAGAGCGACCCTTTTGTCCCCGGAGTCCGACAAAAGCATATTGTTGTACTTGCCCGTGTGGAGTTAACAACGCGGGTCCAAGTGTACTCGGTCAATGTAAGCACTTATCTTGATGAACACCTACCTGCCTCATTGCTCAGAATATTTTTGAAAGATCACTGTAGGAGGATAACGCCGTACAGCCTTTCTGTCTCTTGGACCCATGGGAGACGTATTCTACGCGTTTCATCTAAGCTTTATTGACAATACAGCAGTTGGAAAACTCCGACACACAAGAGTGTGTGCGTACGCCCCGTTAATGAACTTTTTTCTCTTTTTTGCAAAACAGTATTTGGCAGTAGGAGGTAAAGTCAACTTTCTTTGCTATCTCAATACTTAAGATGGATGTTTTGAATAAGTATCATTTTGATCCATCTCGGGCGCAAAACAAGCTCAGGATGATGACATCTAATCAACATCCAGAAACAAAGTATCGCAGGGTAAATCTGAAACATCTTTAAGTATCGGATGTCGTGAGTCTTTGCCTTTACACTTAGATAATCTACAATTGTTTCTTCTTAAAGATAATTATATGCTAATTAATATTTCATATTTACTCTCTGCAGGATATTGTCTTCCCGAGATTGTAACTCTTGACTTTCTTAAATCCACCTGTTCTTAAAAAGCTAAAGTCTCAGAGATGGTGAATATTGCGTGACACCAAGTTGATTTTGGTCTGGTCGGTGATAACTTTCCAAAAAACGTCGACGTCTTGCACCTAAGATATTGTCATCCTAAGATAAACTGTATACCAGACCCTTAGAAATGCAAGATGGCACCGCTGGAGCTTCTTACGAACGACAGGTGTTTCGTTTCAGTTATGCAGCCCTTGCAAGTAAAGTCAGTAAAGTATACTCATACATGTGGTTTACTTTGGGCAGGATTGTAAAATAACACGCCAGGGCCTCACGTAATAAACATGTTTTGATTATTCATTTCTCTTAGAGGAATAACAATGAAAGGTAATTAACACATACCAAATGGGTGCATTGACAGTTTATCTGATGCTTTGACAATGCCTGGGACGGCCTATTGGATTTTTGGCTTATATTTCAGAATAAAGGCTACTCAAAGGTCTGAATATTAATAGCTTATAGAAGAGACATTACAAATCATCAATAAGGCTTGATATTATCGACTTACATCGTGTCTTCCAAGTTGCGTTACAAACCCTGAAGCTGATTTTCGTTGTAAGTCATATGCATTTTATCAATACGATAGGGTAAAACCAAAAACAAAATGTTACAGTGGCCTACCTGAAATGTTTTCACTCGTGAAGAAGTTCGAAACTTCCTGGGACACAAAGGGCGCCCTCCATCCTTCGGAGCTGAACACGGGGTCCGAGGAATCGGGAAAGGCGGCACCTTTGAATGCGCTTGCATCGTCGACTTCGACGCTCATAGCTTAGAAAAGGACACACATTTGGATACGAGAGGCGTGTTAAATTCCGAATGAACATGATCGTTCGCATTTAAATTGGAGCATTGTTGTATTGTTACATCAATTTATCTTATTTTATTTTGGTATATCCCGTGACTCAAGCTTGGATGAGTATAAGAACCCTGATTTCGAAATATTAGAGTTAAGATAAGATAACTTTATGGTCAGTTCTTGAATAAGCCAGTTTTTTGTGGTTATCAGTTTATAGGCCAATATACAATTCTCTGTGCACTCTAAAACGTTCCCGGAATCCGGATCAATTCGGGATCAAAATTACACTTTTCTAGGTCAAAATGACTTTTGCCAAGTTTGCAGGTCAACATGACCCGATAATTTATCCAAAGAAGTGTAAATTTGAGCCAGAAGAGGGTCATTTTGACCCTGAAAAGTATATAGGTCAAACAGAACCCGGTTTCTATGTCAAATCTGACCCGTGCAAATAGTTCACTTTCAGAATAGGTGCGGCCTGTTAAAGGAAATGTCTGCAAGTGAAAGGAAATCGAAATCAAATTAAAATTCGTAAGTTGTAATGATATTTTTACCAATAGTCTCCGTAGCAGCCGTCACAGAGATTGTTTCCCCAACCTGCCGACCTTCAGAAAGACGCTTCCCCAAATTTATGCCCAGGATTTCGGCTTCCAACAACAGCTGTACAGCGCCCTCCTACGACATTCAGAGTATGAACAGTATAACAAAGTTTTGTGACATATCCTTCTTTTTTTCCCTTTTTTTGGTTAAATATAGGCCTAGGTTTTCCCGGCCAATTTCCTAAAATGTTCATTCACTTCTGAAAATCGGTCATTCGTTTTCGTCTGAATTTGAATGCACGTCTATTTCATTTCAACGAAAGTTCAATCGTTTTCATTGTCCGTGCATTCAGATTTGAGAAACGACGGCCAATTGCGTTACCTGTGCATTCATTTACGCAACCACACCTTTTCGCTCAGAGTTACAATTGGCATACAATTTCGTGAATGTGCAATCAAAAGTGCATTTTCTCATTCAAAGTAGCAGATTGCATCACATAACATTAAACTAAAAGTGAAATAAAATGACCAATTTTTGAAATCGCCCTCTAAAAGCGAAAAGGAAGTCTTGTAAACGAATCTGAATGAGCATAAACGAAATGTGCTGCTCAGTCACTTAATTATTGATTGAACTGAAATGAAATCAAATGCTCTGGTAGCGAAAATGAAACGCGCCTTCAGAGCGATTCTCAATTTCAGACGAAAATGAATGACCGATTTTCAGAAGTGAATGAACATTTTAAATTGGCCGGGAAAACCTATATATTACAGATATAATTTTAACGACCGAAACGTAAAGGTCTAACATTATGTCTTTTCAAGATGAGAACGGCAAGATTTATATTCCCTCCGCCAAGGAGGTTATGTTTTCATCGGCGTTGGTTTGTTTGTTGGTTAGTTGGTAGGTTGGTTGGTTGGTTGGTTGGTTTGTCTGTGAACAGAATAACTCAAAAAGTTATGAACGGATTTTCATGAATTTTTCTAAGGGGTGGTCCTTGGTACAAGTACGAATCGATTAGATTTTGGAAGTGATCCGGATCGGGATCTGGATGCAGGATTTTTTTAAGGATCTATCACCATTTTGTATGTGAGAATACATGTATGCTATGTGTAGAAACCATGAACCTCGTGTACTGACCCGGTGACCCTGTATGCCTTATCACCCACCTAGGCTAACCCCACAGGTCAATGGACTAGACCATTTTATACAATGAGGGGAGTAGAGAGGTAGACTGACACAGGCATATACATGTAGACTACAAAATGTTTGAGTTTAAGGATTTGTTATATTGAATAACTGACACTGTCTTATATAAAGAGGTCAACATTTACCTCTTCTTTTTTGATAAATTCAGAATATGAGCAATCCTGTTGACATTTCCAACATGTGCAATAAAATATGGAAGTCCAGTGGATATGCCAGTATTTCTTTTGGATGTAGTGACAATACAATACGGCGGGGAATTGTTTAGCCTTGGTGGAGGTGTGCGCTCTGTGAATGCTTTCTAGTTTTGCTTTGTTTTGTGTTGTTTTGTTTTTTGTGGGTTTTTTTTTCGGGGGATGAGGTTTAGCATACACAAACTCACCCGGGTCGAATTTCCTCCAATAAGACCAATAACATCAAGAGCCTCCTGTTAAACGGAAAACAAATATGTCATCTTCCATTTGATCAAATGTCACAGAAAAAAATATGTTGAACAATCTTACAAAAGATACTTCAACAAGAAAAAAAAATAAATACGGAGGTTCAATCAAAGAATATAAAGCGACTTACTTCTAGAAACTTTTCAGCAACGTCGGGTGTGAAGGGAGTGGTTGTGTTAGGCTGAAAATAATTTAAAAAAAAAGAATATTCAGAGAATTTGTTTGATAGGTGGTGATATTGATGGGAATATCCACGTCTTTACTATAAGCTTTAAATAAATGTCTTGTTAAACAACATTAATGATTACCCTATAACCCTCTCAGAGACATTGAAATTCACCTGGAAGTTTGAAACAGTTTGAAGAGTTTTATGAACTTCAGGTAGATGAAAATCATCATAAATTGCCTGGACTTGGCGAAAGTTGGACGCTATACATTTGAAGATATTGGAGGATTCGGGATCAAAGTTAATCTAGCCTGCCTTGGAAGTTTCAATTATGGGGATATAAAATTAAAGACACACCACATGCAACGGGGATAGAATTTGTACAACTGTGTTATAATAACACTTTGCTTGCCACAGTCATAAGAGTAGCATGTTCTGTGACACCACCAGGGGTAAGACCGCCCTCTTCCGTTCTCACAGTCACCTGACCTTCAGTGCCGTCAGCGCATGCGCATGTGACCATCTCCCCGGGTACAGTCGGGCACGCTGTCGCACTGCAGTCACACTCTGTAGGAGGAGCAGGGGCTGTCGGGCACGTCACGGTTTCACCACAGTCACACGTCACTGTGGGCACGTCGCTCGTCACATCGCTGGGGCAGGTGACAGTGTCATTGCAGTTACACGTCGGTGTTTCAGTGACCATCGGACAGCCTGTGGTCGGTTCCGTAGGAGACTTGGTGTCGGGAGGGGGCTCGGAGCCGGGTGGTGTCGCATTGCAGTCACAGTCATTGTCACTATCGCCACCACTTTGCGATCCTTAACATGACAAGATACGTTGACAGACATGGTTTTTAGATAAGCATTTGTCACAAACTTACCATTTTAGCAACACCCTATTTTGATTACTAATCCTGATGTTTTTAAATATTGTACTAGTCTGATTGCACAGCCATACTGACTAACGGCTTCAGGGTATTTTCATTTTAATTAATTAATTTATTTTATTTATATACTTGTATTTTTTATTATACATGTTAAATCCTCTTTTTCCTTTATGTTAAATGGCCTTCTTTATTGGATGCAATTAAGTACATTATAAGCTTTAAACTAAAATATATAGCATGTCATCATTACTAATAAGTAAGATTGAGACTCGGTACGTACTCCAAGTTATCTTACCGTTCTGTGGCATGAAGTCTGATGAGGTTCAAGACGCCAATCGCGACAACACCACCACAAAGAATGTAAAACAAAAACAAATTTTGTTTAGAATTAGCCTAAGCACCGGAAAAATACAATCATGAAAAAATGATAAATGACCTAAACAACAACAGCAGGTGCTTAATATCTTGCATTGATCGAAACGACCGTCAGTCTGCTTAATAAGTGAATGTTGGCTTGCCTCGCGGCTCATCGTGAATGTAGCACCTCCCAAAATGTTCACACCCTAAAGCCTGGTTCATACTCGGCGAGAATGCGAAGCGAATTTGACGTCAAGAAACGTTCGCTGCGAAATTCGCCCGAGTTGGAATGTGTTCAACTTTTACGAATTCGCAGCGCGAATACTTGCCATGACGTCACCAATTCGCGTTCGCTTTCGCTTTCGCGCCGAGTATGAACCGGGCTTAACACTATTTGGTCTCGAAAAGATTGATGTCCATCGATACTACAAATATGTATTCTTTGAAACTAATTATTTTATCAATACCTATGCAATCTGCGCAGACCTTTTCTGAAATGCCTCGTTTGAAATGATGCCGAGAAATCATTTTGTTAATGTTATTTTTCGGGGTGACACAACCAAAGAAATACATATCCTCGATCATCCATAATCTGCGCAGGTAACGCTTTGTAACGCGTGCACGTTGACAACGCAAATTAAAGGCGAGTACGTAGAAATAGGATCGCGTAGTGTTAAATGGTCTCTGACAATATATGAAATTCATTGCCGATGAATTGATAAACATCAACAACATTATTTACTTGTGATTTCCAACTTGCCCCGACTGCCCGGTATGGTACCCAATCCGCCGTCAAGGGAAAGATGGTGGCCCACCAGATTCCCGTGCACCCGGTCCGAGATCTGGAACTCGATGATGCCACCCGCCCCTCCGCCTCCGCAGTACGTGCCGCTGTCGGTGTTCTGGGCCCCGTCGCCGCCGTCCACGGAGAGGAAACCGTCGTAGCGGATCTCGATCTGAGACAATCGAGGAGCAATCAAAATAACTAACGGAAAAAAAGCAAGGTGGATGTGAAACCAAGCAAAATTTGGTGAATTCTGCCGTGAAAACTATGCTGAGTCTAGATAGTTTGGACGACCCAAGTGAAAGATTTTGGTTGGGACGGTCTCAACTTAGCTTGGGACCGGTAGTATAGTTGGGGCATTTTACCTCCTTTGCTCTCAGTCTGATCAGCCCACCGCTCCCTCCCCCAGCACATGGTTCAGCTGAATATTTATCGAGGAATGCCTGGTCATAAGTGTTACCTTGCTGTCCGTTGGCCGATATATGGTCCCCTGTCGACAATGGAGAAAGAACAAATTTCAAGTCAATGTTTTAGACCACGGTATCGTGTGTGCATCATGACTAAAACAAATTCAGCATTATGCAGACGTCTGACTAATAATATCACATTACTGGATATTCAACCTATCCCAAATTAACAGGCATTAGATATTTTAACAGGCATTGGATAGTTGTGGCAACGCATAAATATAGATCATAACGAATATTTTTTATGAAGGAAGCCTTTCGATAAGGCAGTTCTCTTCTTTTGGAGGGAAAGGGGACCGGGCAGTGAATGAATCAAAGCGCTTTTTAAACGCTTGATCGAAGTCCTCCAGTCCTTTAAAATAACATTTTGTGGTTATAGCAACTGTGAAATTTTTCTCTCTTCATCGCAATTATTTGTCTATTTTCATATTTGGTTTTGCCTTTCCCAGACGTCAGTTTTAAACGCAAAGGTCCACCTCCAATGTTAAAATTAACATCTCTCAACGCAACATTCCATCGAATAAGATAATTCTCAATCCTAGGGATTTTTACCAATGGTGATCTTTCCTTTGCCTGTGAGTTCAAGCGCTCCTCCACCTTTCGGATTATTATAAATCAGAACCGTCGGGTCATACTCCAGCTTTCCACCTACAAAAAGCAGTAAAACGAATAATACATAAGTAAATTGGGAAGGCAATGTTTGCATTCTGAATCACAATGCAGTTGCAATAGCAAAGATTCACAGTTCCCCTTATCAATTCGACAGCAAAATATTTTGTCTGTTTATGCCCGTTACAGACTGGCGTTTTAGAGTGGCGCCGAACAAAATTCTTCCGAGATTAGAATGAAGGTAGAAGTTTAAAATAAGAGCGAATTCACGGGTCAGATTCCATGTAGAATCGGAGTCATACTTGACCTCGTATATTTTAAGGGTCAAAATGACACTTTCCTAAGTGGAAAAAGGAAGAAGTTTTGCCAAGGTTTGCAGGTCAAATTGACCAGGAAAAAGAAGCCGCATTCCAGGTCATTTGACCCTGAAGTGTATCAGGTCAAGTATGACCCGGGTACCGGGTCAAAGGCTGACCAAGGACTTTTAATTTAGGAGTGTAAAGTCGTTCAAAATGATTCCGGAGTCCAGTTATAAAAGAAATGATGCTTGAAGCTTGCCTGTCTGAAAACAAATTCTATCTGGGTCTATTTGAATCACTTCACATACATTTTGGCTCCGCTCGACTGTGGAACGCGAGTCTGCAATTGGTGAGCTAGTACCTGCACTTCCTCCGAGCAGATGGTAGCCATCCCCGACCAGATACGGGTAACCATACAGCATCTCTTTAGGAACCGCGGCTGATATGACCCACGTTGTCTCCTTGAAAGCTTCACCTCCGGTGCCCCCGTGGCCCCCACCTCCGGGTGGCTTCTGGGGGTCACTGACGTCACCCAAGAGCCCTCCCCCTCCTGGACCAAGTCTCGCTACAAAATATGATGGATCAGACTAGAAAGTAAGTGTGCATGGATCGATTTCATTAAGATGAACATGTTCTCCAGATAAAAAGGTGTGTCAACTCAACACATAGCATAGAACGCAAGAGAACATTGTAGTATCCTTACATGATAGCTATGTATCAGGCATCATGTGCTCTGAAACCACACACCCAGACCCAGACATTACCTCATCCACATTGGAATGCATAAACCCCAACTTACTAAATGATTAATGAATAAGGCCCCAACTTAGATCAGATTGCACCCTAGAACAATGTAGCCCTTTGATTAGCACATAACCTCTCGTGATGTACTGAGATGTACTGAGACACAATAAACCAAGCAAGCATCAAAGCAACAACTATAATCCATGTGCTAGTAACAAGCTCACAACATTACAAACATGAAGCAGGAGAACGCAATGAAAGGTGAACATACCCCCAAATCCTCCCAAAGACCCAGTGTCACTTGTAAGACCTATGTAGCCATCCAACGTGAGACGAGTAGCTATCTCGATGTCACCTTGTATACTCTCTATGGAAACGGCTGGCTGACCAGAGAAGACAACCTGAAGACTCCCGTTCAGAACGATGCTACCATTGTGCCTAGAATTCAAAAGAATGTTCAAATTTACCCACTTTACCCACGTGTCCATCATCCTCCAAAATTGTTAATGATTGCATGATAAATTTCGATGCATTCGGTGGACACATTTTTGAGATTGGAATGGGGACGGAATCTGCATGCCCCAGCTGTTAGATGACCAAAATAGGCTCTTTAAAGAGTTAACCAATACTATAAAGGGCCATTTTGGTCGAGTTACCTCAGCGTATTTCATTAAGTGTTAAGTAATCATTGGGACAGCGCCAGACTATTTATGCAGTCACAATGCCGCCTTATTTTACTGTCTTTTTTAATCTGGCTTTAAACATTAGAGAAATTTTATTACAAATTTAAAATTATTCATTGAAATAGACTGGAATTGATTAGGAATTAACTTGCTTTCATTTCTCTTCACAAGTTCCAAATTTTACCTCACTTTCAATTCAATATGGCCGACTCGTGAATAAGGCCCTTTGATTGGGATGCTTTCTGCCCGTCGATAAGTCTGTCTGTCGGGCTGTCAGTCTTTCAGTCTTTTCTGTGTAACAGGATTATTGCAAGCCATCGAGATGTCTATCCGTACGTGTATACCTGAATATTGCCACTTGATAAGGCCACTGGTTCTCATTCTCATCGGTATACGACCTGTCTTCCAGAAACCCTGTCAATATCTCCTCCGGCTCAGTAGCACCGGCGGCAGCCGAGTATCGCCATGTTGCATCGGTAGAGTCTATGCGGAGGATCCCACGATCAAGTATCAACGGTTCATCTGTAAATGCCCCCAAACAATGGTTAGGTTATTCTTGTACTTTTAGATTTACAGCGTTTTAATAAGCTTGGCCACTCTGAACTCAGCACTTTGTTTCTGCCGTTCACGCGACGGCAGTTCAAAATCGTTTTGTCTACAGGGCGGTGCCAAAAGAAGGAAACCCACTTTTGACAGCAATTTCCACCTACTTGTTGAGCATATTTCAAAAAATCAATTTAATGTGTAAAAGATTTATCTTTAAACATAAGTGACGAAAAAATGATTGCAAATACATATTTTGTCTCTGAGATATGGTCATTTAAAAATGTCATGTGCCAAACCTGTTTGTCCACAGACGGCTTTATTCCATCCACTTGACTGAGCTCCGGAGCTTGATTTGAAGACAAAAAAACACTACACTAGACTTACACGTGGACAACAGTGATTTTGGTGGCTTGTACTCAAATTGGCAAAATAACACCATTCTTGCTATTTTTTTAAAGATTTTTTTTCACCAATGGTGCAGAGCTATACTTCACTACATCATTAAAATAAAATTTCAAAATAAGTTAACAAAAAAAAATTCAAAATAAGTCAAAAGTGGGTTTATTTCTTTTTTGCAACATCCTGTATTGCTACAAAGTGTGATCTCTTTCAACAACAACCATACGACATTATAAAGAAATATTCATAACTTCAAGGTAAATTGTAATATTATATTCATAACTCCAAGGCATGTGTAAAGACAGCCAATGCCGCTTGAGTCACTTATAAAGAATATCGGATGTTCTTCATAAAGACACATTATCCAAGTGTCCACTGAATACCGCACCAAAAGTCCAAAACTACAATCACAGGTGCATCGCAAACTCTTTGATGGGAAGTTATATGTAAAAGTTGTCAAACCTTCAAAAGTCAATCAAAGTTATTCAGTCTCGAGTCAAGCGTCGAGAAATTTAATTGAATTATGACAACGACATTCCTTTGTTATTGTTCATTGTGGCTTGTGACCTGAGGTGTGATTGACTGATTGACAACCAGGTGACTTGTAATTAATTACTACTCTGAAAACAAATGGTAAAACGATGGTTGAATATACAGGGTGAGTCAAAAAGAAAGTGACCGAATTTGAAAATGTTTTTAAAAAATGTGTTGCTCGCCCTACATTATATAAATATCATAAGATAAAGAACTTGTTATTGATTACTTAATTGTGAAAATATAGCTTAACTTGCACACTCTAATGCCAAGTTATGACTATTTTAATAAAAGGATCACAAAATTCAGCTGTCCACAACTGATCATTTACCTTTCTACGAACTGGTGATAAGGTACATGTTATTGAATAGTAACTGTGGAAATGTCACTAAATTTGCATACTTTATTCCCAAGTAATGACTTTTTTAATAAAAAGATCACAAAATTCAGCTGTCTTCCACTGATTATTTACCGTTCTACGAACTGATGAATACCCATTAAAATACAATGAAACATAAACCTTTTCCCACCTCCACGTGCAAAGGAAAACAGAAAAAAAATCGCCATCAATATTTCAGTAAAACAAATAGTAGACCTGTTCCTCACATTTAAAACACAAAATCTGACAGTAAAAAGAACTCTTCAGTCTCGACTCAAATGATTAAAATCCCACTTGTATTTGAGTGCTTGTATGTAATCTGTAATTCTCACTCATCTCAATGGCTTCCAATGACACTCCATGGACAGCTACAAAAATAAGTTCTCTTATAATAAAACATGCATAACTTCTGTTATCATGAATCAATTTCAGTAATCTTTTTTTTTTCAGATGAGTAAAAAAACATGCTCTTTTAAGACTTACTTCATTCGTGTATTAAATTTGATCGGTTTTTAAGAATTTTTGTTTTAATAATCCAAGTGACTTTCTTTTTGACTCACCCTGTACAGGGCTACATTATTTACTTAAACATGAATAAATCGAACCACTCTATTATGATTTTTTTTCGTGCCATTAGGGAAAAAGAAAACACAGGCTTGGCAACATTTGATAGATTGTACCCGTTGCCAGTATTTATCGAATCGACTTGATCCCCACGCCTCACATCTTTTTACGATACTTAAGGCTAATTAATCCAGAAAGAGCATTTCATTTGCATTAAACTTTCCACTGAATCCGACGATCATCCAACTTGCAGGTGTAAAGCAAAAGACTCGCACCAATGGGGAAAACAATTATAGATCTCCACAAAAAAGTTGTTTGTATAGGCTATATTACATTTGTCTACAAAATAGATGTCGTGGTCACGCCATGCCAGCTTTCGGCAAACTGTCTTCTTGTGCACTGCGTGTGTATCTCCTGAAATGTGATCGGTGTAAAAGTGGTGACGTAAACTGCTTAATGTTGGCAAAATAACATGCAAAAGATGCTTCAATGTTTGCGTTGCCTGTCGGTCGCACGTTGGTATGACGTCACAGGTAACATGGGCTATACTGTTTTGGAAACAGATGATTAGTGTAAAACACATCTGTCACGAAATGCCTCGGCAATTGGCGAACAAAACCCCGCAAAACGGCACAGAAAAGACACCATGCGTATTCTGATTTTACTATACTCATGTCTGTCACTCCATTGGAAAACATCGAATGAATTTTTCTTACATGAATTTCACTAAGAGGTTTTATTTGAATAAAAATATTCACCTGCCGGTTTTCAAGGCACACCTGTGTCAACGTCACCAGGGAGTCAAGTGGACAATCGTGGGTTCACAAAAACAATGTCATTTTTTTTTTCCAGAAGCGATCAATATTCATCAAGACTTCTGTCAATATTTGATCGACGGAAGAGCATAACAAAAACATGAGAAAAGCTTCGATGTGGACAGCTGCCTCGATGGTGCTCGTGAAAGAAGGGGGGGGACGCAGTACGTGTTTATTACGTTTATCAGTTAAAAGTTCATAAATTCACGCTCTGTAGAAATATTAGGGTTAGGCCGTGAGCAAAAGACTGTAAGGTGCAATCTCGTCTTAACTTGTTAGTGGCAACTTCATTTCTCTGTTATAAGTAGTTTGGAACATGTTAATTAATTGTATACAATGTGCACACCACATCGTTGGCACAAATTAGATAATTATGTAGTATTATCGTGCGGACCTTCATGAACAATTTGTACAGCAACTTTTGAGATATATATTTTGGGGTTGGGTTTCTTTAACGGGTACCCGGGTACCCGTATATTTGTCAATCGGGTAACCGATTCCCGTACTACCCATAAATGCACACCCTAACCAAAAACATACATGATTAAGGGATTAAGAAGTCGGGTGCTTATAATACAAATTAAAAAACTTATTTAATCTCCTTAATTTGTCTCATTGGAAAGCTCATAATTAAAGTGCCAATTCAATTGGAACATTTTGTTTCAGAGTACCACCAAAAAAACGCATGGACACACTGGCAATTTTAATCTGGGGGAGGTTAAAAAGAATACAGAGAACTCACATAGTTCGGTCGAACTTGCCCTTTGAATGTAGGCAATCTGCAAATGAAAATTCCAATCTTTATATAAGTATAATCTACACAACAATTAATTTAATCAATGCTTTTGAGCCTCCAAGCTACTCATGTTAGCCCCCCCCCCCCCCCCCGCCATTTATCCCTCGACAATCTCACGATGGGAGATGTCGTGGTTATTAAGCAGATTAAAAAAAAACCTCTTTTTAAAAGATGTGTTCTTCAATTTGTTACCAATCCCCCCCCCCCGCATGTACACGGTTTAGTGCCAGTCTCGTTTTGTATCATGCATATGCTGTATGTCATTTTCTTCCCGAAATTTGCAAGAAAGTAAAGCTAAGCAAACCTGTGTTTTTTGGTAGATCACCTGATGTTTTTCTCCGAAACTCAACTAACTTACAATGCTTCAACAGAGCTTAATAAATTTGATAATATTTCAGCCTTGACTCAAATCTAATCACGTAAATAAACAAAAAATGGCTGTTACCAACTCACCACAACAGCTGCACAGATTGCAACGGTGATGAAGCGTTCCATTGTGATGATCTCGTACGAATCTGTTCATTCACATCGTCGCGATGTAAGACCACAATCAAGCCTATTCCATCGTGTAAGTAAAAGCTGTACCTTAACTGGTGTGAATATATGGTTTCCTCCCAAGTGATGGAGCACTTCGGATCGTTTTTACTCTATATAAATCCTATATTTCCTTACAAACAACTGCGTCAAACTAGCTTGGTGGGGTGATGAGGTCCAACAGAGAGTTGTCGTACCAAGTTCTATTCAAGCCAGTCTTAGCTGGAATCTCAACCAAAATGCTTCCACACTATCTTATAAATGACAATGCTCGGTTAGATTAAATTCACGACTGACGCCCGCGTATCCTTTACTAAGTCAACACCATTCTTTTCATCAAACGGTGGTGGGGACAGATTTTGTTGGCTCAATGTCCAATACAGAGTGGAGAAAAGAAACAAATTGCATGAAACTGCTATTCTGTTAAAAAGAAAAAACCGTGATCAACCGATCGAGCACCACCTGTCTATGTTTGTACAGAGCTTGGAGACGGATTGTTTAAACGAAGCGATCGCAAACACACACACAAAACGGGTATACATTCATGTTGGAGCGAAGTGTAAACGTAAGATAATTGAAAAGGGGGAAAGGAGTAAACAAGTTTCAAATTAAGAGGAAAGTGATTGAGACAAATAATTTAATCGTCTAACGTTGTTGACTTGGTGCATACTTCAAGTCTTTCCACAGCATATTGCACCAAATGTAGACATGGTATGGTCTGTAAAAATCAGATTTGTGTGTAAAGACGTGGCCTTTCCATGGTATTCCACAAAGAAAAAAATTGAAGATTTTTAATCATAATAAAAACTAAATAATTTTATGAAAACACTGCTGGAATGGTTCTCAAACAGAACAAGGAAAGACATTTTATACGCATTCTTTCATGTTTTATATTACATAAAAATTATTACTTTACGACTACACAGAATCTAACGAAAATGTTACAGATATGGACATGTCTATAAACGAGTCTAATTCTATGCTTTCTTTTTAAATTCTTATTCAACTTTTCAACGAATACATAAATTTACACATATGTATGATTCATTAGACAAGAAGATCCCTCTAATTTGTCATGTATGCCTATATTAAATAAATACCTAGGAACTAACTATACAACATACAGTACCCGGTAGTGCTTGATCTTTACATGGGAAAAATAACTACTAAAATAACTACTCAAAAAGCCACAATGAAATGGTGAACGAATTAAGTTTGCAAACTTGCAATTATGACACCAAACTGATTGGTGTCATAATAGCAAGTTTGCTTATAATTGTTCTTTCGTTCTGCTATGATCAATTAAATCATTTTACATTCCTTACATCGGGCTCCATCGTGTATTGGTAAGGCGTACTAAGATGATACATGAATGTTTCTTGCAAGCCGCCTCTTAGATGAAAATTATTTTACAAGTTGAAACGTTCTTGATTAATGTTGTTAGTTTCGACAAGTTACAGACGTTAACACTAAACAAGTCTAATCATTTTCTATACAAGTAAATCTTTTACTAAGAAAATTAAAGTAATTTTGATTTCAGTTCTTATAAATAAGCATTTCTTGATATCTGATATTTGATTTCAGTTCTTATAAATAAGCATTTCGTGATAATCCATCCTATACTTATTATCGTTACTAAGAACGCTTAGCTGCTTACACACTTCAAAGAAACAGATTGTGACAGAAATGGACTTCTAAAGGGGAGCCTATAATGTTGGTCGGTCCAAGAGATCTAGACTGGTGTCCGGCTTTGTACCCATCTGACCGACCTACCGACCGACCGACTGACTGACTGACTGACCGACTGACTCCCCAACTGACTCCCCAACAGACTTAGCCTGGTAACTGACTACTGAAGACAACCGGGCAGTGCCATCGTATAGGATTACCACGTAACGCCAATGAACGGGCTAAATTCGGTCCATTGTGTAGACCACATGTATTAAAAGACTTCCAGTGAATGGCCATTCTGAATATATTGAATGGAACTTTGCGTGCTTTGGGACCTACTTTCCTAGGCTCCCCTTGTCTTGTCCAATCTTCTACAAAGATATATTTTGTTAACGAAATAATCCATATTCGCGGACACGCATAACTTTTCAACAACGGTAATACTGCCTGTTGTCGAGTGCTGGATTGAATTAAGCCCCGGTCACACATTCAAGGTTGGAGCTACGAATATCCACGGTTTACCAAGAGTCAATCGATCACCATGAACCGTCGAGATTCGTGGAGAAATCGACTTTCTAAGAATACACTTCGGTTTCAGGACGGATGGCCACGACTGTCCTAAGGTTTCTCTACGAATACACCACGGTTTGTCAATATAGACGGATTGTTGAAGGATATCGACGGTATTACTAAGAATAATGACGTTAACACCGCGGTTGTCTGGGATTGGGCCACAGATGACCAAGGTTCTCCTGCGAATTAAACATACATATTCGTAGTACAACCTTAGCAGAGTCCTAGGACATTCGTAGCGAATTCGTAGAGATTTCTACCATGAATGAGCTACGAATCTCCACGAATATGTACGAGTAGCCACGAATACTGAACACTACGAATTAGTACGGTTGTCCCACGATTTTCGTGATTTTGATGTTCATGATGATTCACCACCGACGGAAGTTTGGAACAGTTTAAAACTTCCGTAGCCCCTCCACGATTACCGAAGGAAGATGACGGATAACCACGGAGGTACTAAGGATGAATACGGTACTCCCACGGTTTATAACGAATTTTAAACCGTGGATATCCGTAGCTCCAAACCGTGAATGTGTGAAGCCCGGTTCATACTCTGCGCGAAAGCGAAAGCGAACGCGAATTTGTGACGTCGTGGGAAGTATTCGCGCTGCAAATTCGTAAAAGTTGAACATATTTCAACTCGGGCGAATTTCGCAGCGAATATTTTATGACGTCAAATTCGCTTCGCATTCGCTTTCGCATGAAGTATGAACCGGGCTTTACTGGGGCTTTAGCAAAATAATTAGACGGTTTTCTTGCGGGGGGGGGGGGTTCAGAATGCGTGCTCCTTCGTGTCGGTCCAATGGCCCACACTCCCACGAGGCGATGACTGATCCAACACGGTCACGCTCGTGTGTGTCGATGGATGAACTGTTTATTACAAGTAAAGCGAAAAGGACAGTAAAGAAAAGCGTGATTTCGCTGTTAAAATAAAAGGATTTATACAAATCATGTTGATTAAAGGTTTTAATGAGTGTTGATTGTTCTCAAGCGTTCATAGTTTACAATGAAAGCTAATCCCCGGTTGCTATTTCCCAAGTCTGTATTGTGACTTGAACAATTTGTAATACAAGGCCGTATCCTCTCCCAGTGATCCCCGTTTGCGAGACCCAGGTCTGTATCGTGACTGTGGGCGCTATCCCTGGCTACATGGCATGTGGGTCATTCCATGTCAGACCAACGCACTTTTTTACCTCATGTCTGCCGATTTTGATAAAAATTGCTGTGCTTGTAGGTCCTGATGAGCAATGAATGCACACCAATTTTTAGCCCGATCCGACCTACCATATGGTCATGGCAGAAACCACAAAAAATGGACACTTGTAGAGTAAAATACCACCCTTTTGGTAGAAATATGTCAAAACCATTTCAATTTTCATCGAATATATGCGAATTTGGTATCAAAATAATAATTAGAATTGCATGCTCAAATCAACTCTTTTGTCAAAATTAAATTTTGTGAAAAGTAGATCACGTGACGTTTAATATGTTATCGTGACCTTTGACCCAATTTATGTACTAGTGTATCATTCCGAAAATCAACGAACTGAAAATGACTTGATAGAGCATGTCTTCCTCTATCAGAATCCACTAAAAATCAATTGGGGTCTTTAAAATTTACAGCTTTATGACTATTTTTGTACAGTTGGTAGGTTACAAATAAGTCAATTTATAGACTTTACATTAGAAATCCACCCACACAACTTACTTTTCTGTTTCTAAAGGTACTTAAATTAATCTTGGTTTGGGAATTTCTCATGTTTAGGGCTGATGAGGTCTAACCAGACTCATAATATAAATAATCAGCAGTGGCGCACCCAGGACTTTGCTTTTTTGTGTGGGGGAGGGGGGGGCTCATAATTTGTTTATTTTCAAATTTCTGTAGAAGATTAAAAAAAAAAATTACCCCACAATCAAACAAACAAATTGACAACCTTGGAGGGGTGGGGTGGGTTCCAGCCCCTCGAGCTCCCCCCCCCCGTTCCACTGATAATTAGTTATCCCACGAGTGCGCTTTGAAGTGAGGCCCCCCCCCCCACCCACCCATCCCGTGGTGCCACTGATAATTAGTTAGCCCACGAGCGCGCTTGGAATATGAAACAATGCAATGCTGCTGTGACCCATATGCCACCCGACGCACTACATTATTCCGTGTTCCACGAGCATAAGTGGGCTAACGAATTTATCTTCAAGCAAACTTGACATCGAATGCTTGATAGTCTTTTGTCATCAGCAGTTACTGTTTAGGGTTCGCAACAGCTCTATGTTTTTTACCCGGACCCAGTACAATGGACACACATCCAGGTGAAATTTATCTCAAAGGAAAAAAATGCCAAGTCTGTGAGACTCATTAAATTTCAAGAAGCGTTGTGATGAATGAGTAAGGTAACTTTGATTGCGATATTGAGTATTATCTTCAAGTAACCTTGAATCCTAGACCCTGATTAGTCCATCTATAGCAACAACAGTGTGATTTGATATAATATTGCACAGCTATATTGCACCCCAGATATCGAATGTACATGTACATGTATGTATTGTGTTCTTCTAATTTGCTGCTGAACGGTCCGATACACTATGCACCTACATCGAGGGATCGAGGGGCTTGAACCCACCCCCCTCCAAGGTTGTCAATTTGTTTGTTTGATTTTTTTTTCAATCTTCTACAGAAATTTGAAAACAAAAAGCTATGAGCCCCCCCCCCCTAAAATAACCAAGATTAATTCAAGTACCTTTAGAAACAGAACAGTAAGTTGTGTGGGTGGATTTCTCATGTAAATTCTATAAATTGACTCATTTGTAACCCACCAACTGTACAAAAATAGTCATAAAGTTGTAAATTTTGAAGACCCCAATTGATTTTTAGTGGATTCTGATAGAGGAAGACATGCTCTATCAAGTCATTTTCATTTCATATATTTTCGGAATGATACATTATTACATAAATTGGTTCAAAGGTCACGATAACATATTAAAGGTCACGATAACATATTAAAGGTCACGTGACCTCCTTTTGACAAAATTTAATTTTGACAAAAGAGTTGATTTGAGCATGCAATTCTCATTATTTTAATACCAAATTCGCATATATTCGATGAAAATTGAAATGGTTTTGACATATTTCTACCAAAAGGGTGGTATTTTACTCTAAAAAAGTTAAATTTTGTTTTGGTTTCTGCCCTGACCACATGGTAGGTCGGATCGGGCTAAAAATTGGTGTGCATTCATTGCTCATCGGGACCTCATCAAAATCGGAAAACATGAAGTAAAAAAGTGCGTTGGTCTGACATGGAATGACCCATATATGGGTTTATTGCTTCTGACTAGCGCCCCTTGTACAAAGATATTGACTAGTTAGGGAACCGCCGACATAGGGCTGGATAGCTCAGTTGGTTAAAGAGCACCGGAACGATTATCCCGAGGTCGCAGGTTCAAGCCCGGCTACAGTCAATTTCTTCGTTCAACTTTTCAATTGTTATAATTTACCTGATCAGTTTCCCTGTGTGGTTCATTTGAAAAAAATATTAAGAAAGGTTTTGCAGGGTGCGTTACAGTATCGTTGGTCAAGTGTGGTTTGATTTTTATCTTATACTTTAACTTCTACAGAAATTCATGATTTCGAAAGAAATTAGGGTACAAAAGAAAATTAAGATACTGAATTTCCTGATTGCAAATCTTTTCGGGTTCCTTATCAGAAAGGTTAAAGGCATTTTTTTATCAGGCAGACTTGCGACGGGGAGTTTCGGTATTGTGAAAACGCACCAACTGGTATTCCATCTAGCCTATTAGAACTGTAAATGTACGGCTTAAAAGTAGCGCTATTCGATCATTGGTGGTTAGTTTAACATAAACTGCTCTTTTCTTACCGGAATTTTTCTTCTTTTTCTTCGCTGGGCTAGATACGAATGCAGTCTTAGTTTCACTCTGAGGATTAATAAAAAAAACGTTTAACAAACGTTGAACAAATAATTCAAATACACAATGAAACAAAGACCATGTTTTATAAGGAGTTTTCTGTTTCTTGTGGCTTCTTGCCTGTTGGTTGCAAACAAGCCAAAAAGACACCCAAACGTCTTTCAAATGCATTTTTTTCAAATGGATAGTCGAAAATATCAAAATTAATTAATCACACAAGATTAGGTATATAAAAAGAGTGGTTAAGCTTTTTCCCGGTTGAAGTCTGCGCCACGTGACCTGGATGAGCAATATTGTATAAAAGGGGGTTATTTGCTCAATAAAGAGCTAAATATTCCATAATATCTGCATCACGTGATGTTAACTCACCGGCCAGGCAAGGCGGAAGTCGAGTCGGCTGCGAGACTTTCGCAGCTTGATGCGAAGGGTGGAAATGACGTCATCATTTGTCAAGCAGTGGAATAGGAATATGAAAACTCCCTACAACGACAGCCATGAAAAGATATATTCTTTGATTGCATTGACATTCAGTGTTTATGATAATTTTAATATGATCAGTGGGTCGAAAGAAGGTCAGAAGGAACTCTAAGCTTGAAGCAATTTCAATGAGTGGACAGGGTTTGCAAATCGCGAGGCGACGGGAGGTCAATTGAATTACAATGTTGATTTACTGGAGACCAATTTGCGCACTCAGAGACTCGATTTGTCATCGTTAATTTCGATTACTCCACGTAAATGAATGCGATTACGAAGCGAACTTGACGTCAATAAACAATCCACTACGAAAATTGGCTTGATTGAAATTTGTTCAACTTCTCAGCGCGAAGACTGGCAATCATGTCGTCATAACTTCGCGTTTGCGCTTGCTTTTGTAATCGTGCAATCAGAATATCTTTTAAAGCAATCTGTTTATCGAAATTGATAAATAGATTATAAACGCCTCATGCAAACAATCTGGTTTTCACATTACATCCAGGATAATAATCGATTATTCTTCGTTTCGAATAGTTACATTATTGTTCATAGTCTAAATGGGAATGTTCATTTTAAATTACACTTTTATACGGACTTTTACTGCATGTGAGCGCGTTGGCAGTTTATACATTTAGCTTACAGACGTATTAACCATATACAATGAAATATAGGTTGTAATTCCTCAACAGTAAAACTGATTAAATTTGGACAAACCTGAAGAGAGTTGAATATGACAAACATGTACATGAAGATCAGGGTGCTTTCATCCACAGACAGCAAACCGAACAGCCAGGTGATGCCCAGCAGAGGCAGGAGAATCACAGCAGCTCTGGTTGTCTTCCTGCAAAGGAAAGAAACCAACAATTTTGGAAAGATGATGAAAATATGGATTCCTAACACAAGTACACACTCAACGGCTACAAATGGAGAGATGGGGACCACTGAGAGAGACGCCTGGCACTCACGCGAGTAGTCGTTACCAGTTCGTGCAGATTCGGCATATAACTAGTCTGGTGCCCCTCCCATGGGGATCTCGTAAGTGGTCACAAACTTTGCGCAACTCTTCAAAGTCCCGGGTCAGATTTTAGGAATCCGGGTCATATATAATCTGATACTTTTCCGTGTCAATGTCAGACTTTTCTGGGTCAAACTGTCACTGCTATGGATATTTTGGGGGCCATCTTGTAGCGGAAACCTTTAATAGCAAAAGTGTCATTTCGACCCGGAAAGGTGTCATTTTGACTCGGAAGGTATCAGGTCAAATTGAACCCGGAATTCCGGGTCAAATCTGACCCGGGACGTTTGAAAGTGTAGATGGCGTAAAAAACCTGGATGTATCCATACCTCGCCTGTTTCCACTTCGACTGCTTAGCAACACTCTTGACTGACACAAAGCGAATCATCACTACAGCCAAAAAGAAGATATTCACCTAATTGATGGAAAGACAAACCAAGAATGAGGAATTTAACAAATATAGCGAGGGACGTAACGTGAGCAACCATCTGAGCAGGTCACTATATGACTGCTATACTCAGCAGTATGCATGACTGGTGTGATTATGCCGTGAAGTCTTAAACTCAAGATCTTCCTGGTAATTTTGCATATTATTGTGGGTTCAAGTCAATCATGTGGTATTCCAGTGCCCGTGGCCTTCCTTTGAGACAGGTATTAAGCTAAGTTCATAGCCACACCAAAATATTTACAGATTTTTATTTTTTAGACCTTACCCCTATGATAGCGAGCACTGGTCCTCCGAATGCCCAGATGGCCCCCTGGGCTGTGTCGAGCCAGCAGGCCGTGTCCGATCCGTAGCTCTCCGGTGTTGCCAGGGCCGTTGCCACAACAATCACTATTGGTAACCCTTTGTAAACAATGAATTCAAGATGCAAGAAGGGTTAGGCACAAGAAAAAAAAAATATCTTTCGAAGCAGTTAGCGAGGAAATATATACTAAATTTTGAGCAAAATTAAATACATTGGTCAACAGCGTTTTACTCTTTTTCAGTGCAGACTTTAAATGCGTGCAAGTCGTTGATTTTCTTCCTGGTGAGCTCAAGAAAGCTGAACGAATATTTTTCCGGTGTTCTGTACAAAGATTAGCAACGTATTTTGAGCCGCACACTAACTTGGGACCGGCAGGTAAATATTGGTATATTGGTATATTGTCGTTTCACTCACCCCAGGCGGCAACGAAGAAATATTTAAGGGTCGTTCGCGAGGGCGGATGGAGCACACGAACGACCCGGATGTAGAGATAGATACCCTCCATCAGCATCCACATGAACATCACAGTGTAGGTGTAATGTAGTATGCCAGCTACTGCCTTACACCAGGCCTTGAAAAATGCATGAACACCGAATTTGTATTAAGAAGATTCCCATTCTCAACTATCACAATAATAGGATGAAAGAAAATATAACTATCATCTCGTTGACCATTAATGTTTGGTACGGAGAGATGACACAAATCCCTTAGTCTTTTGATTGAACCCAGAATTGCATGTAGTACCTAACACACGCTGGGGTCGAATATAGCCCATGTGTACTGACTCCTAGGTGCACTAATCGTGTACTCCACCAAACTACCTTTTACTATACGGTTTTAAGACAGTATACAGTGTCGAAGACGGATGGGTTAGGGTCGAACAAATCCTTCCCCTACATAACTCGCAGGTAACGCACGACACGATACAAGTAGCGTAGGCATTATGATGTGTTTTTATAAGACGGAGATAAGTTCTCTTCGAGGCTTAATTAGCCTTAAACCCTTTTATATCTCAGCCTTTTAGGTCTTCTTTTTAAATAATGGAAAATTCATCTTCGCTTTGCAGCTTAGGATAATTTAACTCAGATACCTGTTTTCCCCAAGAGTGTGTGAGGTATGGATTGAGCAAGAGAAGATCAATTACTTGTTTTGGTTGTTTTTTTTAATTTGCATTCTTGTTGGGTGGGCGGGCCGTCACCGCATTATGGGGAAGTTTTTCATTGTTAGACAAATTAGGGGAGTTGTGGGGACTTTCTGCTGTCCCCATAGCTTCTTCCCCATAGGATAACTCGTGTGTAGTCTCCACAACTACGGAACAAGTATTTACAGTGTATAATGTGTGTGGGTGTGCAATAATATAGGGTGCGTGTATACTTGAGTTCATTTTTCGAATAACACTTGGCGCATTAGTGAGGCCTATCTCTTTACAAATCAGCGAGCCTATACGAATAATAATAAGACATCGCAGTAACAAAATACATATCTTTTAAATATATTACAATTAAACATATTAAAACAGTTGGCGCCTCTATAATTTTGACGGGGTTTTCTTTTCCCAAGGGAAAGAGTAGGTACTCCGATATTCACCGTAAACAAATGAATTCCACCCACTGTTACTGTAATTTAATGTTAAACGTATACCTTGTTGGCGGTATCGTTAGCTCCAACAAGGAAGAAGAAATCGGCCACCGTCAGGGCAATGACGAGATTCAAATGGATGGTGGCCGACTCGAAATTCTTCAGGCTCCTAAGCAGACAGAGAGACATAAGCCGGGAATGATAAAAGCTTATAGTTGACTTGAATTTTGAAAGAGTGCTTTAATGACACTTAACGGGAAGCATTGTCTTCAGTCAATTGTCATTATGAGGTGATTGATATCAACAAATTCATTATTGTTGCTTTGAGTCCTGTTATGTATGTACACATAATATATAATTTGCATGAAGCATCTTCACATTGGGTGCTAATTTTCGGCACAACTCGGGGAATTATATTTTGTAGTAATTTTTCAAATGAAATTCAATGTTAAATAGCTTATTTTTCATAAAATAAAATGAAATTTAGCTTCTTAATGTCACACCTGAGGAGGGCTGATATAGTGACAAGCGCCACCACAAGGCAGGCCAGGGATAGGCCAAGACCGATGTTGGTGAGAATCTCGAGCGCCCTCTCGTGGCCAGGCGGCAACTTAAAAATAAAATTAAGATAGAGATTATAATCGGAAGTTCTGTGACGTTTCTAATGAGTTTCACACCGTTAAGCAATGCTAACAAATATGGTGTGTTTTGTTTTCGTTTTTTGAACTGATGCGTGCAAAGAATACGTATAGACCGTTTGCACTGCGGCCATCTTTGAGGCGTGTACCTTTGTTCTACATGAATATGCATGATTAGACTTCTTGTGCATTCATTGTTAATGAATTAACATAACAAAACACACCTCCAAGACGGCTGCTTAATGCAATCGATCTACGGACTCATTGTTGCTCAGATATCTCTTCTGGGAATGGGCACGAACAGTCCTAAGAAATTACAAATTATGATTATTTTTTATGTAGTTTTAAAAATAATAATAATAATAACATCATACAAACAGCAAACTTACGGTAAAATCTGTCGGCCGGAGAAGCACGGCAAAATTGGTCAGATGATCACATGTGCACATTGAGTGAGTCCCATTGGATACGTTGACAAAACACCCAGATGTTGACCACGCCCCACCAAAATCACTTCTGTAATCGTATTTTAAAAAAGTAGTGATCGCATTCGCCTTTTGGTTAAACAAAACTTAATACTCTGGTATGAGGGTAATTAAAAATTCAAGAACCACTAAATTGTATTTTTTTTTTACGATTTTGATTACAATAATAACAATGTCATTGAATGCTGCCTAAAAAGTTCATATCAGTCTGCACTGTGTTAAAGTTTTAATTGAAAAACTTGAAAACTTGACTTACGGAATGGAAAAATTCCAAAATGCACAGATAGTGTCCTGTCCACGCAATTGCTGTTGGGAAAAAATGTTATATTCATATCAACATTTTACAGGGTTTATAGTATAGCCAAATTGGTATACATCTGCGCATAGCAATACATTAGTTTCCAATGGGATGTTCTTGTTCTGAAGTCTCGAGTGGTATTTTTTTTCTTCAAATATTGTCTGTAGAGCCTGAGAGTTTGAAGAGGCTGTTTTGAACATTCCCTTACATTGGCGAAGCTGGGAAAGCACGTTGGCCTATTGCGAGTATAAAAAGTTCCATAAATGGTACAGAGTTTGAGGTACCTCCACACCAAAAGAGACCAAATATATTTGCTGGTGCTAGTGAATCGATTGAATTGAATATTGGGCTCTTGGGGCCAGCTCTACTAGGCTTGTTTCGTCTTGTTAAAGGTATGGTAAGTACTTGCCTCGTTGTTAACAGCTGTAATAGTGACCCCTCTCGTAAAATCCGGTGTGCTTTTCGTCAACTCTAGTGTGGCACTCAAGACGACGCTAATAATATCGTATCCCGTCTCCAGCCTGGTTTTTAATGGGGCAACAGAAGATTAAGAAAAGTAGCATCGCATCGGAATGGCAAAACCAGGTTTCTTTGGAAATAAGTTTCAAGTGTGGGTGCATTTTGTCTGCGCATGAGAGTCAGGGATTTGGTAAACAGTGGCAATGCCGCTCAAAAACGTGTCCTTCATTAAACATAATGTACTGCATTTTACCACTGAGGGCGCACTAATGAACAGATTCCATTTAAATTCCTTTTCTAATTCCTATGATTCAGATTTTCTCCTTGCACGTCACTAACTGTCAGTTTCGTATTAGACTTGCTCAGGGGTCACCTTTGCTCACAAATTTTAAACAGGATTATCCCGTAATGCCAACGAATAGGCTAAATCTGGCCCATACACAAACGTATGTATGAAAAGAATTCAAGTTCGTATCAAATCTGAATCGATTTCGATATTGTCTGCTCTGTGATGAGGTTTGTTTGGCTTGTCTAGTCTTGTTAAGTAGATAATCCCTTAAACTGTTTCCTTTGTTTCAACTTACCCCGAAGATGTTGCAACTGCACCGGATAAGTAACGCTCGATTCGTGTGTAAAGCGTCCCGACAATGATTACACTGCCTGAAAACAGTCAAATAGACACCATTTAACTGGTATCTATGCCTTTTTGATGGGTTGTCTTTGGAACAAGTTTGCGTCAGCAAAATATACCAAAGTACAAGGAAAATTCCTATGATACTGATAATGTATCTACGGTCAGGTGTTGTGCATAATTGCTCGGTTGGAACACGGTTAATATTTCATAGCACTCACTATTATTACTGGATTGGACAAATTGGGTATCTGCATTTTCATTTGCAACACCCATTTGTGACAGTACTTCGGTCGTCCACCTACGCCACACAGTGTAGTTCCTAATTACTAACTCGGCTCATGGTAATGCATTATCTGATTACTACAGTTGCATGAATAATCAAGAACATCACCAGACATTATTTCAATTCATACTTTGTATGGGAAGTTGAGAGGCCCAAATACGGTGCGAAGTGTATGGTATGGCGACGGAAGTTTTGCTCTGTGTGATTTGCTCGCGCGCGTTCCAGCCTCTCGCCCGTCGTTCTTTCTCCTCGCCACAGGCAAAACTTTTAGTCTAGAAATGCATCTATTTTGTCAGTTTCTTCGATTTTGTTTGAGCGTCTCATTACAATGAGATGGTGCAGTAACATATGCAGATAGACTTGATAAGGTGGGTGGATACTTATTCCGCTAGAATTTGTGTAGTTTTCATGATATTTGGAATGTGTTTGTTGTACGAAGTTGATAACTTCGCACCAGTAGGCCTTCTCACAAAATAGGTTTGTGTATGAAGTGTAGCGCTCAATGGCGACGGTGTGCTCATTTCTGTGCACGCGTAATGTGCAATGTGGAGGCATACATGTATTATACAGTCCAGTATCTAATAATATAGCCTGCTCTGTTCGTAAAACAGTTTTATTTCAAATTGTAATACGTGTATGTCAAAAAGATGTAGTTGGAACTAAAACACAACCACTCGAACATTTCCCCTCGACTAGATCAATGCACTGCTACCGAGCTAAGTAATAATTCATTTCTATTGTAGGAACCTAAGGAAAACTGAGGTACGTGGACTTGAAGCATACCTGTGGAATTGCTTGGCACGACAGATTTGTGTATCGTAATGGCGGCTGGCTGAGTTGTCACATTTGGAGAATTCAGATCCGGCGCGGAAATAACAGCACCGGCGAAAGAGTTAGCCTCCAGGACCTCAAGCTGCATAACTAAAGTCATGAGTTGGAGAAGAATGAGATGACAGGCAGTAACTTCCAGCATGACACAACAAAAAGGTAAGAGTTAGTAAGAATGTATAGTATCCTATGGTACATGGTTGTACAAGTGTAGTAATTTTACGGTCGATGATTATTTTCAATAATGCATGATATAAGCAGGGTACATGTCATGAGATCTTGCAAGTTAACTTGTCATCAACGTTATTCATAATCATGTTTCAAGAATTCAAGTAATCATCGTCTTCGCCATTAAACGACATGTCTTCGGGTTACATTTCCTTCAGCTTTTCCCATGCATGCAGCTTACGCTACAATCACGCGGTATTCGGCTTGCTAATGCACGGACATTCTTTGTAACTGAATAGACCACCTGTTGTTTTCATATGCAAATAGCTCTCCAGAAACTTTTGGCTCACAACATTTTAACCAAAAGGGGTGGGACAAATACATCTCGAGTTTTCGTCGTGTAGTAGTAGTCCTGTGTTATGCCAAATGGGGTAGTACAAATAATAATGATTCGAAGGTAGGATGTAAACATGACTACGTTTTGGAAGAAAAACGTTTTTGTACAGGATGGGAAAATGTGATTTTCATGTCAACGAGATGACGTAGGCTACACTCGCCACTATTGGACGATGGTTTGTGGAATAGAAAAAAATTATCCGCATTATTTACGTATCAAAATTTTCCGCCTGGAAATATTCCTGATGATTAAAAGGGAAGCCCTAACACAGCCACTTCATTTGCACGTACAAAATGTACATTACTTGACTGTTGTTCAACAGAGAATATATATATTAGCAGTTTGTTTTACCGCTTCATACACTCACCCAATTCCTCTGAGCTAACAGTGACGTTGATCGCTTCCCCTGGCTTTCGCCTCTTTGCTAGATCTCTACCAACAGACAATCCGATCTGCTCAATGGTGTCCATTATGTCGGCTGCTTCGGTCTAAAACGAAAACGAACGACAAATCACGTGTAAAAAAGAAGACTTTTACCGTAGATTTCGGACAGTCATAGATACCCAGGTAAAAATGCAACGAAACATTACGAAGTACTAAATTGTCGATACAACAAACACCTGTATATTGATCCTAACCCTACACAATCGTGTTGGCTACCTCTTCAGTAAAGTGAGGCACTTAGGTTGACTAATTGGCAGAATAACTGTTTATTTTTAACATCAGATTTGTTTTACTCACGGACGTAGTTGATTCGGTCGTGCTGATATTCAAAGTGAGATCCTGCAACGAGAATTTTAAAGATGTAACATTTAATAGACCTTATAAATGCATGGTTGTTCAACGGCAACGACACTGTGGCACTACTGTAGGGTATATCACTATTATTGTCATTGCTTTGATAATTCTACTCAATGTTTTCCGTGACTCAAACCAACTTAATAAACAACCTTGATATAATCTGCTGCCTCCTCTGGCGTGATGTCATCTGGTAGTTGTGGGGTCGACACGGTCAGACCGTTTGTAGACGTTCCGATGGTGGTGGACTCTTCTCTTCCTGGTGAATCAGTTGTCATCGTGGGCTCAGCTGGCGTTGTGGGCGTGGTCAGGGTGACAGTTTCAGCCGAATTTAGGCTAAATTTGACAGATTGGGGGGAACAGTTTGACAGAAAATCTAGCAGAACGATTTTTTTTAAAAGTAGATTTCTAGCCGGATTCTGTAAAAGTTGGTGATTCTGACAGAAACATATAGCAGATTTTAAGAATATAGCACAATTTTGTTTGAAAGCTTCAATTTTTAAAAAACAAACCCTTGCACAATGGGACAGGTAGGCCAGTCTAAGCTTTGAGGTTCCCTGATGTGTACGATTACACAGCAAAGTACTGTGCACATTGGAAGCCAGGCTAGAAACGCGCCATTTAAAACAAAAATATTTAATTTTTTGTGAAGGAAATTCTACGATTTTGTTTTGATTTAAGGAATTTTTTTTAACATCTGCATGTGAATTTAAATGTTTATAATGTATTTCGTGTAATTATAGGTGATTTAACAGATCTTTGTTAAATCTAGTAGATTTTGAAGTGCATCTAGCAGAATTTTGTCATTACCTTACGGTCACCACGGACGTGGTACTTGGTAAGGGTTGAGAAGTAACGCCATGTTGTTGGTTGTTATTGTTACAAGTACAGTTGCCTTCATCACCGCCGCCACCGCCACCGCCGCCGCCGCCACCACCACCACCGCCGCCGCCGCCACCGCTGCTGTTGCTGCTGCTCTCTGTGTAGGATTACCGGGAAAAAAAACACGTAATGATTAGCTTTTGATTACAGTTTAAACGAGGACTTGGAACCAATTATCGAATCCCAATGACGGATCCAGGATTTTCCGGGTGATCGAGGTGTTGCAGTTTACAGATAGACAGACCAAAGGTCTGAATCAAGAAATTAAGATTTGCAATATAGGCCTAGGCCTATAGAATGTTGACGCTATTAAAGAAATGTAAGGAAACTTGATTTTTGTTTCCATTAGGCTTATGTAAATAATTAACATCGGTAAAGTCGGGGGAGGATTGGTTTGCCACTCCAAGCACCCCCTTGGATCAGCCCTTGAATCCACCCATCAATCACCTCTTACACCAACCTACCAGACCTCCAATGTTGGCATGTTTCATGGATGTTCTGTCTATCAACATCATCCATTGTTTGCATGAAACTGTTTACCCCTACAAAAAAATGCTCCAAACAGCCCTACATGTTTAACACAACCGTTGTTTCACATCACAAAAGGCACCAGAAATGGGAATTTCACCGCCAGCTGAATATTTTCTATTTATTTGGATGCAATCTTATTTCTGGAGAACTCTGTTCCAAAATTGTTGAACGACCGTTAAATAGCTAGTTATAGCTTTCTGTGGCTGTTCATGTAAGCACATGTACAGTTCATTTGATTTCTCTACCAGTGTCTATTGAATCGTGACTGATTCTGCATCATGACTTGTGATACTTTGAATCTTACCGCTGGAAATAGACAGAAACCCATCCTGGCCCGAGCGAGGGTATCCAGAGCCTCCACTCAGCAAGAAAGCTGGGTTATTCTCTGCGATGATCTCACCGCCTTGTCCGATCCTGATCTGTATAACACCCCCAGCTCCACCGCCTCCGCCATGCCCATCATTCCCGTCACCACCAGAGACAACAAGGGATCCCATTGACGTTAAATGGACCTGCTCATCATTAGAAAAGAATCTTTCATTTTCAAGATGAACCCTTTTTTATGATTTCGTTGCAGAATGTTCAGGCGCATGGTTTTCTATACATTATAGTTTTGGGGTGGGGTGGGGAATGCGGCTATCCTAAAATTCTGGCCGTAATGACTAAAAATGAACAACCAAACGATGTTGGGATCGAGTAAGAACTTCATAATGCAAGGCAATGTTGCACAAATGACATTACACAATGCATCCGAAGCAAGATAAAAAGTGTATCCAGGTGCGTGGCCAAAATGCTTTTATTGTCGATCAGGAGTTTGAGCCTCCAAAAAGAATTAACTTTGTTTTCTTTCTTTATGGTCAAGGGGTTGAAAAGCCGATTCCCTTGTTGGCTATATGCCACCGAGTACTCTGCTTACCGACTTTGCTCGAACACGGATAAGACCACCGCTGCCTCCTCCCCTAGATGGCTCTTGGTTATTTAGCACAGAGCGCCCTCTTGCGGTCACAAGTGCATCTGGTAAAAGAGAATCATTCCTCTTGAGCTTTTAAACACGGAATCGACATGTTGGACCAAAAAACGACAGGATTCAAATCAGGCCCTTTCGCATCGTATCTATGTAGATTGATATCTGTTAAGGTATATCGGAATTCATACAAGTGGAATGAGCGTGCCAGCAGAGCCTCCTTTTAAGTTCGATTCAATTAGCTGAAGATATCTACCTCATGCTTACCTATAGTCACATTTCCTTCACGTGCGCGAAATTCAATAGCGCCACCGCCTCCCAATCGAGAAACCCCTGGACTCCCAACGCCTCCTATTGCAGAACATTGTAAGATATTAGATGAATTTGTCAGGCAAGAGTTTTTCAATCTTCGTGAGTTTTCAATGTAAAACCGTAAGACATGAAATCGACATTTATAAAGGTATAGACTTACCTGCACTTCCGCCCAACAAGTGATCATAGCTTCCCAGCACGTAAGGAAAACCGTACGAGCAGTTGTACAAGATGCCATCGCCATCCGATGTTGAAAGGGCATCTGTGGTCGTAGATTGAAGGAACAGGTCTGTAGCCGTCAACATATTGGTCGCGGTCAGAACGTCGGTCATGTTCGGTAAAGGCTCAGTGGTATTTTGATGCAGAGCTTCATTGGTTGTATTAGAATCGTCTCTTGAATTATTCGAGGCTTGGCTTACAGATCCTCCAGTAATGTCAATGAAATCGGTTTGATTGAGCAGCGTCTCCATCGTCATGTTCGGATACAGCGCTATGGTGGTCGATTCCGAAGACGTGTCATGGACGCTGGATGGTAGCGTTGAGTTGAGATCCGTTGTGCCATTTGTGCTGACTTCAGCAAGAGCAGTGCCATTCCAATATGTCGTGTAGTTGTTCTTCACGGTGCCACTCGTTGTTTCCTGCACCGTGCTTGCCGTTTGATTCATCACCGTTACCACCAGGGTCTCCGCAAAGGTAGAAGTTTGCACCGACGTTGGATCTGATGACCGTTGGTCATCGCTGGTCCGACCGCAAGGCTGGGTCTGGCTCTCCCGGAAGCTGCCTCCTCCGTGCCCGCCGTGGCCCGCTCCTCCCGGGTAAGAAGCGGCATCGGCACCTCCTCCAGGACTCGGAAAACCTCGATATTTAGATATGAAAGAAGCTGAACTTATTTTGAGATAAATTTGTCATAATGTTAATGGGTACCTGTTGCCGACGTCTACTTAGATAAACCTATCATTCTGGAGAGGCCGAATAGGTTACCAGCATTACTTCCAATCCTTTACATTGGCAGATAGTTAAAATGGTTTGTTTAAACTATTTAAAGAATAGTATTGTTGTTGGAAAATTCAACAAATTACGAATATATATGTACGGTTGTACCAAAACCTTTAAACACCCAACCAACATAATACATGTAATACCGTCCAAACAATCAGCAACTAACAATCAACCACCAAACCCCTAAAATTCAAACAAACAAACAAACAAACAAATAAACAACCAACCCAACCACCAACCAACACACAAACAAACAAACAACCTGTTAACAGTCAATCTTTATTATGCAAAGCGGGGACAAACCAGTATCTATACTGACCCAAAAGACCAAACCAAAATATTACCTTGAAAACCACCGACAAACATGCCGGATTCTGTCCCATCCGAATGCTCCTCTTTTCCTTCTATCATTATGTCCGTTCCTACCAATATGCCTCCTTCTGTACTCTGTAGACGCAGGGCGTTCTTACCCCTAACGACCACTTTCAAGTTTCCTTTGAGTTCAATGGAGCCCGGCTTAGAGAAAGTCACGACGGTGTAATTCCACTCTCGGCCGCCTGTTTCATCTCGGTAAGTTAAATTCTCAAGAGTTCCATTCAGGACTATCTTGAACTTCTCAGGCATTGACGGTGTAGAGCTTGAACTTAAATTGCCGAGCCGAGAGAAAGTTGTGTAAGTTTCAGAAGTGTTAGCTGTGTCACTGATATTACCGACGATCACCTCACTTTGGAAAGTGGATACCTCGGTAGACTGGTTAGCATTGCCCGTCGTGAGTTCAGGAGTTGATTTGGCCGAGGTGCTGTTCTCGTTCAATGTTGACAAATCTCCGGAAGAGGTTGTTCCAAGATTCAGAGCTGCGGTTGCTTCACCCGGTTCTGTGTTGGCAGAGGTCGCATCAAGACCCAAGTGGGAGGTATTCGGTGCGCCACTAGTATTACCAACGGTCGCCTCACTCTCGAAAGTAGACGTCTCGTTAGCCTCGTTCATCACGGGTTCAGAAGAAGACGTACTACTCTGATTCAATGTCGACGATTCCTCAGAGGAGGTTGTTTCCCGATTCCCAGTGATGGTTGCCTCGTCCGGTTCTGTGTTGACAGTGGTCATATTGAGATCCCATTGTTGGGTATATGAAGTTGAATTGTCGGTTTGATGTAGTGCTGTCGAGTTGCCGGTCGTGGCATGGTTTGCAAATGTTCCATTGTAGAAGGTGGTGGTGCCTGTGACGGTACCTTCATCGATTCCATCGAATTCGTTGTAATAGAGCATCGACGCCTCGTCGGTATCGATTATAAGACATCCCTCCTCAAGAATAAGGTCCTTATCTGAAATGGGCAATTGAAGTTGATGGCTTTAATTTTGAGCTCTTGGTAATCTCGCTTTGTTGCTGTCCCTCGATGACTACATTTGCGAGAAACAATATTGGGATGGGTCTTCTGTCTCACATAATGTTCTCTATTTATACATTTTTTGTAGCTTTTAATCGATTTTTTACAACTTTTCCCTGAACGAAAAACAAATTATGTCGCAATAATTTATGTAGTTTTATCAATAATATCGCACTAGTGAATAAATGTGATCAAAAGGAAGTTTTCTGTTTTGTTTTCTCTTTTTTGTAAAAGAAAATATCGCATATCATTTTACAATATGTTAATGGATCATTAAGTGATATTTGTTTAGCAATAATACATAACCTGTAGTTGCTTATGGGGGGGCTTAGTTGTTTTTAATGGAGCATAATCCCACACACAATGGTAACTATGGTACCGCACCGTGCTCATGTTTTCTTGGGGCGTGACTCAATGCAAAGGAACGTTAATTGTCGCATAATGAATTTGGTACGCAGCAGCAGTCTATCTGCTCCAGAAAAGTGTCATCTACTTATTTTTTTCAGTTCATAGTTAAATAAAAAGGTCTCACAAAATACCAAACACATCCCTAAAATACACAACTTTGGCCCTAAAAGCCGAAGTGCTCATTATGCATTATTAAAGTGATTTTTGAAAGTAAACAGTTGTCGTAAACTTGATACATTTAGGAAAAAACCTATTTGAAAACCGATTGTTCTACCCACGTTCAACTGTTGACTTTAATGGCTAAACCTGCAGACGACAGAACGATAATTATACCAAGCGTAATTTCAGACTTATTTCTTTCTATGCCAAAAACAGCCACATTTGTATTTCCAAAAATAAACGAAATATCCGAAAGAAAAGAAATGCTCATTTGGCTGTCTGCAATAATGGACTCTTCATTGTTCAACATTCAATGCCGTCCAGCGCACATTGTAACAGTAATGAATGCGTGATATATCATTTTGTGCGGTCGAGACAGCTTGAGACCAGTTGTCGGTTAAGAGGATTCACGAAGCTATCAAAAATGACGGAGAGGTTGTTTTTCCGTGTCATTGTTGTGTCGAGTAATCTCTCCTCTGCGTATCATGATGAGAGAGCTCGCCTGTCCATGCGCGGGAGCATGCATTGCCATTGTATATAAGATCGATCAGTGCAGGAAATAGGTGAAAGTACCGTTATTGCTTTGAAAACTACTCCCATGAAAAAAATTCTGATGAACGTGTAGCTATTTTAGCGGTTCCCGCGGCGACGACGTGCTTTGTCCATGTAATTTTATTGCAGATGAGATAAATAGTTATACTACAGGGTGTATCAAAAACAAAAAAAGAAACCCAGATGTAAATGTAAATTATAAAAAATCTCATAAATATTTTCAAATAAGTTAAAGATCATGTGAAACACCAACGTGTCCTCTTTCTAAAATCGCTTTCAACCTTTGCATAACAAACCAGCCAGCAACATGGGCGTCGCCAGGATTTTTTCTAGAAGGGGGCAAAACATATTTTTGCCAAAAAAATGCCTGTATTTCTCAACACATTCTCGATTTATCAGTTTTAGAGGGGGGCAGGGACATTTTGGCCCCCCTCCCCCACCATTGAATTTACACCACTATGACTTCGCGCCTCTTTTTCTTTTTTTTTTTCTTTTTTTTTTTTTTTTTTTTTCTTTTCCAGGGGGGGGGGGGGCCTCGCGACGCCCATGGCCAGCAATCTTAGCCAGGTAAAACTTGGCCCATTACAGGTTTTGACCCTTGACAGAATAGCAATGAATGCGCAGTCATACGTGGCCACAGACACACAATCAAGGTATCATTGGAACGAGGACACATTGGTGCTTCACATGATATTTTACTTATTTGAAATGTTTATTAGATTTTTTTTTATAATTTACATTTACATCTGGGTTTCCTTTTTTTTATACACCCTGTATATTTTTTTTTATTAAAAGCCATGCATAACAATGTGAACAGCATATTCCCCATGCACGACGGCAACTGGGAACAATACGTTAATATTTGAATGAACAGGAGAGAGTAGTACGGAATATAAATAATTTCATCATGTTTCTATTTTATACCAGGCTAACAGTATCGATTTTTCAAGAACAGTATTTTAACTGTCGTTTATTTATAAAAGGGCTCCTCAAGATGTTCGATTTGTATCGGTTTATTTCCTTCTGTTAATTGTGGTAGCAAAAACCCCTAAAAGCGTTTGACCTTATTAGTGACAAGTTGTATATGATTAACGAGAAGAATAATCGGCTTGTTTTTGAGAGGTCTGTTCACTAATTCCTGGTTCAAGTGCCTTGTACTTTCACACCTGGCTCACGAGTTTCTACCAAAGTGTCTCTTACCGCCCTCTGGTAATGGACAAAACAACCCTAGTATAAAAGGGTCAAGGAGGTCTAGCATTACATGCTGCGATGTAGGTTCAATACGTATTCGCTCTTTGCACGGAATCACCATTTTTGGTAAAAGATAAAAGTACGGTCTGGCTTTGGGCGTTGGACCCAAAACGAGGTCGCAATTTTATCTTTACCTATAACAAAAGGTCTTTGGTGTCGTTACTTTTGCATGTTGGTTATTGAACTATGACGTAACAATACAAGACAGGCCTAGTACACTCTAAACACAGTGCTTAGCTATTAAACACTTTTCTTTTACCCACGTTTTTCCACATGTTTAGTCTGAGATAAGTTTAGGATTTTGCACAGTATATATGAAAGCCTGAAACTGTCATTAATAATAATTAATACAAAAGTCAAATATATCTTTAATGTTCGTTTTTCGTAGAACGATGATAATGAAAGTGTCATAAAAGTGTGCATTTTGCCTCGACATCGACCCGATAAGTCATTTTTCTTTTCTTTTACAATGTATACTAGATGGTAATGGACTTTCGTACGTGCCTAAACATGTCACAGACATCCATAAATATGACGTGGATTCAAACATGTGTAAAAAGTGGTTACAAACAAGTGTTTAGAAATGTGTTTAAATTCTATACACTGTTTTAAAGCTGGTCCCAGAGTGCCACAAAAATATATTCAATCGATTCAGAGTGGCCGGCTATTCACTATCTTTTCATGCATGTAGCCTACGCAATATGAAAGGCCGGGTTTATCCAGTTTAGATTAGCGTTATACGGGGTAATCCTATTTCAAACTTCTGGGATAATGTGAAACTTAAGCAAGTTTAATTCACAAGTGACGGACATTCAGTCAGTAAGTCAGACAGTTTCAAAGAGGACTGCTTGGCTCTCTCTGGAGCCCGCAGATTATGCGTTCGAGTCCCGTGGCTCGCCAGTGCAGCCCTTGAGATCTTGCATTATGTACTATGTTTCTTTATTTTTTAATTAGAAAAACACTTGATGAAATCTAGCTGTTTGTTGAAAAAATGAATTAACCAGAACTGAATTTCCCATAATACCGTTTACATGGCATAGTCTGAACTAAACTAGGAGAAACAATCGACCTGCCTTCCATTCACTTGACAAAACTTGTCGACCTTTGCATGGTTCTATTTTTAATGGAAATTTGTCAACAATGTAGGCCTACATTTTCGTTATTTTGCAATCGATCACGCGCACGAGTCGGTAAATCAATATCAGTGTTGAACGCTCCATTTGAAAAACAAATACCACCATGTATTAAGTGAGGAACATAAATAATTCACTTACCATCTATCATCGCCGTGCATTCGTTCGCGATCATGATGACCTGAATAAAAGATCAAATGTGAATTCATTACAAAGGGCCTATATAACCAGACTGAGGTCTCATTATCGAAAATATATAAGATGACAAAGAGCTTGTAAACTACTTTTGTATATTTCGTAAAACCGTAGCGGGTTTTTTTTCTAACAAATAAAAAGTTACATTTCCATGTGCATTCCCATGGACAGACACCAAACCGTTTGAAATATCGATAAACGCTCGCCATCGAAAAGTCTGCATTTAGGACTTATTAACAACAAGCGTCACGGCGGTTCTTAGCAGAATCGATGCAGTATTAAGGGGCCGTATCATAAGTCCGACGCCTCATAGGTCCGACGTCTCATAAGTCCGAAATTTCGGACTTATGAGGCGAAATTAATGCCTCATAAGTCCGACGCCTCATAAGTCCGACAATGGACAAACGCTGTTTCGGACTTATGAGGCGTCGGAGCTATGAGGCGTCGGACTTATGCGGCGTCGGACCTATGAGGCGGAATTATGCCTCGTAATTCTGACGCGTCATAAGTCCGACGCCTCATAAGTCCGAAATTTCGGACTTATGAGGCGTCGGACCTATGAGGCGTCGGACTTATGAGCGGACGTGTAAGTCCAAAACAATATGAGCGTGTTTTTTTGTCTTGTTTATTTGTTATTTGTTTGTGTTGGTTTTTTATATATAGAAAAATGGCGGCGGACACGTCACTGGAAAAAAAGTGCTGAAATACTTCATTTAATTGACACAATTACCAGGAACATGTTTCATAGCTCGGAAGGATTACCAGCTTTTACACGTGCACATCACAGCCATTTTGATCTACAAGTAAATATATAAGACTACATGTTCCTCGAAATATTAACTTACTTGTCATTCCATCTTCTTCATTAATGAATAAAGTGTATCTAAAACCCATTTCAAGGGTCTATACTTACCGAGCACACCAAGATTGTCGTCAATACTTGAGCAAGCTCCATTGTCACCAGCAGTGTGGCTCAGCTCAGTCCCCAAATCACGATTGTGCTCTTGCTGTCAGTACAGCTGCATTGTTCTTGATCGGTTTTACCTTCACACTTGTAAAAAAAAACCGACGATGGTTCCACAAGGGATACTTAAGTTAATGGGAGTACCAATTTGTCCTTCACTGCACTGCGCGATGTCCACATTTGCCGATGTCCCTGAACGATAAAGAAGAAATAAACAGATAAAGAAGCTCCTGTAAAATTTCAATTAAATTCTAGAGCAGAAATCGATCTATGATTTCGGCTCTGAAATGAGGCGGTGTCTTTGAACACCCGCATGTGATCTGATACACAACGAACTGTCTGACATTAAGCGCGTTTTAAAGTGCAGAGCATCTATGCTCTAATGTATGTGACCTTCACATACATGTCTGGTAACGCCTGCGCGCTCCGCTCCGACGTGGGTGATTATTAAAATGCAGACATTGATGGCGTCAGTAATGTGAAATGGTATAGTTTCCCACTGGTGCCACAGTATGATCCCAAATTAATCAGGAGTCAAATGAAATGGAAGGGAAAACAATAAAACTATTCAATTTCAGTGGTATGATTGTTCGTAAAGACTCTTTCCGATAGCTGCATGATATCTCGCTAAACGGCTTTGGTTTAAAATGTTTCAAAATGAAAAGTTAAACACAAACAAAAAACTGCAAAAAGGTAACTTTTTTCATGTAATAATTTTTGTTTTACATGTATTTATCATTGCCCTGTAATTTAAATATGATTTTTCTTCAAATGGTATTTTCATGTTAAAATTAATTATTGAACGTTTTGCTATTTTAAGTCTGAACTATTTCTTATGCACGCTGGCTTGCCATGCTTACAATGCTGCACACTTAAAGTGTCCATAAAATGAATTTTTCTTAGGAAAACATTTTGTGCAACTTTCTACTCCTCTTAAATGTATGAAAACTATTTGACATACTTTTTTGGTTTATTTTATTCAAACGTGAACTTCTTTAGACATTTTTTTAAAATTCCATGCTTCTCCGGATAACGGAGGGCGCTGTTACTGTGATGTCATTTCAGGAAGCCACTGTTCAATTTAGGGGTTTTCTGTTCAAATGTGAACCCAAAATCTACTCATTGACAACATTTGTGAGAAAAGTTTGCTCATTTGCTCTACTGCCATGTACTAACACAACAATCACCAAAGAAAAGAAACTTTACAACAGCAAATGCATTACACTTTTGCTCATAAATATGGAAATGTGCATTAGCACACAAACCAAAAGGGAAACAGTTTGAACATCTTAATAAATGGGCACTTATTTGCTAGTCTGTGATTTCTTAGAAGTTGAATTTTGTGAGCAAGTTCCACTAGAGTGTATGGTCCAATACAGGGTGAATAAAAAAAAACCGAAACCCAAATGTTGGGACCATTGTTTTTGAGGAGTTCTACATGTAGCATTTTCAAAACCTAGGATATGAGAGGCCAACTCGTACGTTGTCTTTTTTAATCGTACAAGAATCATTCAAATCACTCATGTACTTTTCAAGTTACGGCATTTCAAACACAACCACCGTTTAAAGGTATTGTCCACGGATCGTAAAAAAAAGTTCAGTGCTCTTTCAGCAAAACGAAAACAAATCACATAGGGATGTGTGTGAATTGTTTCCGTTTTGCTGACAGAACGCACACCTTTTTGGTGATCCATGGACAGAACCTTTAAATGATGAATGTGTTTAAAATTCCGTAACTTGAAAAGTACATTAGTGATTTGAATGATTGTTGTACTAAAAGAAGGCTTATGAATTGGGCTTTCATATCCTAGATTTTGAAAGTGCTACATGCAGAACTTCAATAGAACAGTAGTCCCGACATTTGAGTTTCGTTTTTTTACTCACCCTGTAGTTATGGTAGCCGAATTATATGTGGTTACCGTGAACCTTGATGGACATCACAGAGCTTGTGTCCTTGGGCAAGGCACCTTACTACAATGGACCGATCCAGTAAGCACCGCCCCATGGTATTCTGACCAATCACAGCCATGATTTATGTCCGACATGCGTGCACAAAAGTCCGACATGCGTGCACGCGCGTATGATGCGCGCGGCAGGAAAATGCAGCGTGGCATTGGAGAGGAGCACATGTTAATTTGCCCACGTGCGCAGTGGGAGGGGCTTACTGGATTGGTCCATTGCCTCTCTCTAACCAGGAGTATATGAGGATAAACACACTGTGCTGATCTTTCATTTTTTCAAAGGTGGTATTTTGTCGAATATTCTTTTGTTTGTAATCCGACTTGTGTTGAACTTGGAATTGGAGATGTTCTTGTGAATTGACTAGTGATGGGCTTATACTTACACTTTAAAATTTGCATTAGCACACAAACCAAAAGGGAACCAAAATACCCTTGAAAATGGCCACACACATGAACATTTAAAAGAAAGTTGAATAGGACACAAAGGTGCATTTTCAAGGATTGCATTACAAAAATAACATTGCATAGGCCCTTTAACGTCAATGGGGATGAACATCGAGCGGTTTTGTGAAGATTTTCATGTGCTGTTATTTTCTCATCTCTTGGGGGCGTATAATGTATTGTGGGGATTTACTTTAAACTGTAGTAGTTGTCGTTCTGAACTTACAGACGAATCCAGGCACGTGATCACTGTACACTCACGAGGCCCCCTTTAATGGAGAAACCATTGTGCACGCTATTGTGCAAAGCCACTACCCCCATTTAGAAATTATAGTAGCACAATGCTTTTGCCATTGAAGGGGCCGTCGTGATAGAATTAAAAGCGTGCTGAGATTGGCCTATCGAATAAAGGTCTCTTTTTTTTAAATACTCATCCAAATACTAAGAGAAATATCAATGCCAAAGCTTAAATATTGTGAATGTTTTTGTTTGTGAAAAGCCAGTATCGACATGAGTTCCACTCCGATAACATTAGTGTTCAAGGCCGTACTTCATTACGAATTGAAAGATACATATTTCAAACCGCAATAACAATTTGGATGCATGGAGACGCAATCAGTCATATAACAATTGGAAGCAGAATGAGATAGAAAACAATTGTATTCTACGAAATACACTGTCTGTCTTTTATGACTGCAAAATGACAAATGTTGCCATTGTGGCATACATTGTGGTGCTATACGGGGGTGTTTTTTTTGGCGGGGGTGGGGTGGGGAATACACGAGTTAGAAATGTCTGTTTCATGGCTATAATACATGTAATGTGCATCGACTAGGGTTCATTTCGCAGTGGCCACTTAACTTTGGAGCCTCATTACCTGCAGGTAGCTCGCTTAATTGGTTTCGAACAAGAAGAAGCTTTTTTCCGTTTTCTCTCAATTATTATGAACGGATGACTGGCCCTTTTCATCGGTGATGTTTTGTGTTTTAGGCATAATATTCGATTCTGATGAACGTTTTTTTCCCCGACAGCTGGATTGTTTAGACTTAACCCAAGACCAGTGACATGATGAAGTTTGAGTATGTACTGCCGAGTCTTCCGTGCAGTAGTGGATCTGCCCCCCCCCCCCCGTTCATCCGCTGAAACTTTTTATACCAGTAAAATGGGGCCAAACGTAATACAGATTGACTCAACGTTCCTAAAGTTATTCTCAAATTGTCTTAGAATGGGGGAGGGGGTTGCATGCCCCGCACCTCCTATATATAGCAGGGGCACGGATTCATTCAAATGTCGAAACCCCTCCCCCTCCCGTCCCCATGGTTTCCGAAAAGCTAGATCCGCCCCACTGTGTACTTGACCTCGGCAGTAATGACGTAACACAATGGCGGGAAATTTACTACTGAATAATATTTTTAGGTACCGGTAATACACCAATAAAGTCAAGTTAACTAAAATATTACAATTACAGCTTAAGTTAGCTGCATATCTTTTAGACAAAGGATTAAATGAGGCATATTACGCAATCGTTTCTCACAAACAATATCTCTGAATATCGTGCATAAAATACGATCTCTTGCATTTAAAGGTTGTTCACGATAATAGTCAATCAACATTACATGAAAGAAAAGGGGACTAGGTGTACTGCACGGGTAAACTTTACCAATTGAATTTATATTTAATTATTCGACCTCAACACTCACAAACGAAAACAATTAGTACTTAAATTTGCGTAACACGCTCGATTAATCACAGAATCATCATACCTGGAAACCATTCATTCACATGTCTACTTTCTCTCTACAAAATACATTAAAAAGCACCAATTAAAATGTTAAGAACAAATAACGCGAGTTGAAAATGTTGGTTAAAAGAAAACAGGCAGAGCGGAAGAAATGCAAGATGGATGCCTACGGTTCCGTTTAGGTGAGCACTGATGGCAAGTTGAAACTTCAAGCTTAAGCCAGTTAGTTGCAGAAGAGGCCTGCGGCAAAAGTCATGGAGCTGTACCCAGTAAAGATTTGCTGAGCAAACGCCGATTACCAGCCAAAATATTTTATTGCGTATGACTGGTTATCAGCCGATTTCTGCTCAGGACACAGATTTCCTTTGTAATACGTTTCTGCTTTAGCTTTGTGAAAAGGACCCAGTTGTCGCAAATCTGCCAATACCTTACAAGGAGAGGGCCCCTTGTGAAACTTCGTTACAATATGCAGGGTCGGATCCAGCTGTGGCTCAAAGAGCGTATAGCATTCGGGGGGGGGGGGGGAGCAGCATGTTGTACTTTTTTCTGCATGATGTTCCTATTTTTGGCGGCCAAAGGGGGTTAGACCCCCAGATCCGCCACTGATAGGGCTATTGTAGCCTGCACGTTTATAATCAACACCTTTTGCACATTGTACGAGTACCAACATCAGAAAACAAATAAATTATGGCAAATAAAAAAATCAAACTTCTGATAAGGCAGTTTAACTTACAAAAATAAAATACACTAAAAAGATCATTTAGATCTGCGTTTTGGCACGTGTATATCAATAGATCCACAATCGAGAGAAAATAATACAAATGGTACCTGTAGATGTGAAGGCAATTAAGGATGGGCTGGGCAGTACTATTGCATGACACTGACAAATTACACAAATCTGAAAATATTTAACAGATGAACTGACTGAAGAAAAAAATTGAAGATAATTATAAAATCAATTAAGATAAAGCTTTAAAAATACATATTCAGCTGAAAATGAAATTTAAAAAAATATCAAGGAACTAAGTGTTTTCTTAAATATATAAGTACATATCGTAATGGTTTCAACTCAAATTGTTTCAGCATTTGAACAACTCATGGGGATATTTATGGCTATAAAAAGACGCACGTTCCATGTCACAAATTCTCTTGTAAGAAAGTTACCAAATGTTTCCCAACTTTAGGGTGATTTCATAAGTACTTGCACCTAAACAACACATTAGACCAATCTAACTATACATGCAAGAAAAGTAGTACCAGTGCATCACACCAAAAAAACATTCGAGATAGTAAACCAATAGAGGCGCCGTGAGCTTGTTATTGCGCGGTATAGATACACTCTGTATAAATGTACTCTGTATTAGGCCACAAAAAAAAAATATTCGGTTTCTGGTCAGACCAAAGTTCCGGAATTGACGCGGTCACGCGGCTTTTTTTTTTTTCTTCAAGCTTGGATTGTACAGACAAGGTGGATACTATTTTGCTTTTTTGGTGTCCTCATGTACATTGGTGTCCTCCATAATTTGCCTTGGTGCTTTCGATCATTTGCCTTGGTGCAATTTCCCATTCCTTGGTGCTCTTTGGTAAACAACATTGAGGAGGTGCGGAAATAGAGGGCGCTGTTGGAGCTACCGCGGAACATTTTGGAAAAAAAAAAGATCGACGCGCATGATTAAAATCGACGCGCGCGCTGACCAGAGACCGACTTATTATTTTTTGTTTGGCCTTACAACCATTGTATGACCTTTAAGAGACACTGTAGCATTATGCATCAGCCCCTATTTAGAGGGAACAGTTTACTGGGGCTTGGGTCATTCAAGTCGGGGGCAATCATTATGCGCAAGTCTACGGGAATATCTCTACATGCTCTAGGGACCCATTATCAGTAATTATTAGTATTCGTATTAGCAATAGAGAGTACAAAATGCATCTACAAATTACAGCAGCTCGGAAGTTAAAAACCCACAATAACAGGCCCTGAAAATCATTGTTATTGCTTCCCTTGTGTAGTAAGTTAAATTGAGTCTAAACCTTTCCACTTTTTTTTTTATATATAACCGGAGTACATATACAACTTCAGGTCATGGTTCTTTTTTTGCTGCAGGCATGCATTTGTTTTGCAAAAGGCAGCAACACAAATCAAAACAATGTATACATTCTTGAAGGCAGTTCATGTACAGACTGTCTAATCCAGTTTTTAAAAATAGGTAAAAATTGATGACATTAAATGTGGAATTTTGTGACCTTCTTTTATACAAAATGTCACTCGTTTTGGGGAGTTTTTGGAGCAATTTATCCAATGTTATACTGAATAATTGACGAGCTACAAATAATTCTAGACAAACGCAGAATCAAAATGAAATAACTTTTCTCTCTTTTGAGAAACTTTTGCAATAACTTTTGGTGCAAAGGTCTTTCTTTTCAGCATGAAATCATTTTAGCTTAGTTTTTCCCCTAAACCTTTGAAGAACAATCCATTTCAACAACCACAACACCATTCATGCATATAAATTTAAAATATCTAATAAACATGTATTTCAAAAAATGTTAATTCTGACACTCATGAAAAAAGAAAATTCTTAGAAAAAAAATTAATGGTGGTTTGTTCTAGATAAAAAAGTGTGGCAATATATAACTTCAAAAAAAAAATTGCACAATCCGTCTCCGTTCAATTTCAGGGTGTTCCCCAAATAGCTATATCTACCAAAATGTGTCAAATTGTTGTAGATTTTGCAAGGATTTCCACTCCTTCATGAAACAGCCCATCCTACCTCAGTACAAATATATTTTAATTTTCCTGAATTTGGGCTATTTACAATGCATGCACCACCAAGAGTTTGCCACGGAGAGTTAATTTTTCCCAGGGTATCGGGGAGATGGTCAACAAATTCGCAACCCCTTATATTTGAAAATGTTAGTTTGTTCGGTCAGTAGTTTCGTAAGCATACATGTATGATTCAAGTATCTATTTTGCCCTTTTCTTTTTATCAATATGTTTTTTTTTTTTGTAAGGCAGCAGAGCGCTATGCCCCAATCAATAACAAATTAGCTCAAGTTGTCTACTGATACTCGTTCAAATGGGCCATGTTTTGTCAACCGTAAACTTGAAAAATTGACTCTCTGTGGCAAACTCTTTGTGGCACACTGCATTGTGAATCGCCCAAATTGAATCAGGAATACTTCTGAGATAAAATATAATCTATATTTTTTTACACTGGTAGCGCTGCATGCAATTTTATGGACGAATGACCAAAAGGGGCAGCAAATAGTTTGAGACCAGCCTCAAGGACTGAGTGAAAGTATCACTCAGAAAGTATAACCATGTTGTTTAACTCCTATTGGTTACACCTCTATGTTCCGACACCCCTATGTTCCGACTGCACATATTCCTATTCCTAACCCTAACCCTAACCGGGAGTAACACAATCGAGGTTGTCGGAACATAGGGGTGTCTGAACATAGAGCAGTCAACCTCCTATTCATGGGTTTTCATTGTTTCTTTTTTTCTGTAGAGTAGACCATGTAAATAGAAGTCTACAAACAACATAGAGGTTTCTGTGCAGTGAGGCAAGCAGTGTGGCAATCAATTCCATCACAATACCTCACAAGTACTCACAAGTCATTCAGTCCAAATTCAAGTTAGGGCTGTGCATCATTATGGGATCGGGTACCCGTAACCAACTTTACATACTACTTTGTAACTTCTAAGACAATGAAAAGAAAGGTTTTGAATGTCATTTGTGGAGATTGTGAGACTACATGTGTATGGAAAAACAAAACAGTTTCACGATTGTGACGCTTGCAAGGGCGGATCCAGAACACAATTTTTGGGGGGACCAAAAATTTTTTTGGACCCCCAAGAAAGTGGGTCAAAAAATTACGGCGTGGGGTTTAGGGCCCGCTTAAGGGCCCCGAAAATTTTTTGGATTCTAGATGCCCTGTGGTGTGATCTGAGGCAATTTCTGACCACTTTAACCAATGTTTTTTTGAGGAAAAGATGGTGGTGTACTCATTGCCTGCCTTTATTGCGATGTCACATAAAAAAAAAAAAAAAATTGTCTCGTTTTGGGGGGGGGGGGGCCATGGCCCCCTTTGGCCCCCCTGGATCCGCCCTTGGACGCTTGTGACAATTGCAATTTACACCGTAAAGCTACATATTGAGCTCACTGTACACATTTGCATCATGCTGTATTGATGCACCGATGTGGTAGTATTATCGTGCGGACCTTTATGAACAATCTGTACAGCAACTGTCGAGATTTAAATTTTGGGATTTGTTACTTTAAAGGGTACCGAGGTACCCGTGTGTTTCTTAACCAGGTACCTGACTCCTGTGCTACCAGTAAATGCACACCCCTAATTTAAGTCGCAAGCTCATTTTCAAATGAACTGTGAACAATGTAATCCCTTGTTATTGTTCATCCACTGTTACTTGTGAGCCAGACTTGTGAAAGGACTTGTGATTTACTTGTCACCCAACTTGTGATTTTTGGACTCCACTACAGCACTCAACCCAGGGCCCTCATTGACACTTGTCTTTCACTGCTAAGCCAGCAAATAGATACTGTAACTTTTGACCAAATTTGAAGTAATAAATAAGACATATTAGTACTTCCTACATGTGGGATAGACACTGCATGACTAGATCCTCCAACGTCGGCATTTTGACAGGACCTGCCATTTCTTGCTTCACGTACCGCGTCAATCTGCTCTCCAGCTCCCTCTTGTCAAGTTGCAGCCTCCACCGGATGCCTATCAGAATCTGCAGCAAGGGTAAGAGAAAAGGGTTTGTCTCATCTTTACCAATGGTATCCCAGGCGGCCTCTGCATACCCATGGACGTGAGCCTCCCCTTCCTCTAGCGACATGTAAGCCACTATCAGCGCACACTGAGTCCGAGCCGTGTCTGGGTGCTCAGAACCAAGCATCTTCTCTTGAAGGTGAAGAGTGTTCTGCAAGAACGGCACCGACTCCTGAAAGTCACCTCGCGCCATGTAGCGGTAGGCGATCCGCAGGTCATGATTGTAAAAGAAGTCCTGGTATTCTTCAGACAACCGGATGCACTCATACTTGTAGATGGAAGTGAGGAACGTCTCAAAGGCTCGACTGCGCTCAGCGATGAAGTCATGCTTGAAGTTTCCTGTCAGGGTTTTCCTGGGGAACACAATGTTCTCCATGATGCGGGGGAATCGTTTCCGTAAACTACCGTTCAACTTGTGGAAATCAGAATATCTTCTCTCTATGGTGGCTTGTGAGGTGTCGCTCTTGATCGTTCTTAGAACAGCCACGGTATAAAGCTGAAGAAGCAATGGGAAGTTAATCAAATCAAAATAGTAAATGAAGTATTCTGTAAGCTACATTGTACCTACTTATGATCATTTCTCAAATTGTGTGAACAAATTGCGATTTCTGGTCCTCTTCCAGGGTCTCTTTCCGTATGTTTGCATAAAGTATTCACAAAATACACGGCTGACAGTATTCAGGCCCGTTGCCATGGTAGCGAAACAACGAGGCAAAGAGTGCTAGGGTGTCTATGCTTTGTATCACATTGTAATACCTAGAGCTGGAAGTAAACAATTTACATGAACTCAGTAGTCATTTTTTTACTTTGAAAATATGTGAATCTATTACAATCAACCACCTTGCAGGAAACCAGTGGCATACTAAAGGGGCATCAAGTTCTATTGTAAAGTAATGGTGGCTAGGCTGTTCCATCCCCATTGCTGCAAAAACCTCCCGAAGACCAGAACCTGTTGGTATTAACCCTAACCTTCCAAAATCCTCTTTGCAACATGGGGGGGGGATTCTGTAGGATTGAGGCTATGTGGTACAATGTGTGGCTGATTTTGGAGGACACACTGTGTCAAGGTCTTGTTTTTGCTCAGCCGTACATGTACATAAATTTAGGATAGATTATACTTGAAATCCTCCGCACTGCTCCAGGATGTCACTGGCTCTGCCTCAACATATTGACAGTAATTGCTGGAGGATTTTGCAGGATTGAGGCAGTGGTCACCCCTCCAAGGACCACATTCCAGAAATAACGGAGGACTTTGCAAGACTGAGGCTGAATGCAATTTACACATGGATGCAGTTGGAGGATTTTGCAGGATTGAGGTTATCCCAGCAAAAAGGCCTACAGAGTAAAGGTTAAAATCTGGGAGAATTTGCAGCTGATAGGCCTTTGTCTTGTACACCTTTAATTTTTAAAAATCACAGATGATGAGGATGTCGTGTCGACCTCACGCTTCATGTAGTTTTAACATAGCATTGCATATTCAAATCCCAAGTAAGAAAGGCGGAGTAATTGGATCAGCATTCATCATTTATTTGCACCCAACTACTTACCACAAATCTGTTGTTGCCATCTCTCATTGTTTTAGCTGAGACAACCTCAAAGATGGTCCTCCCAGGATGAAACTTGTTGGCCTTGGAGCCAACCTGAAGACTGTGGACACTGCCGACACTGTCCGCATTGGATGCTGCATTTGTGAGGAGATCAATTATGTATTTATAAACTTAGGGGATCAGGTTTATGAGAGGACGAAATGGTCGTGACAGATGGAGAGTTTCTGATGGCTAGGTATCCTGATAATCAGGCCAATCCTGTATTTCCCCAATACTTCGTTAATATAATAATCCTGTTATTAAATGTCTGCAACATCATGATGGGTAAGTTTTGTCTCAGTTAAGTCATGTTAGTTGCAATAAAGGGTTGAAAGGGGCAATTTTGGACTAACAATTGTGTACAGGGCGAGTCAAAAAAAGCGAAACCCAAGTGTCGGGACCATTGTTTTAGTAAAGTTCTGCATGTAGCACTTTCAAAATCTAGGATATGAAAGCCCAAATCATGAGCTTTCTTTTACTAGTTTTAGTACAAGAATAATTCAAATCACTTATGTACTTTTTAAGTTACGGAATTTTAAACACAACCTCCATTTTAAAGTTCTGTCCATGGGTCACAAAAAAGGTGTGTGTTCTTTCAGCAAACCGAAAACAATTCATACACATCTTGTGATTGGCCCGTCTGACGCCACCCGCGATATGCACTATAAAGACGGTGTCTGTGGTCGGTTCCCAGACCAAAAGACTCTGACGTCACGCCAACAACGCTTCGTGTGCTCGTTAACACGTTAAAACTCAAGCTGTAGCTTTGGTAAGGAAAGGGGACCGTTTTCATCATTTTTTTGCACCATCAGATTCGATTCAACCCTCACACTTTAAGCGAACAGAACGTGAGTACATACATGTCAAGGAGTACATACATGTAGTCTTGGGGTACAAATATACAGCACCTGCTCCAAAACTCACTTCCATACTATTCATGGAGTATACAGCGTGTTCGCGTTGATATGCCTACCTATGGGTATTATGTGTAAAACTTGGTTTCTTGGTAGGTTCTTCTCCTAAATACTCCACGTGGGAGTTTATACAGGAGGAGGTCAGAAACACCGGGGCAAACCCCTTCTCTTAGTGATAAGTGTTTACTGGGTTCTTTTACGTGCATTTATGCAACACACGGGACCTACGGCTTAACGTCCCATCCGAAGGACGAAGCAATAATGGTTAAGTGCCTTGCTTAAGAGCACAAGTGTCCGCCGGCGGGCTCGAACCCAAGCTACTGTTGCCTCTGAAACACCAGAACATGAGTCCGGTGTTCTTAACCGCTAGGCCATGACACTCCAATACCCATAGTTCTGGGGGAAACTATCCAGGGTAACTGTCTTTCTTATTTTTATTCTCTTTACCAGGTTTTTGGGGGCCTTTTGTCCTCGCCAGGGTATGCACAAAATGCATACCATGTACCTGTCATCAAAGTATGCCTATTCGGTGGAGCACTAGTACAAAGGGTACCGAAGTTCCAGCACTCCACAGCACTCCACTCAGTAGAGCTAGTACAGGTATGTCATAGATAAAACAAAAAGGGCAGGATTTTGAATTTTTGAGGGACATTTTGGGGTACAATGACGATGACAACGACAAAAGACAACACAAAAATAAGGATGGGGATCACCGCGGGATGTACCGAGAACATGTAAGGTGCACAGAATCGCACAGCACCAACCGTTAACCGCGTAGGAAAATCGTAATTTCTACCCCAGGAAACTATTCAAATTACAAAAAAAATATTGAGAGAAGTCTACTTTAGGTTGAAAAGGTCATTTTTTTTAGTAATAAAAAACACCCGTGACCCTAATTTGATCAAAACTAAACAGGGGCCCTACACTACAGGATCGCCAAACTCGAAACAGGACAACTCGTACGCGAACCAACTCGTACGCGAGACAACTCGTAAGCGAGACAACTCGTACGCGGATTGGTCAACTCGTACGCGAGACAACTTGTATGCCAGCCAACTCGTACGCAAGACAACTCGTACGCGGGCCAACTCGTACGCGAACCAACTCGTACGCCAGCCAACTCGTACGCGGACGATGGCCAACTTGAAGTTGACCCCAAAACACACGCCAAAGTTAACGATTTATCACAGTGGTCTGATTGTATGACTGAATGACTGTGATTGTAGCCATATGTATTTTCAACAATTTTTAATTCCATAAATGCAACGATGTTCAAGTTCAAAAGTTTCAATGATAAATTTAAAAAAAACATGATCCATTTTGCGACCGATGTGTAGTGCACTTCCAAACACGCAGCTATTGTGGAGAATTTGTCAAGACATACAACAATTTGATTTACACATAGCGTGGGGCCACTATAGCAGTGAATTGTTGGAAGTCTACAAATGCAGCGGACATTATACGATTTAAATTCTCACTACGTGGCTTTATCTTGTATAGTGCACGGTGTGAGCAAGGATCGGACACACCAGACAGTGTGCGAGTGGTCTGGGAAAACAACTCATAACTTTTTTGTTATGAGCAAAACAAGCTGATTTGATTGGAACCACTCAGTAACACAAAATAATCCCCTTAACTTAAGGAAAAAACAATGTGCTAGACAACTGACCGAACCTAATTTCCTACACGCCCGAACCTACGGTTTCAGTAAAATCCCTTGTGCTACGGCTGCTAGTCTATACTCACGCGTACGAGTTGGCTCACGTACGAGTTCGTCCGCGTACGAGTTATCCCGCGTACGAGTTATCCCGCGTACGAGTTGACCCGCGTACGAGTTGGTCGGCATACGAGTTGTCCTGCGTACGAGTTGGTCGCGTACGAGTTGGCTCGCGTACGAGTTGACCTGTATTCGCCAAACTACAAGTATTAGTAATCATTTCACTTGAATTCGTGGATTAGTTATGCCAAAGCTAAGCAGACTGGGAAAAAATGTTGCAACCTGACGCCACTTCCCCGATTGTGTACAAAGTCTATGGAGAGCCAAGAAAATTGTAATTTCGTAACAAAATTGGAAATATTTCTCAGTCCCAGATTCATGTCTATCATCATTTTTGCAATGAATGACCTTCAATTCATTGAGATGATGCAGAAGAAAAAAGTGGCGTCAGGTTGCAACATTTTTTTCCGCAGAGTGAATAATATTTGCAATCTGGAACTAGGAAAACGATTGTACCTTTACGACGCGATGCATCACCGGTTGCACCGCGCCGCACCTCCCCGTCACTATCCTCATCATCGGCAGACAAGTCACCGTCATTGCCAAGTAGGGCGGAACTCCGAAACGACAGCCGGCCAGTGAATTGCAAATCAATGTCCTCACTCCCCAGTTCACTTTCGTCCGTCGAACTCACAGGATCGTCGATGCTCACATCACAGGCAATCTTTCTCAGCTTCGAAGCCATAATAAACAGCTAACGATCTGAATATTTTGGAGGAAATGAAGCATTCGTTTTCATCGTACTGCTGTGCGGTGACAGTCCGCCGCCATGTTGAATAGTGGACTTTAAAGTGACGCGTTTGTTGTGATTAGGTTCTTGTCTCCAATAAGCACTCCTCCACCGTACCGTTACGTACCCGTACGTACGTATCCCCCCCCCCCCCCGCAAATTAAAACTGCATAAATCACAGTGAAGTCCATCAATGTTCACCATAAGTTAATTTATGCACCAAAAAACAAAATTTAAATTTCAGAAATATTTACATGTATTTTACTCTTAAATGACGGAAAAATCTCAGCATAAATAATTTTCAAGTCAAATTTCTGTTGTTTTTTCAATCCGCATCGTAAAAAAAGGATGAGAGGAAAATAATTATAGACATGGAATAGCTGGTGTTTGATATGATAAGCCTTTTACAGATTGCCTAGTGTTCATTAATTAAAGAAAAAGAAGATAAAAAGGTGAGTGTCGAGTTACCCCAGCGGGCACGCACCCCTTGGCCACCGGTAATTTACCGATGAGGAGTGCGCCGAGTGAAAAGCTTCTGTCTCTATTCATTACCACTAGGCCACGGCTCACCCGACACAACAATGGCAAAATTGCAAATATATACACACAGACAAAATGATTGTGCAACTGACAATGAGTCATGGAGGATCCCGCGTTTTCAGTTTCGGTGACATTCGTGCGCCGTACGGTGGCGCTATACACCGAACGAGAAATAAGTTGTTGCATCAGATCCATCAGATCTAGTAATTGCATGCACTCTCATCCCGCGGTCCCACTATGTATAATTAGCTTGATTTTGCTCCTGACTTCCGGGTCGTAGCTCAGTGGTCGGATTAAGAGACTAAACATATTCTGTACTCATCCATAACCATCAGTTAGGGTTCGAGCTCGCTGGGTCATCTTAAAAATCAAATAATTATAATCTTTTTGTATATTATATTATTATATTTTTTTTAATCCATTTTGGAATTAACATTAAGAGCTTCTTTGACACTATTGTCCAATTCAATCTTCAATCAGTATTTCAAGTTCGTTATCCTGCATTAACTTGTTTATTTACGAAGAGTACCAGAGACGCAGACAGGAGCGCCCAGGTTCGACGTTCTACTCGACGGTGATGCAAATAACACAAATTTCGAATAAATTTCGAATTTTGAATGCCCGAATGAACAAGTTTAACCGTATTAATTTGAAACAAGGGTGGATCCAGAAAAAAAAATTGGTAACCCAAGAACGGTGGGTAAAAAAAAATACGGCCTGGGGTTCGGGGCCCGATTTTTTTTGGATTCTAGATAATGCTCTGTGATGCAATCTGAGGCAATTTCTGACCACTTTAACCAACGTTTTTTGAGGAAAAGATGGTGGTGGACTCATTGCCTGCCTTTATTGCGACGTCACATTAAAAAAAAAATTGGTTTCGTTGGGTTTTTTTGGGGGGGAGGGGGGCATGGCCCCCTTTGCACCCTTGATTTGAGAGGACGCCCTTGATTTGAGAGGACGCAAATTTACATCTTTCTGTAAATTTCTCATAACTTTCGGCATGTTGTCATGTGCTTGAACGAAGTAGTAATATTATATGCTGTACTTTTGTCCCCGATTGTAAATGTGACTTCGTGACATCTGTCTGTTTGTACAGTATATTCCCAATTGGGGTTTTTTTTGGGGTGGGGGGGTGGGGTGGAGAAGAGAAGTTCACTAATCCTCACTAATCAATGCAATATGACGGCGGACTGATACGATAAAAACGACTGCTTCATTTCCTCCACAATATTCATTTTGTCAATACATATTTACAATCCCAGATTGTAAATGCGAATTCGGGACATCTTGGAGGCGTACTTATGGCTTCAATGGATGGCTTGTCGACACGCGGGTTTGCTTCTCGCTTGGCGCGCTTAAAACTTCAATTGACTTTTACACTGAAAAAAAGTTAATTTGTCAGAAAACTAAACATCACGTTTGAAGTCAAATTTCACACATAATTTGTTGACTTTTAAAATGAAGGAAAGATCTCAGCAGATATCATTGTTCCGTCAAATTTCTGCTCTTGTTCGATCGGCATCGTAAAACGGAGGAAAGAAAAACAAATATAGTATAGATGTAAAATACCTAGCGTTTCATGTGATCAGCGTATTACAAAACAAGCCTTAATTTCATTAATTAAAATAAATAAAAAGGTGAATGTCGAGTTACCCCAGCGGGCACGCACCCCTTGGCCACCGGTACGGTACGTTGCCGGTGAGGAGTGCGCTATGTGAACAGCTTGTGTCTCAGTTCGTTACCACTAGGCCACGGCTCACCCGATATAACCATGGGAAAATTGCAAATATATACACACCGACCAATGATTGTGCAACTGATGATAATTAGTGTGAGTCATCGTTCAATGTTCATTCACACTCATCTCCCGTGGCTTTGGTAAGCCGCACGATGGCGCTATACAATCAAAACCTGATTATTCCACGTTTCTGCTTGTTGGGTCCAGACCAGTATTAAATAAACTGCCATAGACCCCAATGATAAATGCCCCCACTTCAGAAATTCAGGAAAAATACTTACAACTCTCCAAGGGGTTCGGAACAAACATCAAATTCAAGCTTATTTCATCACCTTTCATTTTCCCTTCATTTTGTTTTTTTTGGGGGGGGGGAGGAGCGGTAATCTCTTGACTTTTGAAGAATTGAAGAGATATGGTAATGAACCTCTGGCCCGGACTTGGGGCTTCTAATTCTGAGCTCTTTGGATGTTATTGGGCTCGAAAGTGGGATCGTTTTTCAAGATGGCTACTTTTCCGCTTTGGGGAAAATAGGGGTCGTCCTCTTTGGGCGAGAATATCTCGAAAAGTCAATGGTCAACCCACCAAAAAATGAAAGGAAATTGAAAGATGACACATTGATCATCATTTTTCTGTGCAGCTTGAACACCTGTGAGAGTTCTGAGTATTTTTAAAAGAATTTTAAGTATGCGCATTTAGCACTAGTGTCTATGGGATTGTTTTGCAGGGTTGCAAACATTAGTGGTAGCCTTGTTGCCATTTTGCAATAGGCTGGTTCCGCGCTAACATTACCGTTGTGATTATGTATTCAGGGGACGGGAGTCAGACCTAGACCACATGAATATATTTTGCATGCATTAGAAGGAAAACCTCCTAATTATTCAGGATTCATTGCCCGCTACCTGTCCCTACATTCCAAGTCCGAAGGACAATAGAGGACCTCCGGGAACCAGTCTAACTATAGACCTGATTAACGAGGAAGCCATTTTCGATCGTGATTCTTGATACTTTTTTATCAATTATTAAGTGTTGAATGGGATGGGGCCAGACTATTTTATGATTGGAGTGTGTTCCAAGCCTCACTGTCAACCTTTTGGGTTTTTTTTTAGCTCAGTGGATCGGAATAAGAGACTAAAACATACTCATCCCTAACCCACAGTAAGGGTTCGCGCCCATCGGGTTAACCTCGACACTCGCCTTTTTAATCTTGTTTATGTTTTAAGGTCAATGATTTATTTCATTTCGTTTTGGGGACTCGGAGTAGAGGGTTGCTGGACAGGCAACATTCCTATAATTATTCTATAAATATTGGAGCTTTCTTCAATGACGATTGTGTTCATGTTATGCAGCAACCCCAAAACAGGATCAAAGATTATGCAAAGAACACAATTTTCAATTTGAATTAATTAACAAATTTGTTCTCCGCCATCAATATAATGATAATGCCAAGACAAATAAGTTTCCAGTTTTGACATCAATTCTTACTGATATATCTAACCCCATTTATAGTCTGCATAATTAGACAGGTGCATATAAGTCTGTTAACAGTCAACTGTGAATTGATTTCTTGGTGAACAAAATAATAATTAAAAAGAAGGAAATATATCAGCAGAAATCGTTCAGGCAAATCTCTTTTGTTTTTCAATCAGCATGAAAGAACAAAGAAAGAAAAGAAAAGAAAATGATACAGACATTGGATTTCGTTTTATAAAAGTGTTACAAATTGCCTAGAGTTCATTAATTAAAAAAGTAAATAAAAAGGTGAGTGTCGAGTTACCCCAGCGGGCACGCACCCCTTGGCCACCGGTACTTTACCGGTGAGGAGTACGCTAAGAGAAATGCTTATGTCTCAATTCGTTACCACTAGGCCACGGCTCACCCGATATTATCATGGGAAAATTGCAAATATATACACACCGACCAATGATTGTGCAACTGATCATAATTATTGTGAGTCATCGTTCAATGTTCATTCACACTCATCTCCCGTGGCTTTGGTAAGCCGCACGGTGGCGCTATACAATCAAAACCTGATTATTCCACGTTTCTGCTTGTTGGGTCCAGACCAGTATTAAATAAACTGCCATAGACCCCAATGATAAATGCCCCCACTTCAGAAATTCAGGAAAAATACTTACAACTCTCCAAGGTGTTCGGAACAAACATCAAATTCAAGCTTATTTCATCACCTTTCATTTTTTCTTCATTTTGTTTTTTTTGGGGGGGGGGAGGAGCGGTAATCTCTTGACTTTTGAAGAATTGAAGAGATATGGTAATGAACCTCTGGCCCGGACTTGGGGCTTCTAATTCTAAGCTCTTTGGATGTTATTGGGCTCGAAAGTGGGATCGTTTTTCAAGATGGCTACTTTTCCGCTTTGGGGAAAATAGGGGTCGTCCTCTTTGGGCGAGAATATCTCAATTATTAAGTGTTGAATGGGATGGGGCCAGACTATTTTATGATTGGAGTGTGTTCCAAGCCTCACTGTCAACCTTTTGGGGTTTTTTTTAGCTCAGTGGATCGGAATAAGAGACTAAAACATACTCATCCCTAACCCACAGTAAGGGTTCGCGCCCATCGGGTTAACCTCGACACTCGCCTTTTTAATCTTGTTTATGTTTTAAGGTCAATGATTTATTTCATTTCGTTTTGGGGACTCGGAGTAGAGGGTTGCTGGACAGGCAACATTCCTATAATTATTCTATAAATATTGGAGCTTTCTTCAATGACGATTGTGTTCATGTTATGCAGCAACCCCAAAACAGGATCAAAGATTATGCAAAGAACACAATTTTCAATTTGAATTAA